ATGATCGATTCTTATTTGTAGAAGAAGTCTAATCGATTGTGTTGCGAAAGAAAAATACATTCGTTTTTTTCAAGCGTCTTTTTTCTTTCCTAAAGAGCTACATGATTGATTGTAATTTCGAAATAAATAACGAAACTACGTAAACGCATTAAACATTCGGTAAAACATAAGCGTTTCAACGAGCTTCGTAAAGATAATGAAAAATTCAAATGACGTAGAAAGGATGTGCGCGGGAGATTGCGTTCTATTTTCTCACGTCGCAGAGATATATGTACATGGAGGATCATCGGTCATAAACGAAGTAGAACGCTATATTTTTGTCGTGAACGATCGCGCATTGCATTTTCCACAGCGCGACATATCTTCGTGGCAAAAAGAAGTTTTAGCGTTCCACAAAAGTCAACGAGAGATCGTGATCGAGTTGGCTCGCGTGCGAGATCAATCGTTAGATACAAGGATGGACTTTCGTGCCTACATCCTTAAATTTTTTTTATCTAACAAATTCTTTGGGCGAAATTATATTTCTTCAAGACGAAAAAAGATTGCTGATTTCTTGAAGCCAAAGTTTCTTTTTTTATATCGCTTAAAATAGCTTCAGGAAATATTTCCTAAAATTCTTTTCGGGTAGTTTAGAGAATTAAAATATGTATTTAAATATATTACTTGAAATGTCCATCAGGCTGTTGATTAAATAAAAGGAAGAATTCAATAATTATTAACACTGTACAGAAATATATTGCGATAAAGAATATTAAAACTTCATAAGTTGTTTTATATAGTATGGGCTGGATTATTAAAGGAACAAATTTTCAGATGTAATGAAGTACACGAATAGATCATATCGAGATTCACCTTACGTTTTCTCGTCCGCGTTGCGTGATCATGTATCAAATAATAGATTTGAAGTAATTTACAACTTTGTAGAGTTGCTCTTCTCCTCGAGTTAAAATGTTTCTCTCACATCTGACGCATTCCTTCGAAAATGTGCATGCAATAATCATGACAGAAGCAAGAGAAATTCTCGCACGTAAAAGTATAGATTAAAAGAAGTGCGATAGAGAAAAGTTACATAGTTTCGTATGATTAATTCGTGCATGAACTTGAAATTATCTCAAGGTGAGCATCATGATAAAAAGGGCGCACCTTCTAAGCATACCACGTTTCAAGTGTCGCGAACCGGCGAGATTTCCCGAAACTGAAGCGTGAGATTATTCGAAAAATTTCCGGAATTTGTTTTTCGCGAGATTAAGTTATGTTCGTAATAGAGCGTTATAGCGCTTATAGCACCGTCACGCTATTGCGGTCTTGTGAGTCATTGGTACGTAACGCGACCCGCGGTAATATCACACGAAATTACGGCGCGAGAATCTCTCGCGCAGAAAGAATTTAATCTCCATGCAATTACGGGAAATAATAATCGTCCGGTTGTGCAACGCGAGACGCTGCGCCGCGGCCGCGGAGGTTCGGCGCGTTCGCGACGTTGAAGAACAGATCGCCGCCGATATCCTAATTGATCGACGCACGCAGATGTAACGGGTGGATGTAATAAATAATGAATGAGGTGCAACGTACCTTTGGCGAATCTAGCGCGGCTTCATTAATTATTCATCAAAATCTAATTTCCAAGATGGAGAGAAGCAAGGAAAAGCTAAATCAGATTATTCAGAGGGTGGGTGAAATTAAGTTTTGAAAACCTTATCGAGATCGTCGCACAGAATCAATTTAACATAAGTAGATCTTAATGATAAAAATTATCAAAAGACGGTGTTTCGGCGCTTTGCATAAAACAAGTCTTTTCAGGGTATCACAAAATATCCGGCAATTTTCTATATCTTATATTTTTTGGCAAAATTTTAACAATATCACTTAATTCAAAAATTCAAGTATTTGAATACATATGTCAAAAATATTACATTTTTGTTTTAATATGTAAACTTAATTGAACACAATTACGTTATAATTTCATTACGTTCTTGCGCTTCATTTTGAAGTTAAATCTCTGAAATATTTGTTGATTATCGCGAGATAACGAACGCGTTAATCATATGATTCCGCGATATTCGGACGAGAACGTCGACGGGTGGACGGATGTCGAAAGTATTTTTATTAGAGCACCCTGTGTCCCGGGCCGGCGGCCATTATGACGACGAAGAAGGATGGTTCGGGGATTCTAATTTATTATCCCCTTGAGCTAAACCCACGGTGGCTCGTCGATGTAAATCCCAGCACGATCGATAGACACACCTCGGCCGCTTCGACCGAAGGTGGAGGTTTATAACTAGCCGGGGTGAAGGAACTCTTGAATCTTGCGCGACTGTAGATAGGACGGGAACTTCCTCGGCCTGTTCGTGTCTTGGCTTGGCGAAGCGAAAAACTTTCCGCGGAAGCGCAGCATGCGTCTTTTCACAGGCATCTCGCCGCTCGTATTCCACAATAACAAAATCACCGTCGTACCAGTTGATCCGCGAACGATTTCCGAGTCGTTCTCTAGTAGAAAATAGTTTTTTTAATGAACGATGCATCTAATTCCCGGATCCGACTCCGAGTCGACATAATTTATTATAAGAAAGATTGAGTAAGAGCGAAATTTGCGCTATTTACGCGGTAGGGCAAGGATGATACTGATCTAAACACGGAGAAAGTTTCAAAGGAGGATAAAAAGGAGAATCGGGAGATTCTTCACCATTTGAGAAATTCAGATATTGGAGTGAATAGCTTACGCTAACTCGCAATCGAGAGAAATCGTTATAGCATATAAAAAATGTCTACAAAAAGTAGCACAAAGGCAGAAAGCGCTTAGAATTATTATATTAACTCGAATCAACAATTTCATGGTTTAAAAGGAGGGGTCCATGTAATTTTTAACTCGAGTTTCCCCCGTATTTTGTACTAGTTTTAACGTCGGCATAACCGAGATTGCCGGTTTTACGTATCTACTTGGTTCCCAGTTTTCTGAGAAGAGAGAAAAAGATTGATTGATCGGGACGACGGACGTGCGGGACGTCTGCGGCCACATATGACGAATCAATCGACGGACTAATCGCCAAAATTAATTATCTCGTCAGGAGTCACTCAGAACCACCTAAATCGCGCGATGGTAATTAAATTCAACGATACATTGTCATTTGTCTTTAGTAGTACTAAACTGGAAACGAGCTTGAAAGCATCGTGGAACGATGAACAAATAACTGCGCAGTAACGCAACAGCCCTGCGATTTGCTTTGAGATACCCGCGTAATTACTGCAATACTACACGATACAATGAATGACGCGGTCCACTGTGTATATCGTATATTCATCAGAAACTCGATACACGGTCACTATATAATAAGACATACAGGCTTGGCCAAAGCATGAGACGCCGGCGAATTGCGACAAATGAACCTAGCTCTTATATGCTAAAATGCAATAAACTTTTGTACAGGATTATCGCGACGTTTGATCCAAGGACGAACCGATTTCATAATTTACAAGTTCCAGTCTCTTGATATATAAAACACATTAGACGATGGACTCATCTTATAATATTTTCAAATTCAATTTTGCAAATATTGAATACTTGATTGAAGCTTTGAAGCTTGATAAAGATACCCCTATGCGCTCCTGATCGAAGCTGTATGTAATGCGACAAGAGACCTAGTTGTCAGGTTGTTATTACGGTGCGATGAAATACGCGACTGAATACTACGACTTTTATGCCGTAGAACCGCACTTTAAAAACAATCTCAGATTTATATCGAAAGAAATTTCGTTTGCGCAATTGCGAAAGGAATAAAACGTGTATAATTTGAAAACTGAATCTGGCAATCATCTATCCCGAGTGGATTAAATAAGCTTATAGTTCTGTATTCGCAAAACTTAAGACTCGAGCGTAAGCTTGAAGTCTTAAGTTCAAAAATAGCTTAATACACTTATCTCAACACTCTTGTACCTCTTTAGAAAGTTTCGCGAGAACTTTCAGGAATTAAGTAAGTAGCTCGTTTGAATGTCTCTGGCGAAAAATTGAAACTGACAATGAGAATGTCGAATCGAGAATGGTTGCACGTGAGAGTTGAAAAGTTTCGCGAGGGCGATAAGATTCCGGTCACTATGCTATTCTTTTCGACGCAAAACAATCGCGTCACGAAAGTTTTCGTTCAATTTTAATTGAGAACGATGCCTCGTTGCCGTGCCGGCCGATCCGCAAAAATTTCATCCGGATTTGTTACGACTGTTCAAAGCGCAATTCGGATCACGTTCCCTCAGGGCAAATAGCTTTAATTTTTTGTCGTTCGCGTGGGTGAAAACAAAACGAATTAGCAGATGAACTCACGCATGTAAACTTCAATCGGCGCATCACGCGACTCGTACAAAACGGAGAAATTTATAAATTCAACACAATCACCACAGCCCGCTTTTTCATCAAAGAGAAGTATATATGTATTTTGTATGAGGCATTTTAATACGCCATTGCCTGACAACGTACAATTATTGTATAATAAATTAACGTTATTAATCATTCACGCATTAGGTGTATATTTTTTAGCTGCGTGCTATTAATCTCTTTGACATTGATTGCGCTTAATTACAGTTCAAACAAAACGGACACCGTAAGTAGAGTTGGAAGAAAAGAAGGACAGGAGGGAAGAAAATAAAGAAGAATGACTGGATGGAAAGAGACAACGCAGCTGAAAAGCACACTCATTTCATTCAAAATTTAAAGTTTGACATGTAATCAATTACTTTAACGAAACATTTAAGAATAACTTAAAAAAATTGTAAGAAATTATTCATTCTCTGTCTGAAGTACGAGATTGTATTTTACCGTTCTAAATAATCCGTTCTAAATGCTCCACACGACAAAATAAAAAGAGGATTTTTTACGAAAATTGTTTAAATAAAGTATTTTTTAATACTTTGACGATTCGCCTTGCAAAAATGTATGCTTTTGAGCAGATTATGAGATGCCTCAATTTTCACACATAATACGTATAGTTGAACAGGATAAAATCAAGACTCACGCTGGCTCCCCGTTCTGCTCGACGCGGACGATATTGCCGCTGAGGGTCTCGATCTCCTGCGGCCGCTTCACCGTGTGCACGCCCGTTTTCTCCCTCGGCGACGACACTCCCCTGACCGTGTTCACGCTCACTCCCGTGTCCGTCGATCTCACGCTCCCGATCGAATCCGTGGACACGCCGGTGGACGACTTCAAGGACGCGTCGCTGCCGCGATTCGCGTTCCTCGTTCGTACCACAGCATCACTGTTCACATCTGCGTTCACCGCACCATCCGCGGTACTCACATTGTTGCTCTTCGCCACGCTCTTCGCCACGCTGTTCGTCGTCATTGCCGTCGCGTTGCTCATCGTCGTCTCCGCCTCCTCGGCCGCTCTGACCTTCGAGTCGTTCTCCATCACCGTGGGCATCTTGTCGCTCGCCGGAACGTCGCGACTCATGGCCATCCTGCTACCCGCAGAGCCACTCTTGATTTCCGCCGAAGCGACTTGCTGTTGCTCCGAAGCCTTGGCGTCGCTTGGTTTGGGCCACCGAGCATTCTGTCTGCCAGAACGCTGATTGGCAGAAGACTGATTGCTGGAACGCTGATGAACCTCATCGTTCATCCTAACGCTTTTCATGGATTGGCTGACGGTGCTGCTTTTCGGGTGTCCTCCGGTGCTATTCTCCGCGCCGACGGGAGAGTCCTTCTTATCGTTTCCAGGATTCGTCGCTTGACCTGCCCCGACCGGCGAGGATTTCTGACCCGTTGCGTTTGGCGTCGACGCGGGCACCGGCGATTCGCCCTTAGATGCGGGGGAGACGTCGAGTCGTTCCTTCTGCTGATTCGTCGTTGACCCATCTCGCTCCACGAGAAGCGCGTTCGCGTCGATGTGCAACGGCTGTACCGCCGTGGTCGTCGTGGTGTTCACCAGACGTTCGCTGGACGTACCGGTCACCTGCGACGTCTGCTTCAGAAGATCTCTAAAATCCACTTCGTCCGCATTGCCCGAGGTGTTCCCATCTGTTCCGTTTTCTTTCAAGCTCGATTCGGCTCGACCATTCTGAACCGATTGGCCGGCCTGCTTGTCATTCTCGTCTTCTTTTGCAAACCTATCCATCTTCCCGGCGTTCTGCTCGGGCATCGAGATGAACCTGCCGGTACTCGACGAGCCGTTCGCCTTGCTCTTCAGAGGAATCTTCGATGGCGAAAGAAGACGGTCCTTAGCGGGACTTCTGTTCTGACCGTCCCTTCGAGTAGTAGCGTTGTTCTTCTGCGGCGACGTTCTCGATGCCTTCGTGGGGGATTGTTTCGTGGCATCCTTCCCTCTAATGTTCGATCGAGGAGTCGTCTTCTCCGGTTTCGTCGGGGTGCCTTGGATCGGCGAGAGTCGCGTCGAACCTTTCATAATCGGCTGTCGGCGTGTCGTCGTCGAGTTATTGTTGAGATTGCTGGTAGAGTTGGAGATGAAGCGGGTCTTAGTTTCGGCCAGATTCGTACGACTTCGAGAGTCGAATTTGTTCAGACGCGTTTTCGAGTCGTTCAACCGCGATTTCGAATCGGTCGCGTTCAATCGATTCCGCGAGTCCGAGACGTTCAGTCGCGTCCTCGAATCGACTCGGCGACCGATCTTCGGCGACGGCGAACGCTCATTGTCCTTCGTCAAGGAGGTAGACCGCTGACGATAAGTGGGTTGCGGTATCAGGCTTCTTCTGGGACTGTTCTGCTGCGACAACGACACTGCAAAGCATAAACGAGTGACTTAATAGAGATCATCGTTAATCGGATTATTGGTGTTGACTGCGTGGAGCAACGCATACTGATCTTGTCCTTAATATTAATCTAATATTAATCTGAATATTAATATAATCTTGTTTTTAATAATATTATTTTGCACGCATATTTTTATCTATAAATTTTTCCTACCATTTTTCCTTAGCAGGAAGTATCAAAGCAGCTTGCTATTAAATTTTAATTTTGAACCAATTTTCACCAAGCGCATTGATAAGTAATTTTCAAATGAAACTTTCTTAGCAATGTAGAAGTGTTACATAAAATATATAAAGCGTCTGAAACATTTTTAAGCTTTATAATGTCTTTTAAATGTTTCAGCTGTTTAAGCTGTCAAAAATGTCTCATCAGCGTAACGTCAAGAACCTTTAAATTTTGTCTTAGCATCTTTGAAATATTCCAACGAAGCTATTATTACAAATCTTTGCAGCTCGCTCTTAATATACACTCGACGACCTTACCTCTTCGTTCGATTTTGCGTCGACGTCCGTCCCCGGCGACTTCCGGCGACTGCGGCCTCGACATTGAGCGAGGAGGTGGCCCCTTAAAGCCACGTCCGCGGAAGGGCGAGACCCTCCCTGTCGGCAAGGTGGACGACGCATCGCCGGCTTCCGGACTCGCCGGCCTGGATTCGGCGAGTATCACGAAGCTGGAACGACGATGCGCCCTGCCGAAGGACGTCGACGTCGGGGCGACTTTGTAGGGTTCGGGCGCGCGCGGGGGCGGCGGCGCCGCCACGGGAGGCGTCGGCGACAAGTACATGCTGTCGGGGACGGCCAGCACCTTGAAGGGCGGCGGACCCTGCCGCGCGACGTGGCCGTCATGATCGGTCCGCCTCATTCTTACGAGGCCCTATCTTTCATTGGAAAATCACAAAGTTAATACGATTAATCTGTGCCTATATTAAAATATTAATCCCTGAACTTGTGCTATTTACGCAAACGATTGACAGAGAAATTAGAAAAATGGAGAAAAAATTTAAAAACTTTTTTTTTAGTTTATTATACAAGTATATTCGAAAATAACTATATGAACTATGACTCTGTTATTTTAATAATATAATGGCAAATTCAAACACAACAGCACGGAGAGAATGTTTCGTTATATTTTACCCTTAAATTCAGTACAAACTTGGGACAACTTGGCAACCAAGAAATTTTTAAAATATACAAAAGACATTTTACAAACAACGTGATAAACATTACCAAGCAAATTGATAAATTTTGAAAAATTATTGAAATTTCCTGGATATATTTTAGTAAAATTAATCAAACATATTTTATATTTTAATGTATTATGGTAGATTTTAATCAAAATAGCTCGCATAAAATTCTTGGTGGTACATGTTGTCCAACAACTACCATGATTTCAGGGTAAATTTTGAGAGAAAATTCTCTCCGTGAGTAAAATAACGGTGGAACTGTGAAATGTGAATTTGCGTTCAAATTCTGGGATTAATTACTGTGTATAATGTGTATTTTATTCAACAACGCGCAAAATTCATTTTTGCGATCCAAATTTATCCAAATTTATTTAATTTATTGTTTCGTGTGAATAAATTTGCGCATGCAATAAAAATTATTTTTATTTTATTCAATGTTATTTAATTTCATTAATTTCAAGTTAATTTATGTATTCTCAGTGCGTTCCATGATTTGAACTCAGTACCTGGTGCCCTTCATGCAGGTCGCCGAAGTGAGAGGGACGCCGAGGGAATCCGCCGTTGCTCCCACCTGCAATGAATAGAAATCTCTACTGAGAAAGAGAGAGTGCGTGACCATCGTGAAAATGTACGGAGAAATTTTTATTTCGAGATAAAAATCGAGATAGCGCAAAATTGCGGTTCCGCCCGGCGGACGGAAAACCGCAATTGCAAATATAGAAACGGTCGTCCCGACCATCCTGATCGATCGATTGCTCGCGCGCGATGCGAAAAGTTTAAAAACGAAAAGTTTCGCGTATCGTACATTTTCTTCTGCATTTCTTTTACCTGTCGCGACGAAAGCAAACTCTCTGTCGTTCGTTATTTTCAATTCTGTCAACCCTATCCTCATTTTCAATTCTATCAATTCTATCAATTCTTTCAACCATTCGCCAGTCAACGTATCATCAAATTATGCCTGCGTTCGTTTCTTTACATTGGGAGCTATTGGGAAAATAAAATCTATAATACACACACCGCACGTGTATAGATACACATGTATTATAGATTATATTTTCCCAATAACTGCCAATGTGAATAAACGAACGCAGGCTATATTGATAACACTCGAGGAACGGATCAATACGGCGCTTGGATTTCCATATAATTACCGTCTCGTGTTTCCGGCGATTTACTTTTCGCGGAAAATCCGTCGGATCCTCGATTGCGGACGCGATCTTTCGCGAGATGGTGATGGACGTTTCTCTTCCCTCCACAAACTCGGAAGGAAGGAAAGACGACTCGACTCGCGGCGCGGCCAGCAATTAACGAATGCGGCGCGTATAATCATTCGTTCTGTGCGGCTTGGCACGTGTCCGGGCAACGAGAGTATATATCCACGGCGGATACGAGAAACAACGCTTTATTCACGCTCTCGCAGACGATCGCCTGAGCGAATTCATCACGCTTACCGCTGAGCTACATTCCCGATGTGCCCGGTGCATCGCATCGCATCGCATCGCATCGTCTCGTCTCGTCGCGCAACGCTGCGTCTCGCCGTAATAAAGAAGTTCCGTGCGCTCGTACTTTCCAAATCCGACAGAGCTCACCGAGGTAATTCGACCGTCGTCGAAACGCTCTCGATCCGCGATAACCCCTCCCCCCTCCGCCGATAGATTAAAGATAATTTCCAATCGAAATGTGACGAGCCGAACGCTCGACGATAATTTTCAAGCTTTAATTATTCTGATGTCTAAATTGTAAGATATTTCAATTATTCTGTCAAGGTGTCACAAAGATGCATATTATAAACGAGAATGCTCAAAGGGCTGTTCAACGAACAAACAGTTACGCGTCTTATCTGTCAAACCGCGACGAGTATTTTATTCGCGATCTAGATCGGGACGAGTGGGAAATGTCCGAGGCGTAATTCACCGTTACAACGGCGACCGGGTGATTTACAATCGTCGTTCACCCACGAATCAATGGACGGGCGGGTGTACGAGCCATGAATGCGCCGTAAATCGTAAAACCGCGAGGTGGTTTCCAGGCGCGCGATTAACTCCCTTAAATCGTAAATAGGAAGCATGCTTGGGGTCGCATGAACCGACCTTCGGAGCCCGGATCGAAAACGCGGGTGTGTAAAACGGTTACTTACGCAAGGATCGCGGGGACGGGAATCGGACATTTATTCGCCGCGGCTGTTACGCTTTAGATTCTGTCCGCAATTTAATCCTATTATTTGTCTAACTCGACTGAACATCGGTCCAATTTACTTTCCTCTTTTATATACGGATAAATTAAAGATATCTTATTTTGCACGATCATTTATTCGTCGGCTTTATCGATTCTGTCCGCAAATTTAATCCTATTTGTCTAACTATAAACTATCGTCGACTATAAACCTCGTTCGGTTTGCTCTCCTTCTTTATACAGGCAAATTAAAGACATTTTATTTTGAGCTGTCATCAGGAAGAAGAACATCATTTCCGTAGAAGCACTCGCTGGCCTGCCCCGTGGATCTCGCGATTCGATAATAAACTCGCGATAATTCTCCACATCCGCTTATGCACCGACGCGCCGTGCACTCTACGTAATTACCATCATACGTCAATAACTGCACTGTGAAGAAGGCGTAGAGTAGGTAGACGGAAGAGAGAAGAGAGAGAGAAGTAACACGGATCTCTCTAAGTGCATACTTTCGCCCATCACGACAGAGTTCCTAATTGTCTCATTAAATAAAAACGACGAGATGCCCGCCATTATCATTACAAAAATTGAGACTTGAGATTTCCATCTGTTATTCGGCCACGCGCCGCATTTAACGAAAGTAGAAATTTAAAATTCAGGGAAGTATACAAAAATTCGTTCGTAATTATGCTTCTCGTTGTCAATGGAGCGCGATGCCGACGTTTAATCCCATTCACATTTTTCTGTTTTCGCAATTATCGTAATAATCGTGAAACGTGAAATTGTTAACGTTACATTCTTTACGGTTTACGTTTAATGCCGGCAATTTTCGAAAGACGGAAATTGATTTTATCGTATTGTGAAATAAAAAAACTTTCGCCCCAATTAAACCTCACTTCTTTATCCAACAACGCGTTGAGGCGTCGTCGAGCATGGCCAACTTTAACTCCTTATTACCTAATGTAGGAATAACAATTTATTTTCACGACGTCGACGGGAAATGAAAATCAAGCGATTGTAACTCCGCTTTAAACATACGAAGAGATCAGAGGTCAACATCTGCGGCTTATTCCGTGGCTTTAATTTATTCTGCGCGACAGGTTGCATATTTGTAAATTCATATTGCATGTGTGCGCACAGTTATCATTTAATGCACGCTGATTGTCTCATTCATAAGTATGGACAGGTCCGTACTTCCGGGATAGATAACCGACGTAAAAACCTTCGTTTTATCACACAATGAAATTTATAAAATAAATATCGATACTTTCTATTGGCGCGTATACAATTTTGATTCACAATGGATGCGCAGTTACGACGCAGTCATGTAACGTACTGTGTGTATATTTACGAAGCTCTCTCTCCCTCTATCTCTCTCGTGATATCGCTTATCGTTACAACGTTTACTCTCACTCGTTGTCCGAAAAACGTATCTCTAAAATGCAAAATGTAAAGGCCGACCTATAAAGTTTGTTTGAATACCGTACTTCTCTACGTAACGCGCAAATTTGACCTTTAGTCATTGTTTGAATACCCTAATCGATCACGAGGTCGACGCTTAAATTTAAATAAGAACATCGCGCGTGTAGAAGTGACCGCCGCCGCGAACGTAAATTACGAGCGGAGGCATGTAAAACAAGTTATATCGGAGTATCCGCCACCAATCGTGATTGCGAGCGCAGTGAAACTTCCGAGTTGTACGAATATATCCGAAAATTATGGAGGACCGGATACCTGACTCGGTTGTCCAAATTGAATCGAGATCTCAAATATTCGAAATAGTTTAAACGTCATCACTAAATAGTTTCATCATCGTCAACTCTATCTTTCGAATGATTTAAGCAATCGATAATGCTGAAACTATTCGATGCTCGCTCTTGACTTTCAAGCTTAGATTTGATCTAGAGGTATATGAAAAGTTTTAGATTTTTTAATAAAAATAAGTAAATAAATAAGCAAACGAAAAGGCGGATATATAAAATTTACAAAAATTATTAAGCTTACAAAAATTATTAAGATTCTGTTCGGTGATCGAAAATATGAACATTCGTTTATTCTGAGTTTTAATTATCGTAAATTTTGCGAGCAGTTTTAAGCAAATTACTACAATTATATTTGGAGATTTGATAGATTATTCAAAATATTGCCGCAGCAATCGGCCGTGCTCCGCTCACTTCGACGACGGAGTATGAGTTCCGGTATTATAAGCGTATCGCGCGACGACTTTACTTCCGTCACACATGATGGCAGAGCTTTTCTTCTCACGTTCTAGTGACCGGTAAAGCGGAAACAGTCCGCCGTAACGAAACTGCGCGCGATTCGCCGCGACAAGTCGAGGAAGAGGCGCGCCAAGCCGCGTCCTTAATTAGCATCCGTCGCGTAATACCTTAATTAAACTGCACGTCATTGCCGCGCTTTCCAAACACGCAGCGGCCGCGAATTTACCGCTGCTGCAGCTGTTGCAATCGCGCGTATCACACAGCCGATCGTTGAATCGGCCCGCGCCCCGAAGGAGAACGGAGAATGCAGATCGCGTACCCTGCGGGGTCAATGACCCCGGTTTTACGCCTGTGTTTAGCGACCGGGGAGGTTCCGGATAGCGAGACATTTGCGTAACAATCGATTCTTCCGCGGAATCCTTTGACGGTTGGTTGGACGCAAAAATAGCCGGAACGGTCATTTTTTTCAGCCATTTCTTCGATCACACCTATGAATTAAGAAGAAGCACTCGCTCTTATTTATTATATTATGTAAAAATTTACGTAAAAATGTTTCTTTCCTTTCTTAGACATTCAGAAATAATTTCCAACATTTTTAAATGGCGAACTATGTTTTTTTTTATTTTTCACCAATTTTTTTAATTTGAAAGTTTTGTGCATTTCCTTTTTATATCCCTATTAGATTATTTTAGAAGGATCAATATTTCCGAAATGGGAATGATTATAATATCTGCAGTTTTCTGATGATTTCTGATGATATTTTACCATTTCGCAAATTTAAATTACCTGCAAGTCTCCTTTCTTCTATCCTGCAATATTGCTTTAAAACTCACGCACACTTCGCTTCTGTACAGAGCATTAAAGTATACGTTTTCTCGTAAAGTAGGTACTAATTCTACGCATTTTTAGCTCTAACGAGCTCCTGTTGTCGCAATGTCGTAACTATACGGCGCACGTAACGTAAACTCTGTTTCGAAACAGGGAAGCTCTCGGCGGGCGGTCTGGAGAAGTCTCGTCTTCAACGCACCGTCCGCACTGAGGGAAACGATACGTCTGCCATGTGGCAATTAATACAGGATCGTAATGACCGTTTTGCTCGAAATGATCGGGTATTACGCGAACGTTACGCCGCGCCCGGAACTTATTCCTCGCTCTATAAATCCAGGCGTACCGGTTTTTCGACCGCGCCTCCCGCAAGAGCGCGATTTCTCGCGTGGAATCCTCGACGATAAACGCGCGTGTTAGATAACCGAAGCCTCCCGGAGGGTTTCGCAAATCCATCAGCCGTGCGATTTTCGAAAGCGCCGCTGCTGGTCCCCATCTCAGCTAATCTCGGGGATGAACTACGATCCGGCGAGCGTGACAAGCGATAGGAATGAAAACTTAAGCTCGCAAGCTCGCGCCCGAGAGAAGATACATGTAAAATAGTCTCTACATCACTGTTGAATATTAAAGAATGATATTTAAATTAATTAAGTGAATATTTTGTTACTTTTTAACTGGCATGTGTGTCAAAATTTATTATTTTCACACAAAACAGTATTTTTAACTCCAATGATTTAGTTAAATTAACGCTCCGCGGACCCTGTGACCCTTTAAATCAATTTTTCATTTGTGATTCTCACGGGAAATGGCTTCAGCGCTCTTAAAGAAAAATTGCAACAGTTCCGGCCTGTGTAAGTGTTACAGAAATCACTTTTTGAAACCTTAAAGATAATACACGAATTTTTTAATAGATTTTTTGTAACACAGGAACGCTTTCAAAAACCCTTTGGATTTAAAAGTCCCAGGATGTCCGGGTGAGTGCTCCAAAAACGCGGTGTCCGCGCAGTGTTAATATTGTAATTAAATTAACGACATGTTGAGTAAGAGCAGTGGCGACCTACAGAAATGGTTAAAAACGACTCAAATTGAATATAATTCGACACTACGAATTCAACAGTGATGAATGGGATTTTTGAAAGGATACGACAGAGGAACGAGAGCGTGGCTCGCGAAACTTCGCTCGATTCTTGCTCGCCTCATCGTGACGAAAGGAGTTGCACCTTGCTCGCGGAAACCGGCGCGAATTCTAATGCGTCGCAAGGTAAAATGCAGTTTCATATCCGCTCTGTCCAAACGAAAGGACGCATCATCGCGCGCTAATCCAAGGTTCGCGAAATATAAATCCTAGCGCGCGCGCGTGGACAGGCGCGTCGAACTTCTCGCGTGCAAGTCACCGTCGCGATTACGCCTCGAAGATGATCGCTGAAGAATATTCAAGGCCGAGTGGTCATCGATAAACGCAGCCTTACAGTGCAATCTTAAAATGTGCGCCCCGTAGCCTCGACGTCAAGTCGCTCCTTCGACTTTCGCAAATCGTAAACTTCAGCGACTCAACGGACAAAAAATCGTTCCTTTCGCCTCGTTCTCCTTTGCTCTTTCATTTAATCTCTAATTATATTTATCCTTACTTGTTAATTAAATTATGCGAGTTTCTTGTTAAAATATGTACTTGTTAAAAATATACTTTTTGTTTACATTTGCTAGACTTGTTAGAATGAATTGGACTGATCAATAAAATGATAAGTAAATGTGTCTCGAAGATTCGATTGACAACGTAAACAAGGGAGAAGAATCGTCCTCGTTAAGGTGAGAAACAGTCCGGCATCATGAGGATCGATACTTTCCTAAGAAGATTTTTTGTCCACACAAAGGGCGCCGCCTCCTACATCGATCTGATTCGAATTCACGTATACGATAGACCGCGAAGCGGGGTCGGGGCGTGTATAACTTTCCTCGGCTGAATGAACGGAGCGATTCACGCGATTTTTTAAATCTGATTCAGCGGAATTCTTTTCCCTCATTATGGCACTCGCGGAGGGAAAACTGTGCCGATCTCAATCGCTTAAAGCCAATTAACTCGCCTCGGCGATTAGGATGTGCCGAACGCCAATAATTACATGTATTTTACACGTGGAAACTACATTCGAAACGAGGGCACCATTAGTCCGCTTAGAACGGTCTCTGCGAAAAGGCGAACAAAAAAAAACTAGTCAAATTAAGAAGCCGCGAACAGATCGCTTAAGTCTCAAGTAACAAATTGTGCTCGTACGCTTGACGTTTAACAGACACTCTAATTCATTACCCTACGATTAATCTTGTCAATTTACCGCGTTCGGCAATTCCGTGATTAAATACGCAAGCCAATAAAAATCGGAACAATCGATCAGTCTAAAACCGAAATTTGTATCGTTAAGACGAAACACGTTGTAGAATGAATCTCCAAAATCGAATATTCTGTGAACGTTACGAATTGTTTCAGCAAACGATTATTAGTTGCTTTCCATTTACATCAAAACTCAGATAATTCTCACCTATGACATCATAACTCATCGTAACAATTGAGGCTATGGACCTGTATTATTATATACGATAGCTTTGTCACCAAAATAAACAGGTAAATACAAAAAAGTTGCTTTCCATTTACACTCAAGTGATCTGAGTCACTCAGTTATGTGAATATTTTATACTCAGGTAAGATATGTCATTTTGCATTTAATTGCTTATTTTGGTGACAAAGCTATCGCATAACAATACAGATTCATAGCCTCACTTTGAATTAACGTGCATTCAACTGAGTTATGACGTCACAAGTGAAAATTATCTGAGTTTTGGTGTAAATGGGAAAACAACTAAAATAATATATCCTACTTGAGTACAAAATACTCACATAACTGATGAGTGACTCAGATCACTTGAGTGTAAATGGAAAGCAACTATTATTTCGTAACCGTTGCCAAGGATCAAAATAAAATACTGGCGCGAACTGTTTCGCTACTAATTGCTCTTCTACGTGAGGTTACAGAGTAACATCTTGGTAATTCAAACGTGAATCGTTAAAAATCAGGGGACAAAAATAAAATTACAAACAGATGGGTACGGAGAAACGGTCGCTTTGTTACAAACGTGAAATTTCACCATCAAGTTTCACGTTCTGTGACAGTGTAATTAAAAAGGGAAATAGATTCTCTCGCCGCTTTTTTCATCAGTTCGCACGCGAACGTTTCCGTGTGTTTCGCTATCGCCATTAATTAGCATACACACCACCGTTAGGCGACGTACATCACTCGGACGAGTCGCGCGTATTACTCTTTTCTACTTCGATCCGATTCGCGATTCGTTCCGCGCTCATTTGGAAAACACGCGCGTACGAATCTCGCGACAGTTGGTAAATCTCAAAGGAAACGAGGGAAAGCAGCGCGGGTGTCGTCGGAAACGTGGTTTCTCCATCCCACATACTTAGGGAAGTCATCGAGCACGCATCACGCGCGATCGATCAACGAAAGGTCGTTCTCCAGATCCGACGCAACAGTCACCGCGAGTGCGACTCTCCTCAAAGAGTCATTCCGAACTGCATAACTTCTCTTCTTCGGTCTCGCAAATCTATCGGGAAAGCGTTCACCAGCCGAGAATCGCGTTGATCCTCTTTCCGCGGGGTCTTCCTGGGAGAGGATCGTTCAGAAAAGTTCATCCGGAGCGGATAGGACATGTAGGAAGTCGAGTGGCGGTCTTTTACTTTTTTTCAAAGGGCAACAAGGGAGAGAAGCGGCCCGCCACTCGGCCCGTCGTCCTACTCGCGCCTCGTGACTCGCGGGGGTGGTCGTCGCGACGTCGTCTTACCTGGCTCGCGGGTGGATGGGGTCGCGGGGTCGCGGGGCTCGGCACCATTTACGGCGGCAACCCCCACGGCGGTGGTGACGGTGGCGGTGGCGCGGCGACGGCGGCATGCACACGATGCGCGCACGAGGGTTGTGGGAGCCCGGGGGAAGGATCGTGGCCCCCTCACACACTCTTTCTCTTTCTCTCTCTCTCTCGCCCGTCGCCTCGGCCTCGAATCTCGGCTCCGCGCGTCCTCGCGCGAACACGAACGCGTCCTCACTGGCGCGAGTTCGCCCGCCGCGACTTATAGCGGCCGCCGGCCGCGGGATATACGCGCCGAAGGTGGTCACTCGGGGAGGCGCGGGCGCGTTGACCAACACACGCGTTCTGCCGTTCCCCGATCGCGTTCTCTCCACCCGTGGAAAGCCGTGCGGATCCGCCGGCCGCCTCTCTGCTCGTCTCCCGCGGGGAGACCCGGCGCGAGAAAGCGAGGAATAGGTATACGCTCGCATCTCGTGAAAATACGTTAAGCCTCGGACACACATTTTTTCGCGACGGTAACAGTAAAGTTTCGACCACGCGCGTTGCTCGATTCGGAAGTACGGCCGTTCCCGATTCAAGCAACGCGCGTGGTCGAAACTTTACTGTTACTGTTTACGAAAAAGTGTGTGTTCGGGCCCTTATCGTCGCGATAGAGCGTGTTCTTTTCCGTGAGTCTCTTCAAAGATCTCGAGCGCGGTCGGATGGACTACGTTCCGTTAGATTCGCTTCTTTCTTGCCTCAGTTTGCGAAAATATACTTTTTTTTCAACGGATTATTACTTCGAAAATTATCGAATATTTTTTTTCATTGATAAAAGATTTTTCAAAAAGATTGATAAAAGATCATTGTTTCAATTCTGCAGCATTCTGCATATGAACGAAGCAGAAATACTTTGTGACACGAGTGGTTCACGAAAAAATTATATCTTACAGAATCAAAGCCTTGTAATTTCAGTCAAATTGGAATTCCTGCAATTTGAATGAAAACTTTCCAATTTCCACGCTTTAAAAATTTTTCAGTTGGGAATTCTGAAATGCGCTTCAAAAAAGAAAACCCGATCCTGACGAAAATGCAATCTTTGTGTAACACGAATCTCTCTTTAGCATCCCATATATTCAGACCGTTATCTTTTACATTTAATCGTCCCAGAATGCTTTTATAAAATGCGTCAGGAATTCCAGAACTCTCGGAAGAAATGCCAGTAGACGTTATAAATTATACAGAAATTCCGAAAATGCAACGATAATTTTACAATGAAAAAGAGAAAGAGAAAGAGGAGAGAACTCGCGCGAGTGTTGCACGCAACACCTACGTTTTTGCACGTCCACCCACGTGTTCTCCACCACCCTTTCGCCCTCGCCCTCGGCCTCCGGGGCTGCGCAGACCTTGCCAATAGCGCGGCCAGGCAGCGCCGGAATACGCCGCAGCATGATATGTAACCCGTCGCGTTTATAATCGAACCTCTCAGTCGAGGCTATTCGTTCATTCATTAAGCGGTTGGCCCCAAATTATTGGAACATTAGCTTGATTGAACAAAGCTGGGCACGGCCTAATACGCGGGATCCGCACCGCCTCGCTTATGTCATCATCAACGCCGCGCCGACTGTTCCTCATGCGCGAGCAACGCCGAAATTGAACGTTCGAGGACCAGAAAAGTTTCGGGAACACGTATATATCTCCTTTAGACGTTCCGGGCCTTGAAAATTCTCAGAAATTGACTTTGAGCAACGTGAATCTTTAAAAAGTCAAGCTTTAAAAACTTTAAGAAACTTATTCCGAAGACAATAGTACTCAGAGCAAAACTGACATAAAATTAGAGTTCCCGAGTATCTGAGATTAGAATATATAAACGGAATATAAATTATAAGCGTTCCCATATGCGACTTGGAAGCTGCGGAATCGGAGAGATGCGAGGACGCGCGTTAAATACAAATTTTCAACGACGTTGACACGCATAGTTTTTTAAATATATTTTATTTATATATATGTATATATATATATATTTACAGAGTTTACGTGAGATAATCATCGCCACGTTGAATATGATACATTCAACTGTATGAGTAAATGGTACGGCTATCGTACACGGATTATTTTATTGCGATGACCGACTCGCGTTTTCTCGCGTTGGAGATCCCGCGGTCCAACCTATTCGAGTTTCGGGAACCGCCGATCCTTTCTTATCTACGATCTCCGGGGATCGTACACATATACGAATTGCTTACGCGAGGAGTCCCACGATCCTACGTCAGAGACGATCGGGACGCGCAAAAGCGATTAGCGCGCACGTTAATTAACGCCAGTCGTTCTCACACACTTTGGGAATCGGGCGTCGGTATCGCGTCAGGGATCGGTAATTGCAGGTCTGATTAATTTGAATGGAATTTCACAAACGCAACGCAATAATGCCGAGCGTGACAAATCAAGCCACGCTCGAAGAAAGTTTCTTTCTAATCTCGAATTGCCTGAATTTCTGAGAAACAATATATCCGAATTATTTCGAATTATGCACCTTTTGTTAATTATCATTGGCGGAACAAACACATATATTTCTTTATATTATTCCGAATTGTTCTAAATTCAAAAATTTTACATATAAAACAAGATTTTTATAAAACATTCGCGGCTCTGCAAAGGAGTTTCTTAGGAAGAGGGTGTTTGTAGAGCTTTAAGAGACGTTCGAAAATTAACGATGTGTATCGTTAGACTAAGATAGTCGATCAAGGAAATATAGATTCTCGCTGATACCGTTAACGATGGGAACGGTAAGACGAGGGTGAATTTCGCACTCCGTTAATTTCATCGCTATTTGCGCGTTTTTTTAATTGATCACATGTGCGGGGAACGACTGACGAAACGTATGAAATATGGAAGAAACGTATCTTCTTCACGTGTGACGCGCTATCGACTACTGTTTCTGACTACCCGCATTCGTGATCTCGGGGCTTTCGCGTCGCGACGCACGTCTCTCCCGGTGGCTCGCGCGACCCTTAATTTACGTTTACAAAAAAGGAGTTGCGAGTTAGTATTGCGCGGTGCTTGAGAAGCCATGAGGTATATATTGTCACACACTTTGTATCTGCGTACTTTTCCGTAAACGCAGTTACGCCCTTGGTCGTCGGCGCGTATTCGACTAATACTGAAAGAATTGCGAATTCGCTCGCCCTCGATCGTCGGTGTGCGGTAAACTCTGGGTCATTCAGCAACGTAGCCACTAATCCATGCGATTCGCCGGAAATCGATATTGCCGAAGGGCCGACTTCGAGGTCCTTCTTCTTCTTCTTCTTTTTTCTTCAGGCCCCCCGTCGTTGGCGATCACTTGGAGAATTATTCTGTGACTATATGTGACTTGCCCACCAAAGGGCTGCCCTGGGACTCGGGACCTTTTTGCTTTAGGTTTCGATCTACAGCGATATTCTGAGAAGCAATAACCAGAGTGGCTTTCCGTTGCCTTCTCTGATAAATCTTCGAGGATGAGAAATTGAGAATTCCCGGACTCTCGGCGATTTTCTATATCCGATCCATCTAGTAGCACCATTTTCTTCTTCATTCCCCTCAAGTGAGAAGACAGACAAATCGATAGAAATTCATTTAGTTATAAATAGAATTTTCTAGTTCTCCAAACTAAATTTCATTCCTCTATTTGTATTATGAGTGAGATCATAACGAGGGAAGAACGAGATAATCAGAGCTAGTTGCCCGTAGAATTGAAAACTAGGTTGTCAGCTGTGCGAATGTCGCAACGAAGTACGATTACGGTATCCGCAAGTAGCGCGCAAGCGGAACAACGAGCTTAGACCATCGTTAAATCAGGCGAAAGTTTTCATTGAACTAATGTGAAACATTTTTGTCGAGCGAGACGCGATAAGCATCGGCGAGGCTACCATTACTGAAGTTACTGAAGCGCTCGAAAGCGACTCTCCGCTGTACAAATCAGTCTAAATTAAATTTACGCGAAGTAGCAAATCCCTTTGAGCCTAGAGAGTCACTTTATAAAACTAGATGCGATTACTCTTCTCTTATAATAATCTCAATGCGAACCTAACTTCTGCGTAAAACGGCTAACGTTACCGCCCGGATTTAACGAAATTACGGGCATCGGTAATGCGGCGGTAAATTGCCAAATTATGCTTCCCCGTGGCATCGATAAACGGGCTAAAACTAAATGGCCGTTTAATCCTTTGAGCCCTAATACCGTCCATAGCGCAGCGGCGCGAGAGATCTTGCTGCGACGTTATATAAAAGCTGAGTATACTAGGGAATTGCTTATCTTAATTATTTAGCGTTTACGTTTGCGCCGCGGGACAGCGAGAATAATTCTGGGCTCAAAGGATTAAAGTGTCCTTATCGCAATTGGCCTAGCTTTGGTATGACATAAACGTGGATACTTAATACATCATGAGATGAAATTAACACGATGGACTTCGTAAAGTAATGTCTGCGGGAATATAGTATTCTCCGGGTGTGGTGTAAGTTAATCGTAATATTGTCGTTTCTAATTTTAATCGCGCGTGTGTTCACGACAACGTTGCAAAAAACTGGGGAAAAAATATATATGTACCATTCATATTTTCGTCATAAAATTAAATGATTAATTACATCCACTGACTGTATAATTCTTGTATAAGTAAAATTAATACGCGTTTAATGTCCAGTAAATCTTATTGCAACACGGCACGTTTTATATCATTTTCTATAATTGCTCTCAAATATTTCGTTACAAATATTTGCTTTATTTGTAACTCTAGAGATTATTTAGCTTAACACAAGATGGAATAAATTAATATTAGTATTTGCTAAAATAAATATGCCTTAAACTTTAAGCTGATAAAATTATACATATATATACTTATGTACATTACGAAAATGATTAATTATTAGCCAAAGCTAATATGCCAAAGAGAGAAGCATGTGAGGAAGATTACACAGGCAAATAAACGCAGAGAATCGCAAATCAACTTTGCGATTTAACATTCTTGTTTACGTGACTGCGAAAAAGATTGTTGATAAGACGCAATTATGTCTTAAAATAACGACAATTTTCTGCGTGACTCAGTGTCGTTGATCCAAAATTCCAGTAAATTATTAATTACGTAATATTGACGTTACGACCAGACTACCGTGTTGCATTTAATTTTACCTTCAGTTAAATTTCCCTCGCTTTAAAATCAACCCTACGGATCTCGCTCACGAACGCAAACGAAACCGATTTACTTGCAGTGACGCGTAGGACATTCTTTTCCCTATGCTACTCGTGTTGGTACAGCCTTACTTTAATATAGTTACAAAAAATAACGCTCTGTTATATCTTTGAAGGAACTCCCTGCTTGATATAGTCAATTGTCTTCGAAGAATTCGCTGAGATACACGTTAAGCTTTTGATCCCGCCTTATCTTGAATTCTCTGCGTGTGAAGCCTCTTGTGATCCTTCCTGTACTTCTCGATCGTCAATTCAGCATTGCTGGCACTTGACAGGCTCAATGTTACCGGGTCCAGGCTCGCCGCTAGCTTCAGATACGTCTCCTCCATCTCCTTCGTGATCTTCACCTCGTAATCCATATCCTTGCGAAGATCCTTCAGCAAATGCTCGTCCTCGAATGTTATGAGATTTTCGCTCTCGTCATTACACTCAGACAAGATATTAATATCAATGGGCTGATTATTTACGTTGCTGTAATCCCGATTTTTCGGCGTGTCTCGAACGTTGCGAGCCAAACCTCCGTCGTGCTGCGTGGGCTTGCGCTTTACAAGAGAATTCTTCGGATACACGGATGACGAATTGTCATTCGCAGCGTTCTCCACACACTTGATCTTATTGCTATCATGCGACGCGGAATTCTCCACGCACATCGACGACTGTACCCATTCGGCCACTCGTTGCAATTGATTGTCCTGCAGTAACGCCGGCGGTGGCGAATTGTCCTCGCTGCCGGTTGAGCGCTCGGAACCAGCACGAGACGTCTTCTTCGCATGTACCAAAGCGGTGTTAGCTTTACTACCGCCGCCGCTGCCGTTGCTGCCACTGCTGTACAATACGGTCTTGTAATGGCCGGCATTGTCAAGCAGAATGTTCTTGGAGCCAGGCGTGACCCGGACCAGGCAGTTCCGCGGTCCGATCACGCGACTCTGATTCGAGTTGGACTTGGCGCTCGAATTGAAGGCACCACCGGTCAACGATTGTGCGACGTCGCTGCAACTGCTGGACGGATCGGAACTGGAGATGACCATGCTGTCGCTGCTGAAGCTCGGACTGGTCGTTACCTCCGTCTGACTGCCGTCATTGTGATTCGCCGCGTTGCTGTCCGGACTCTTGACCTCGATTAAGGTGAATTGCGCGGCGTTCCGCGCATTTTGTCGCTCCGCCGATCTGTCATTCTTCCAATCGCGATCGTTGATGATATCGAGCTCGATGCCGCGATTCGCCTTGCCCCTGTTCTCCCTCGAAGGGTCTGTCTCGGACTTCGACTTCGTCCACTCGTTCTTCCACAACCTGTCATTAATAATGTCGATGTGCATCTGCTTGTCGGAGAGCCGATTGTCCCCAAGCGCCAAACAATCAGTACCAAAGGGTTCGAAGTAATTCCTCTCACTCTTGTTGAAATATTTTGCAGATCTATTATCGAGCGGAGAATCGCATTTATTGACCTTGAGTGGCTTGGATGCCTTGTCAACGTTTATTCTATTAAGATCATTTAATCTCGAGAACGATGAATGCTTGTTTTCGTGATTCTGGGACGAGTTCTTTTTGTTTAAACTGGCTCTCGTAATTACGCCGTTCTCTTCCATCGTGTAGTCCTGCCCGTTTCTACCACTCCTACCGACGAACTTGTCTTTGATACACGGAACATGCGAGGCGTATTTAACGTAATCGCCGTTCATGTGATGGCGGATCTTGTTGCCGTTCTCGTTGATTTCGTAGAAGACCGCGTGTGTCGTGAGGTTCGATTGGAATTTATCTTTGCTTTGATACTTCTCATCATTCGGCGTACCTTCCTTTCCTCCTTGCTTTTCGAAGCTGTACGTATAATTCTCGGAGATAGGGAACGTATCAGGCACGAACGTTTGCGTCTCCGTGTCTACCGTGAGGATGCTTCTGTGACATGTGCATGTGTCGCAATGCTTGGCGAAGATTCTCTCCTTCTCACGGTCTTCCAGGACCTTCGCCATAATTGCCGCCGACACGATGTCCATCGGTGGTTTGCTATCGTCGCTATCGTCGTCACTGTGTTTTTCCACCGTAGGCTTAGTGATATTGTACACCATCGCTGTCGGCGGAAACGTGGATATCGGCACGGTGATGCTCTTCACATCTGGCTGCGTCGTGTCCGGCGCGGAACATCGCTTCTGCGCGACGTACGTTCGCACTTTGGCCTGCACCTCAGAAGGCAGCTGCAATAATAAAACAACGGTGGTCTTGAAACTTCTTATCTTTATTTTAGATGCCAATAACAAGCGCATACCTATTATGCTTTTAAATGCTACTAAAGAGACACCAAATTGCCTATGCTAAGTTAAGAAAGGTATTTCTAAGTATTTCTAAAACCCATAATAAATAATGTCTTTTTAAATACAAATTATGTAAATTACCTAAACGTCTGCCACATCATTATAATTTCTAAACAAATTTATAGATACTTATGTCTCTCTCTCTCTCTCTTATTTATAGATATTCAGTTTTATTAAAAAAGTATCAAGTTTCTATATTGCACTCGTTTCTATCCCTTGCTTCATCATACTCGCAAAAGATGTAAATATAAACAACATAGAGATTTATGCGCGCGCATGTATAACATTGTTGGTGCGTAAAATAAAAATAAGACACTAACGCGACGTTGTATAAATACGAGTAAAAATGTCATTGTAACATTTAAGTTCAATAATACCAACGCATAAAATTCACTAAAGTGAAATATGTGATAAGTAAACGAGAAAAAAAGTTGTCACAATATAATTTTTAAGTAAATGGTAATATGAAATTTATATGTGACAAAACGGTACCTTACCGAATCATATTTCTGACCCACGAAGTTGGAAGGTTTGCATTGCAGCAATTGGATAGCCAAACTAACGTCGTTTCTACATTTTTCCTAAAAGGGAAACAAGAATAGTTTTCAAGTGAAATATATGTAGATATAAATTAACTGTGTAAGTAATCTCTTTATTTATCAAATAAAGCTTAGCAAAAGAAATATCAAATAAAAGAATTTAAAGAAATGTAAATATTCTAGAATACATATGAAAATGAAGCACTTACATTATCTTGAGTTAATCGATGTATCGTGTAATTCGCATCGGCTAATCTATGAGACAGAGTCGCTATGTCCTTCGTGAAGGCACTCTTCTCCGTCTCGCATTTGTCCACTATCCGCAGCAGCTTGTCCTCCAGATTTTGATTGACCTTCTGAACCCTCTTGTGCGCTTCGTGCAAGCGCGAATACTTCTCCTGCCATATCAGCAGCTCCTCCTTCATGGAGGCCAGTTCCCCGTTCGGAAATTTGTCGGCCTCGTTTAAAAACTGCGTCTCCATCGTCACAATGTGGCTGTCCCTCTCGAGCAGTCGTTGGCGCAGGTTCTCTATCTCCGCGTGCAGATGCATGTCACAGTGCTGCTGATTGTCCTGGCTGCAAGTGCTACACTTACAGCCGCATTCCTGTTGATATCACTTGATAAGTCCACAAATATGCGATCATTGGGTCCTGTTTTACATTGTTGAACTGGCTGCACCAGTTTGGCCAGTTTATCTTTTTCCACTCCGTATTGAAAGGAGAAAAAGATAAAGTCTGAACCTAGTACAGCCAGTTCAGCGACGGAAAACAGATCCATTGTTTAATAACAAGGTTATTAATGGGCAAACGAGACTCAATTTGTGTTAGGCATGTTACAAATAGGTGACGTGGTTACAATATGCATACAAACAAAGATCCTATATATTGAAAGAGGCATTATAAATAAAATCACCATTCAATTACATTGTCATTCAAATTCAATCGACAAGAGTCAGCTGCTACTCCTATTTAATTACGTTATACATAAATCAACGGAAATTGTTAAAAAATGACTTCAAATCAAACAAAATATGACACTTATATAACTTCATTCGTGCCTTTTGTCTACTTCATACGCTTTCGAATAAAATATACGAGAGAACGTGAATCATCCTCTCGCGAGGCAGACGGGCGAAAGATACGCGAAGAATGCGGAGATTCACGCGCTCTCCCAGGGAGACGCGTTTCGCGATGAGCGATCACGCGTGGCACACGTGTGCACGTATGTAATAAATCGCGTCGATAAATCTCACTCGCGGGAGACCGAGCGGATCGCGCGTCGGAGGGTTCGCGATCGTCCAGGGTCAGCGAGAATAACGTCCCCGTTGTTTATCCGAGAGGGAGATTCCTCCGGATCGAGGCCGTCCGTCCGCGGTCAGCTGTCCGTCGTCGCCACGTTGGCAGTCTCCGTCTCCCGACCAGCCGCCAGCCGTCGGCGGGAATTCCTGTGACCCGCGGACACGTACCTTGCACTTCTCCGCCATGGTGGCCCGCCGCGCTGGAAACGGAGTCGGTAATAATGCAAAAATATCGTCTGACGGCGCGACCACTGCGGTGCCGTTGGCGCCTCATAACCCTTTCCTTCCCTCGGCGTCCGCGACCGTGAGTCAACGTGAGTGCAGCGGTGACAGGACTGACAGGCGGCAGGGGCCCCCGAGGGGCCGTCGTCGCGCGGCGTCCGACGGCAGCGTTTAATAGCGCGCGCGTGCACGGCCGCGCGCGCGGGAAGAATAACTCACGGCGCAAACAAAGTACATTCCGTACATTCCCTCGGTTTTTTTCCTTTCTTTCCGTTATCGCGATGACAGGGCCGCTCGTCGTCCGCCGTCGTCACCTCTGGTCACCTCCACCTGCCCGCCGTCTTTGTCGGCACGGCACGAGCCAGCACGAACGTCTCCAGATCAGTGCCGTGCCGCGTCGAGTCTCGGGCCCCCGAGCTCCGGGATCCAGGAGTGCGCCCCGAGACAGCAAGGGGGACCTCGATCAAGCCTCGGTTAATTTAATCGACGGTTAATTCAACCGGCGCGATGGCTTACAATAAAATTTCTAGCTTTACAACTCCAAATTTAATCTTTCTTTCCATGTCAAGTAATAAAAAATTAATATTCTGCCCGTGTTAACAAAATAATATAAGTTTGTAAGTTAATCATCGGTTAACTTATCGCTCACGGCAAAATTTCTTTAGCTAATTATTTTTATGATTTGAGTCAAACAAAAAAAATTATTTAAAAATTAATACAAGCAGTACCCGATGAGAGCTAATCGTCGGTTAACTTAATTGGTGATTGACTAATTACGTGACAATCTAATCTCTTTTTCCGTGTGTCAATCAAAAAATTAATAAATTCTTTCCGTGTTAACAAAATACTCTGTATATACATCACTTGGCAAGTCAATCATTAATTTGTCGAAACTTGATCGAAGTCGCAATAACAATGATATTACAAGACAATACAACAATCGGTGCATAAAATTATTAAATAAAAATATATATGTATATTAAGATACGTGCGAATAAAAATGTCCTGAAAAAATGTGTGCAAGCGTGACATTAATATCGTTGACTTAAATTACTTTATTAATGTTTTACATGATCAATTATTAATATATCAACATTACTACGAACGTATGAGAGAAAACTGTCTACAAAAATTCAAATTTGATTACGCTGTTACGGAAAAACTGTTTACATAAAAATTATCTACACATTCTACACAAATAACTTTTTTTTTTTAATACATATAGTGAGTCGCATAAAGGCGGATGACGTATTACGCAGCGCAGGCTGATTTGCAAAAGTATTTATTAAATGTGTGTTACATCCCCATACATGATTTATTTAATTATAAGTCGTTAATGGCGTTAATACAATCATAATAACATTAAATGTTCACGATATCGTGTCAAACAGAATACTTGAGAAATCGTCGAAATCAAAGTGTGTGTCTTGTGTGCTTGAACTTTATAGAAAAAAAAAACTGCCACATGTCGCGAAGTAGGACCGCGAGAGTACATCGGTCTCGGATAATTTGTAATGCAATGTTGAAAGTTAACTTTGCCTAAATGCACAAGTTACCTGATCGTAAAGCTAATTTTACGGTTTTTACTGATCGTCAACGTTGACCAATGTTGCTTCCATTTTCTTGATTTGAGAAATACATACGGGATTGCCTGCAGAAGAAGTGCAACGATTAATATAGTCATAGAATAAATTAATCCCCTTTCGGAACGAATTACTCCAACGTCTCGAGAACAATCAATATTATTCGGTTTCTTTTATGCAAAGATCGGGAAAAAAATATACATTCAAACGCAGCATATTCTTGCTATTCGGCCACACAAAAAATTCCACGCAAACAACGGCCGCTATAATTTATATAATATAAGCCGGTATTAGCTAAGACATCTGCATGAGCCGTTTATTGTGACAAAACTAAGTATATCGAGTATAAAGCCATATTTCAAACCAGTCGTTTTATAATATTGGTCTATCTGGTAAAATGGTCGACATAACGTCGAATGTGATTAAATAAGTAAAACAAAATTAACTAAATCCAATAGGAAAAGACGCAGATCACAAAATAGATATCGTTGAATTTTCGAGAGTGTAAAAAAAATATACTACTTGGCGGCGAATAATTACCAAACACCTTTCTCGAACAATCCTGTGTATGCATGTATAACATTCGTATAATATTTATGTATATATACAGAGTGCGACAATGGTCGAGCGCTTGTTCTGATCAGACAATATAATCACTACTGACAACAATGTTAAAACTCTGGTGCGAACGTTCTGCCAAAACGAGAGCGTCACAAACGCGGTTTCAAAAACAATTATCCTTTCCTTCGTATAAATAAGATCATTTCGTTCGCTGTGTAAAAAATTTGTGTATAATGCAAATGCATGTGTATATACGTTATATATAAATATATACACACATACATTCATAAAATCTTAAAATTAGTAAATAGTAGTAGTAAATATCAAATATCGGTTTGCGGTAGCGCCGTCGATGCTGCGCTACGATATTTTCGAACGATGAGATTAACAAGCCGCAACGAAAGTAACATGATAATAATGAAACCGACAACAGTTAAAGTCTTGAGTTATTAAGTTATTATCATATATTTCGCATAAGTATTAAATAAATCAGCGATTGATTTCTTTGATAACTTTGAAAAATGTCCGTTAAGCTCATCTTGGAAAATATCGCGGCGTCGCATCCCCCGCGCTCAGGGGGATGAAGAAGAGAGAGAAATTCCGCTCGCGAGGGAACTCCTCTCCCTCCGCGCTAAATCGCCCGACGTGACGCGCGTTTGTAACCGGCCCTCGATTTTCGCAGAAGTCGCGTTCAGCAATTTATGCTACAGCGTAAAACTACGTATACGACAGAGGAAACCCTTTATCTAATTTGCTGTGTGCAAGTAGCAAGTCGACCGCGCAGCCGAAGTCCTACGCGACCCCCCTCGACATCCGGTGTGGATCGTCACCTCGCGTTGTACGAACACGAGGCGCCGACATGCCCCCCCCCCCCCATAAAGCCAAAAATCTCCCCAGGAGAACAGAAATGTCAAAATGATATCAATATGACGTCAAATTGATATCATTTTGACATTTCTGTTCTCCTTGGAATTTTTAAAAACGCTACGGTTTAGCCGTGGCCACGTGCAAAACGGACGCGTTCGAGGATAAAAAGTCGATTGATTAAGCACGACGGGGACCGTACGTTCAGCCTCGATTGCAAAATATATAAAGACGTGATGATATTTAGCATCGTGCGAAATACGAGACACGGTATCGACATGGATCCGACAGTACGTTGCCCCAAATGGTACGTTACAGATAAATATTACGAAAGCGAGGTGTATCGAACGGAGCCGCATTGTATACTTATCGAAATATGTGCGAAGGTCGTGTACGGTAAAAATGAGCGGAACGCAAAAAAAGCAACGGTTTCCTTCCTTCCTGCAATCGTTACTCTAATTATTCAACATCACGTAATTTTTTAATTAATGCAATCCGTCTTAATTGATAAATTCTTCCTCTTAAATATAACCGCGAACTTGGCGTTTTCTTTTTTTTAATCTAAACAAATGTACATCCCTTTATCTGTGCAAATTTATCAAAAATTATCAAATTACTTACAAATCAAGTTAATGGAATTTTTTTTTCTTCAATGATGTTAATTTTTGCGCGGGTCAATAAAATCTTCGATTAAAATATAATGTGTTATCTCGATTATCCCGTCGGAATGCATTAACTCCGTTTTAAACGACGCACGTACGATCGACAATTTTTATGGTTCATTACTTGACCTCGAAGTTATATCGGAAGAAAATCGGACCGTTTCTCTCGACATTCGTCCGGTTATCACTGCAATAGTATCTATGCGAGGAGAGACATCCCTATACAACGTATGACACAGCATTAGAAGGGAAATATATATGTATACGTTTATATGGTGCTTTCTATACCCTACAATCGAAATGATCCAAACATTGAAATTACGTTCGTCGATACGCGACGATCCGGCGAACGTCGGATCGTCCCTGTTAACGTCTCATTAGCGGAGAACTCGGCGTGTCATGGAAAATGTGAAATACGATCTCGCCTCCGTGAGAAAACGCACGGCGGAATAACGCGGCACAAAGTCAACGAAGGGTGCGATCCACGCTTCAAACGCTTCAGAGCGTCATTTTGTCCTTGTTTAATATTTGTTAAACAACAAGGACGAAATGTTTCCAAGAGCGTTTTGGAGCGCCAAGTGGATCGCACCCAAAGTCACGTATGCCGCTCGGCAGTTTTTTTTTTTTTTTTCCCCAAGGGAAAAGGCACCGATACTCGTGCTCCCGTAACGCTATTTTAACACTTTGAATCCACCGATCCGACACACGTGCGCGACACACGTGGCATCGATTCGACACGCGCCCCTCGCGCGACCGAGAGGGCTGCTCTTTTGTACAATCCGTTATTCCTCCCATCGATTTTTCTCCCTTTCGATACGCACGTGTTAACACGTCGCGTGAATTACGCAATTCTGCCAAACCGAGCCGAAAATAATGGGCGAGATATAGTAGCTGCCGGATTCAAGGTGCTAAAACGTTCGGCGAAAGTAGGATAAGTACAAAGTGGTTTTGTGCTGATCGCAAAGTCTTCGATTCGCCTATTGATGGTCGTTCTGATCACCTCGCGCGCATCGCATTCCAGATTTTCTATTACAAAGGTATTGTTCTTTTTCTTTCCCTCGCGAGTACGCTGCGTTTTACCGTTGATCACGCGGGGCGCGCAACACGCGCGTATGTGTGTGTATATCTGTGTATATGTCTCTCGTATAAAGTAATTGACTACCTACTTATCATTAAGAAAAGGTACGTTGTTGTCGGTTTCGCAATTTTTCTTTCCCTTACGTGTGAACACAGCTAGATAGTTTGGAACATATCTCCTACGTGTGAACACAGCTAAATAGTTTGGAACATTTCAAATGTTGAGCGCCTCTCTCCCTTTCTCTTTCATTTATATAGCATATATACATACATATATTTTTATGCGCGTATACATGTGCATGTATGTATATATATATACACACACACATGTATACATATGTATGCATATATGCATATATGTGTATATATATTATATATATATATTATGTAAGAATATTAATAAAAGAATATGTCCGAATGCAATATTGCTTCGTTCTACATACATATGCTGTGATATATTTGTGTATATGTATATATAATATCTATATAGACTTTTTCCATATATTCCTATATAACAACAACATAACTCTTCTGAATAAGATTTTAACAAAGTGAACACAAAGTTCCTACGCTAGGGCAGATTACATGCATTTAGCGAACGGTGCTAACTGTAAAACGTGAAAGTTGCAGAATTGTGCTACATATGGGAACGACCCGGTTCACGTCCGGCCCCTGTTCGTCGTAACGGAGGCACCGTTTCGACATATAAATCATCTCGACTTTATCTTTATTATATATAAGCTCTCAATTCTCTCGGGACCAGTATGTCATTAAAAGTAATCTTTAAATGTCAATCAAATGTCAATGATGGCTTTATTTAACGTTACAACTAATTCGCGTTGGGTAAACGATGGCTACGATTGCAATGTATTCGACGAGAAAGAAATTAATTCACTTTGCTGAACGTCGACCTCGAGATAAAGTCGACACGAAATTGCGACGCTTCCGTTACGCGAAACAAGGCCGCGGGAAGATATTACAACGAGTCATTTGATTAAATGTCTAACGTAGTCTACTTTTATTACAATTCACATCTAGATTAATCTTCATCGCTCATGTATCCGGCAACAGTGATATTACCAGTCCGCGTGTGTCGGGCACAGCTACAATTCTACACCATGCGATATTAAATATAACATTACTCTCCGATCCCCATGATTCTACCGTATTACAGAAAACGATTACTTAAAAATGTGTTATTCCTGCTATCAGTTAGCGCGAAGTAGGAATGCACCTCGTGCTTCTCAGAGATTTCTTTCATCTCGAAATTACAGATATTCGCAATGTCGCTTGTTTACGTAACAAAAATTGTTCCTTCGAGAAGATTCACACGTTGTTCATTGCACAACAAATATTGCACAATGTTAACAATTAATTGCACATCTCGGACTAGGTCCGTTCGATTTTCGGCGTTTCAGGCCGAGCGCCCAAAACCGAAAAACAATGAGTTATTGATAATGAAATGATTTCATAAGATAGTTTACAGATCTAATTTTTAACCAATTTTGCGATTATTAATTCTCGTCTCATACTCTACGAAAAAATTGACATTGTTAACTTATGAAGATTTCTATTAAGAAACTGACGGATTTAACTATTTTTAAATATGATGGAGACACATAAGCGTATGGAACTTATTAAACAGAACGTAATAAATTGTACATTTCTATACTATCAACTGTGTGCTAATTATAATTCAAGATATATATAAACGTTTTTATCTGTTATACAAAGATAAGATCATTAACTACGCAGTAACCCTGACTAGCTGTCGCAAAATTAAGTTAAACGTTTAATTCGCAATTAATATACTGTGAACACAATAAAAGTATCTCGAAGGAACAACTGATCTTACAGAGAATAAGTTACATATGAGAATTACATAGTTTTCGACGTCAACACTTGTCACTAAAATATTCACGCACAGTATATGTATATATAGCACAATGTATAAAGATAACACCGTAATGAAAACAAGAAATACGTACGTCTATTGTGTATATAAAGCCAACATATGTATAAGTAAATATATATTATCTATTAATGTCTCATATATAAATTCTCTATAATATATATGTATATATATATAAAAGGCCGAATGTACATTGACATGACACTGATATTACTATTGCATTGATGTTACATTATGTTTGAATGCGTTAACTTCATCAGAAGCTGAATATATACGCAAACAACGAATATACGCAAAAAACATTTTAAAGTTAAAAATAGCATGTAATTTATACAAGAATAAATTCGGCGTTTGCTCGTTCGCGTCAAACACGACGACAACAACAACTTTTCTAACTGCACGTGGCAGCGCAATTAATTTTAATATCGGCGTCGATTCGTTAATCCAACAACGGCATTGATCATCGATAAAAAATCTCAATGACGGCAGTATATCTTTAAATAACAAGTGTCGTGGATCTTCTTTCTCTTCAAGCACATAAATTAATAGAATGCATTCGCGTCACTACCCTCGCATGGAAGGGTAGAACGAATTTGTTCTCACACCTTGTTATAGACGATATAATAATATATATATATATATGTATAAAATCGAATTTATCCAAATCAGTATGTATCAAGATTCTATCGCAATCACGTTTATCACGCAATCACAATCGATTGTAATATATATATATACACACACGAGATGAAAAAGGTAACTTTTTAACACTTCATTCAATTCTCGGTTACGATATACAATAGTTAAGATGCAAATAAAACCTACTATAGAGCAAATATTAGTCATATCGGAACAAAACCAGTTGTTTATAGTCCAGTTTATGTTAGACTATAACGGGACGAATAACGGGAGTTAATTCCAAGAATTTTGGGACTTGACACGGACATTTCTTTCGGCGTGAAATAAAGTTCTAAATTCTTTCTGTGCCTTGCTCGACGTATTACTTCTTACAAAAACGTTTCCAATGTAAAGTTACCGTAATCTTTTCAGATTATACAATTATGGGCATAATGGCCGAAAGAGATTCAGGTAAACCTTTAAAAAATACGTGAAGCTACGACTTAACTTTATCGTTAAACATGAGTGAAAGCGTGTCGTCGTATGCAACGTGATAAAGTGAGTAATGAAATTATAAATTGTGTACTTCATTTCACACCGAAAATATCCGAGTACGTCAAGTTTTAAAACTTTCCATATTATATTCCCATTACTCTTCCCATATTATAAACTATTAACGCTTAAACAAATGGCGTTGCCAATTCGATTATACAGCTTCAATAACGCATTTGACAACAATAGATGTAACAAAACAGATGTAACAAAGCATATACAATTCACCGATTTGCGACAATTATATGAAGACAAACAGATTCTCTCTCAATTCCTCGATATATATCGCGCGCGCGTTCCGATTAAAATTTAAGTTATTTCAAGAATTGATCGAAGAAATAACTCGTCATGATATGACATCTACCTTCATTTCACGCATATACTACAATGCGTCGTTTACTATTCTATTTAAATTGCCACTAGTCTACCTTTTTTTACAAGCAACCTTGCATCCGGAGTTAAACATCTATTACTCCAATTTATTATCATATATATACGTAATATGTAATAATGCAATTCTTCTCATAGTCATAAAAAATCGTAAGCCTTAGTTCGAACAAGGTAATTTGTAATTACAGGATGGATAATTTTCGTCGCTGAAAAACGCGTTAATAAACCTGTTTCTAATATAAAAATTTACACTTACTACATTACACTCTCTATTTGTACACATAATATGTCACGAATACATTTTAATTAAAATCTTTTTAATTAATGATGGATCACAATGTAACGGTTTGTCTCGGGCTAAAACAATAATATGCATTTTCTGGAAAACAAGTCGCATTTTGTTTCAAATTTTCTTTTCTTTTCAAAAAGAAACAGGTTTCTTAACTGCTTTTTTTTTTACGATTTTCTTTATACCTTAAGAGCAGCTTTGGGAGACCAATGGTGGAAACGGGCGGGTCCCGCGGGATAAGAGGGCTGTACCCACTTGTTTCCTCGGTGTCCCATAAAGGGCGGCGGTGAAGGGCCACCGAGGAAATGCGGAGGCATTATATTATACCATGGCTGGCTGATTGGATGAGGGCCGTAACCCATGCTGAAGGAATGGCCGAACCACGAACGATTTCTGTTCAGGTGCAGCCTAGGACTATTCAAGTTGCGCCTCTTACCTGTACCGTTATTGCTATGCTGTTGATTTTGATTAGCGACGCTTAATGGTTTTGATTTCGGCTGTTGTTCCGTGCTTGCGGTTAGAGGGGATTTCTGGAATCAGAATGCATCAGAGTTTAATATCATTTTAGGGATTTCGCGTAGCGCCCGATCGGATATGGAAAACAAAGAAGATACAGAGGTCAAACGAGTTATAGATAACAAATGTATGCGGAAATTAATACTTTCAGCGACATTTGATTGTTCAATTTGTAAGTCAATAGTCCTTTACGCAACAACTCACGCTGTCCGCCATATCAATAGACTCGGAACGGATGTTTTGTAAATTATCTATTATGCGAGCGTTTCGTATAGCTGAAAGTAATTGATTTACAAATTGAAAAATTGAATATCTCCGAGGCTACTAATTTCCTCTATTGAATACATCTATAAAGAATTCTTTCATCTATTCTATTAAAATCTACGTTCACATTTACATGCGTATACATTAAGATTTTAATCTGTTTTTAATCTATCAGTGCTCACCTGTATCTTGATAGGCCCCACGTGGGCTAGCTTGTTCTCGTTCTCGGCGTTGTCGTTATGCTCGGATTGGAAAATGGGTACGGTGTTCTCCTTGTCGTCGAATGATGCCAGCGTGCAGTACGATCCCTTGCTCTCCCCGAATCGACAGCAGACCTCGTTGGGATCAACCCACAGCGTTAACTCCACCGGCAGTGCCAGATCCTCGTACCTGACACCGGCAGCGCTCGCGGCGGACTCTAGAGTCGCGTCCCGACGATTGTGGCCGTTGACGCGAATGCAACGGTAGCCCTGGCCCTTGAACGGCTTGTCGGGGAACCAGTGGTTCTTGAAGCGTTCCGTCAGCAGTTCGACCAGGCGCCGCTTGAAGCATTCCAATTGATCGGGACTAAATTTTTCGCTTCTTTCGATCAGCTTTACTAAGAACAGTACCGCCGCCCTGATCTCGTTGAGCATTTTGCCGCTGTTGCACACCGGGATTACAGGCCACCTGGACGCACCTCTCGCGATACCACAGTAGCAGGCTCTTGGAAACTAAAGTACCATTCGCCCGAGTCACGGTGGAGCACATAGAGCCCTTCTGCACCGTCGCGACGCTCGAATTCCTCAAGATCTATGTTTCCGGCGTGAATGGCTGGGATCTTGGCTGCACTACTTTGCCACTGCACAAATTTTGCTACGCGATCCGTGTATCCCGCTAATGCTGCTACAATCTGTATGCAAAAACAGAAAAAGAGAACCGTTATTATCGTTATCGCATAACATACATCTCGATAACTTTGCCCCCCCGAGATTTTGCAGCCTTTCGCGGTTCGGCGTGTCAGATCCGGAGGACAAGCTCCAAAGACTTCTCGTTTCCAAAGTAAAAGAAGGGTCAAGGGACGACAGGCAGGTTTCGCTTCCTTGCCGATCGGAGGAATTACTCACGCGGCAGAAAATAAAAAAAAGCGTGAATCGACGTGCGCTTTTTAATCGGAAATCGGATTCATCCTCTAGGTCCATCTGGTAAGACTATATAGCCAGCGCGCGCTCCACTTTTCAGCATGTCGAAAACACGTTGCGCTTCAAGGCACACACATCTCGCGCCACGACGCCTCCGACGCGACGCACGGCCACGTGTCCCGCCGGGCCGATGCGATGCCGCGCGGCCGACGGCGCCGCTGAGTCATCCGCGCGACTGGTCGCGTCAGCGCGGCGAATCGGGACGCAATATGTTATGCCGCGTCAGGTTACTCGGCGCGACGACGGCGTGGCAGGTTAGGGGACGGCGAAAAATGCGTCGCCGATCAGGCGACGCGTTTCCCGACGGCGACGTCGTCGTCGGGACTCGTCACCAGTTCACCGTCGCCGTGCCGTCGCGACGCCAGATCGCTGCACCGTTTGAGCGAAGTGCGCACGACGTGCGCACCTCGATCGTCGCCGCGAGCGAACCGCGGATACCCGCTCGATCGCGTACTCCGTACCCGAGACAACGGCGACGGCGACGGAGTCCGCCGCCGTCGCGACGACGCGAATCCGATAGCGACGTTAAAACTGATCTTACGGGATCGGCGACGGAGATTCGTCGTTGCGTTGCCAGCGGAGCCACCACGTCCTCTCTTTCTCTACAAATAAACGTACTCGACCCAACACGTGTTACGTTGCACCCGTGGTCACGGAGCATATATTCCCGACGTAGACGTCCGTCCCTCGCAGCCACTTGTCCACAAATAAACGAGTCACGCACAGCGGACCGGGATCTAACCTTCGCTCGGCGTCGCTTATCTCTCCTAGATTTTCGTACGGGCATGAATGGTGACGTTGAAATTTCAAGCACGTGCCCTTAGGACACGTGTATGTGTATGGATGGATATCCCCCCCCGCCCTCAGAGCCCTGTGGGCCCGTAGGGTCTGTTTTCTATTGCTAAAACTGATCCAACTTTTCAATGGTTTTTTTTGACGCATTGATTGGTTATCAGAACGGAGAAGGGGAGTGTCTAGAAATATCTTATATGTCTGTATTCCAAAATCTACATTCAGTAGCTAAATAACCAACACGAAAATAAATTCAAATTTCAAAAGAGAGGTTTTATTAATAAATAATATATATTTTTAGACATACGTGTCTAAAGACATCTAAAGACGTCTTTTAGACATGCGCGCTGTCTGGGTTGGGGGATAGGGACTTCCAGAATTTCTGGAAACTCGAGAACTTCTCTATCCTGTAGCCAATCGACACGCCTAAAAAAATTTTTTTATAAATAGTATTAGATAAATACAGAAAACGCGACAGCCAATTCCTTTTTCTGTTAGTCAACCGAAGAACCAATCGGCGGGTACCTAAATTGTACTGATCCCTTAAGAAATTCGCCAGCGTTGCGTAGATATTATAAATCCTATTGTTTTGCTCCGCACTTCTCACGGCGTAGCTCAGCTGACGAAGCCAGAAGCGCACGTGGTTGGGACTGACCTCTGACTGTCGCCGCATCTGTATCTCCGCAAGATGTTGAACATGCACAGAAGCGAACCTAACATTTTAATAACAGGTACACGATAACATACATATATTACATTATTTAATATAAATTCTGAATATCCTTTGAGAGAGAGAGAGAGAGAGAATTGTCGAATCTCGTTTTTCAGGCACACCTGGCGTGGGCAAGAGTATGATGTCGAGCATGTTGTCGCAGAGAACTGGACTGGAGTGGCTGGATGTCAGTAAAATTGCCATCGAGAATGAGTGCCTGGAGGAGTACGACGAGGAGTACCAATGCAGCGTGTTGGACGAGAGGAAGGTAATTTCTTGCATCTCGTTATATGCACAAAGTTTGATTGAAATAAAATTATATTGATATTAATACCTACCCTACAGAGATAGCAGAGTGGCGTCAAGTGGCGTAATAGTGCAGTCAAACTGACGGATTGTTGTCGTTAGAGACGTCACTTTGACAGCATTATAACGTCATTTGACGCACTCTGCTATCTGGGATACATTTTCACATCTCAAACATACAAAAATCTTTGTGTAATATCGCGTTCCAGTTACTGAACAGTATGAAAGGTCCTATGAGCGAAGGAGGAAAAATTGTCGACTATCACAGCGCCGATTTCTTCCCCGAAAGATGGATCGACATCGTATTCGTGCTCAGAACGGACAACACCATCTTGTACGACCGTCTCAAGGACAGGGGTTACTGCGGGAGGAAACTGGAGGACAATATAGACTGCGAGATTTTTCAAATTATTCTCGAAGAGGCGAGGGAATACTACAGGGAAGAGATAGTGCACGAGCTAACGAACAATACTCCAGATCAGATGATGGATAATGTAAATAGAGTATGTCAGTGGCTGGAGCAATGGAAAATAGATAATCAGCAAACGTAAGGCAAATGTATCGAGTTTCCCCTCTCAGTCCAACTTTTATCCTCGTGCTTTATACTTACATTATCTAGATTAAGCTTGTTAAATTTATATTACGTATGAACTTATTTAGATTTCATTGATTTGTTACAAATAAATCAAGTTGACGCGATAAAATGAGAGATCGTACGTATATACAAGTTTTAAGATCCACTAAACACAAATCTGTACATATGTTATAACATATATATATGTATATACAGTTCAAAAACATATTTTTTACATTTTATATAGCGAGCGAAAATATTAAAATGTTTCGTGTAGAATATTTGTATTTTGCAAAAACTGCAATGTATTTATTCTACTACACCTAAGTCATGCTTCAGCTTCTTTAACCTGTTATCTACAGTATCGTAATACTTCATTTTTATTAAAATCTTCGTTGCCGTGTCAATATCTTCTTTACTGAACGCCTCTGCCACTTGCCTGAAAAAAAAGAATCGAAAAGAATGACGTTAAACACTGAAAACGATTTTGGTGTAGATTTCATGTAGATTAAAGCTACCAAAAATGAAGATTACTTTGACATTGTGTCGAGCAGTTCCCTGGATTCTTTGGCCAGTTTCAAGATCTTATCTCTGTCCTCCATCGCATTTTCTATCTCTTCGTTACGTTCCATAATCTCCATGAGAAATTTTGCATTCAAACTGGTAGTACCTTCTGGTATTGATATACCTTTTAATTGCAACATATATAATCCTCTTTTTAATGGATGCGCCAACGTACTGTAAGCCTTATTTATTAGAGACGACAACTTCTCTGAGATTTGCCTTTCTTTCTATCGACACAGTTAAAACAAATTTTACTTACAGATAAGAAAGGGAGAATTTTGATTACACAATAAATTACAAAAAGCTTCCGAGAGAAGATCGTCTAGGCTTGGTTCCGTGAACGCTTACCTCGGATTTGTTGCCAAACTTGTCGGGGTGCAACATTTTCTGCAGCTCCCTGTACTTTTTATGAATCTCCTCGCTCGCCACGTTGTATTCCCTTTTGATTCCCATGATATCGAAATAGTTCAAGTTCCCCGGCCATTCCTGCAACACCTTGCACTTCGAGCAGAACAGCTCGGACTTGTACGTGTAGTCGCAATTCCAACATTTAGGTGGGCTGTCGCTGCAGAATCGCAAGCATCCCAAAGGCAGGGTAGGGCGAACTGTAGCCCTCGACGACGCCTGATGCGAGTACAGCTTACACCGCTGCTTAACCGGACTCACCGCCACCGCGGACTTTCTAATGACTCTCGCCAAGAACATTTTTTCCAGGATGATCTTATAATCTAAAAAGAGAAGAACAATTTTCTTAAAAATGCAACACGTCCACGGAGTTTTGTATTTGTGCCACTACTTGAAAAGCAAACTGCAAGTCTCTCTTGTCACTTTTCGAATGAAACAATTGATATGCATATATAATTCAAACAGATCAACTCTATGAAATGAAAAGTAAAGAAAATCGATGATGTTACAAGCTAATTGCGCGTTTTAACACTTAATTAGAAACTAAACGCAGAGTGACTTTCATAAATTTCATTCTATGCGAGATAAAGTTAGCTCGAAGAAAGAAAGCGAAAGAACTCCTTCAATATCTTTCCTTATATCATTTTATCTTCCACGACAGACTTACATCTAATGATCTAATATGACACTCATGCTAATTCAACAATTCCATCCTAACCTGTCTACCACACACACACAACGCACACAAACACACACATGCTTTATTACGTATCCTACCAGAGCTCCGTTTCCGCGTGTCTCCTTTCTAACTTTTTTACAAGAGACTCGTGTAACATATATAAATATTATTGTCACGTCGGCAGATACGCGCCAGATCGAGCGATCTTGATCTCGGAGTCATTTCTCGTCGCTCGATCACCGCTGCGAATCACGAACAAATTCCGCGACAGCTGGATTCCCAGCTGCTCCAAATTCCCACTTGCTTTTTCGACGAGAGAAACGTCAAACAACGTCAAACGGCACCTGGGCACGCTTCACCACGGAGACCGAGCTTAAGTTCCTTCGTTGGAGAGGAAAAGAGGTAGTTCAGGCGGAAAGAAAGCGACGGGAGGCACGTAAAAAGGGACCCGTTCACGATCAATGATGTTATTTCGAAGTTCCACAACTGGGCAATATTGCACAATATACGATTGATCGTGAACGGGTCCCTTAACGCGTATGACCGAACCTCGTTTTATCGTTCGCAGATGCGGGCCACCCGGAGGAGTAACTGGGACAGCGAAATGATCGACTGGCGCGTCTCCCTCGTCGGCTGACGCGCGTCATGCACGATACAAATGATACAATTATCGCGCGCTACGTGCACGAGCTGTTGTCCGAGGCGGTGCTCGAATTTCGCGACTTCCGCCCCGATAAGGCGCTATCGGGCCGCCGTATCGACGCGCGATGACACTGGCCGTTTCTTGGTTAGCTCGAGTACGCACGGATTAGCGAGCGACCCGGCCCACGGCGATCCTCGGCCACGTCCCTGACCCGCGCGGCACGGCGTCTCCCGATTTCGACGTCGCGGTATTATGAATTCGACCGAGAATCGCGGTCACGAGGGCGACACAACTGGCGGAATTTGACGAGAGCTACAAGTCGTCGACGAGTCCCCTGCTTCGAGCTCTCTGGGTCCAGGCAGGTCCAGGGATCGGGATAGGAAAAGCGACAAAATGGGGGACTACCGGCAGCAGTTGGGCTACCTGATCAAGTGGCTGGGCACCTTTGACCTTCAAGCGCCGCACAGCTCCGCGGAGGAGATAAGCGACGGGGTCGCCTTGGCGGAGGCCCTGGCCAAGATCGCGCCGGAATGGTTCACCGCGGTGTGGAAGGCGAAGATCAAGACCGACGTGGGCACCAACTGGCGCCTGAGGGTCAGCAACATGAAGAAGATCGTGGAGGCGGTGATGGAGTACTACGTGGAGTGCCTGAACCAACAGTTGTCCGGCTACGCCAAGCCGGACGCGGGCAAGATCGGCGAGCACTGCGACAACGACGAGCTGCGCCGGCTGCTGCAGCTGATCCTCGGCTGCGCGGTCAACTGCGACCAGAAGCAGCAGTACATCACCAGGATAATGGGTATGGAGGAGACGGTGCAGCAGGCGATAATGCAGAGCATCCAGGAGCTGAACTTCGAGTCCCTGGTAGACGTGGCGGACGGCGCTCAGCAGCGGCTCTACGCCGAGCTACAGGCGACGGCGGACATGAAGGACCAGCTGGCGCAAAGGTGTCACGAGCTCGATCAGCAGCTCTCTCTGTTGCAGGAGGAGAAGGCCGCGTTGATCACGGAGAACAAGAAACTCCAGGAGCGGCTGGACGAGTTTGAGAATCCGGAGGAGTCCGGCTCTATCCTCAAGTATTCCGGGCTGCGGAAGCAGGTGGAAGAGTTGAAGGATGAGCTGTTCAAGATGGAGACGTCCAGGGATGATTATAGATTAAAGGTAGAAGTGTTGGAGAAGGAGGTGTTGGAGCTGCAGTCGAGGCAGGAGGATCTGCAAAAGGCGGCCGACGAGGCGAACCACCTGAAGGACGAGGTGGACGCCTTGAGGGAAAATACGGACAAGGTAGCAAAGTACGAAATCACGATAGAGTCGTACAAGAAGAAGATGGAGGACATGAGTGACCTTAAGAGGCAATTGAAGATCCTGGAAGATAAGAACGTCGAGTATCTGCAAGCTAAATTGGACTACGAGGAAGAAGCAAAGCGCACGACGATGCTGCGCGGTCATCTGGAGGTATGTAAGCAACAGCTCGCGGAGGTCCATCACAGGCTAGACGAACAGAGCAACAAGAACGATCGGCTTGAGTTCGAGGGCAAGAAAATGGAAGCGAAGTTGGGCGCCCTGCAGAGGGAGAGGGATCGGCTGACCATCGAGAGAGACGCCCTGAAAGAGACGAACGAGGAGCTGAAGTGCACGCAACTGCAAGCCGCCGAGAACATGGCGAAACCCAGTGCCGACAGTACCGGAGTCTCCGCGACGGAAATGATCCCGCTTGAGGTCAAAGAGAAGCTACTCTGTCTGCAGCTGGAGAACAAGATGATGAAGATGAAGCTGACCGGCAACGATGACAAGCTGCCGAGTGTGCAGGCGTTACTCGAGGACTCCGAGGAGCGTCTCAACACGCTGCGGGGGCAAAATCGCAAGGCGAATCAAAGGATAATGGAGTTGGAAACCAAATTAGAGGAAGCCATGGGCACTCAGGTTGGCGGCGACAGCAAGAGCGACAACGTGGGCTTGAATCAGAAGATGTCGCAGCTGCAGGACGAACTGCGAAAAGCGCAAACCGACAAGGAACGATTGACCCTGCAGCTCGAAGAGCGCGAGAGCGTTCTGCAGGCTCAGAAGCAGAAGGCCTTCGCTCTTCAGGAGAAGCTCACGCGGAAGGAATACGAGAACGCCGCGCTCGAGGAACGTTACAAGAAGTACATTGAGAAGGCCAAGAGTGTAATAAAGAGTCTCGACCCGAAGCAGAGCAACTCTTCGCCGAGCGAGGTCGCCGTGCTGCGCAACCAACTGGTGGAGCAGCGCAAGATGATCGAGGACATGGAGCGGTCTATGAAGGAGTCCAGGTTGCTGCGAGAGATGGAGGAGAAGCTGATGGTGACGGCCTTTCATAGACTAGGTCTGAACTGTCATAAAGAAGTGATGGATCAGCGCCTTGCGGCGCTTAGTTCGGGACAGGGTCAATCTTTTCTGGCCAGACAGAGGCAACCCTCGACGAGACGTTATCCGCCTTATAACTCGAAATAAGGACACGCGCAAAAGCAAGTTGATTTGACGTAATTAAGTATTATTGCAAGATGAAGTGGTAAATTATCGTTTGAGATAATGTTGTTAACAGCGCGATAAATGTGACGCTGCACACCCCATTATGAACTTAACAATCATAGATTTATTCAACGACGATGACTGCCGAGTCAATATTCAGTGTCATTAACTTGTAACATAATATTAAGACGTCACATTTATCTCCCTGTTACGATTATCTCGCTTTGATTGTATTTCTTTCGATATAGATACAATTGAACAAAACTGAAATATCTCCACTTTCTAATAAGTAAAAAAATTGATTTTTTACGAAATTGATTTCTTATCGAATCAATACATAAAAACTGTGCTTAAAAACTGAACTGTTAACAAACATATAAGAGTCCCTTTAACCATTTTTTTATGTCTAACTAGCCAATTTTTTGTCTTCCTGTGAAATCATCAAACGCAAATATAATTCCAACATTCAGTTCTATGATCCACATTTTTATCCAAATGACGATTTTCTAGCTATTAGAGATGTGCCAATACATATGTTCCTATATCTTTAATGAGTATATAAAAAAAAAATAATCGCACGATATCTCCAACAGTTAGAAAAGCAGACTAAATGTATATTTCTTGTATGTACATTTAAAAAAATTGTATCTATATCGTAAATGTTTACTATATTTACTTTATCTTAATCAGGCTCAATATAAGAGATACATATTGAATAAATTGTAAATAAGATTATATATAGATATTGGGATACTTTTGCTTCGCGATAGGCTAAATATTGTGCAAGGTGTTGAGTATTCTGTAATATGAACAAATTTTATCCCATATAGTGATATTTTAAATCATGCTGACGAAGAACTATAGACTTGAAAAATATTGTGTACATCTTATTTCGATAGAGTGATTGACCCTAAGTGTACATTCGTAAACATTGTTATTTGCTTTGTGCAACAACACATGATGAAACAAGGTTATTGTAAATAGTGTATAGGCCGTTCTATACACACTTCTCGAATTCGAAAACAGATCTATATATATATATATATATATAAAGTACATATTGCAACGTAAAGAACTTATTCGTATATTTATATCTTTATAACCACGCGTGTTAATATTATGACTAACATTATTTATTTGATATACATATAATTTGTTATCGCTATTATATTTGTTTTACAATTCTCCAATGCACATGGCAATCGGAAAACCGATGTATGGAATGTACATACAGAGATAAATAAATACATAAATGCTCTATAACATAACACTTTATGGAAGCGAATTTTATCATCTACTGATCTACATACAATTATGATTAGGACGTTTCAGAAAACAAATATCTCATTGTAATAGAATACCGATACTTGCTGAAATTGTTACAATTCATTATTAAATTTTTATCGGCAAGATTGATTGATAAATTACTTAATTATACATATCTTATACGTATTTTATAAGCTTTCCTAATGATCTCATTTCTTCATAAGAATGAATCTATTTTACATGTCATGTTTATATGAGAGAAAAATGAAAAAGATTCTGTACAAGTAAAAACTTCAGTAATTTTTTTCATTGTTCAAGCATTTCAATATTAGGTCTTGCTCAGTTTACATATTTTAAAGATTTAATTATTCCTTTTATTATTTCTTGTTTTCTAAAACATCTTATGTAGCTGGAAGTACCTGTAGCTATCTCCCTGAGTTTATGGTATTATAAATGTGTCCATAGAACAAATATTTGTATAAATTTTAACATTAGTTTTCATATATGATTTGTTTCATCTTCTGTCTTTGTTTAATCGCTTGACTAGTTCTTATATATAAATTTATATATACACACACCACTTTTATATGTATAAATATATATATAAATTTATTATCAATTTAATTTTGTTGATGCACGAGACATAATACAATTTAATCGCTGTAATAATTTGGTAGACATATATTCACGAAATAGAATAAAATTGCCTGAGGAAAAAGTATACCGTAAACTATACCGTAATGGAAAGTTAATTTGAAGCTAAATACATGCGATAGATTTTCAGCATATTTTACTGATTAGATTTACTGGAATAGCGTTTATTTGTTTCTAGGACTGAACTGTCGATAGATATATATTTTTAATCATAACGTCGCGTTCATGATGCAACTTATCGACGTACATGGATACTCTACTATTATGCACGATTGGTTTCGAATTCTTCCTAAATTTTTGTAAGTCAGGATAACATCTCTGATAATAAAAAACTGCACCGAGAAAATGCCATATACTGAATTCAGGCCACAATACATCGGTAAAGTAGACGCAGGAGTCAGCAATCTAAACAAAAAAAATTAGGTAAAATTATTTTAGACGTTTGATTGTTCGTTATTTTAGATTCTGCTTCGATAAGTTACAGAAGAAGAAATATATTCAAGTCACAAAAAATGAAATACGTCTTCTTACTTGCCACAAGAGGTAATCGCTCAATCGAGTCTCTCCGGAAGTACGAATTAATAAATCTGGATTTGGAGACTTGTAAGTGTACAAACAGTCGGCAATCAGGTGTTCATTAATATCTTCTGGTAAAATATCAGTATGCTTTACACCCTTTACTATATCTTTAATTGTATGAGTAATTTCATCCCTTGCTGCAGATATGTAAAAAACAAAAAATTTTGTTTTAAATTATATGTACATGTTTTTTATAATTTATTACTTTACACTGTATATAACACATTACTTTACATTATATATATTAAATATATATATATATATAATATATATATTTAACATTAGAAAGTAATGTAACTTTTCATCCACAGCTAGTATATAAAATATAACATCGAGTGTGAATATAAATATGGTTTACAGTGACCGTACTTACACGTATAACAAAAAGCAAGATTTAAAAATGCTTTGTTATTGTCCTTCGTGAGGACCATAGCTTCAGCGATCAATTTGCATAAATCTTCTGGAAGCAAGGACAAATTGCCAATCACGCGAATGCACACTCCAAATTCCATTAACTTATCCCTGGAAATTTTTTACATTTGTAACAGCAAGATCTATGCAACTGTGACGCAAAGTAATGCCCGATTTGAAATGTCACGCATACTTCTCTACTAGGAGACGCTTGAACTTCTGCCTGGCAAGGTCCATGAGCTCATCGACTTCCTCTTTGCTGCGCTTAAAGTTCTCTATGCTGAAAGCATAAACCGTGACCTCTAAAATGCCAAGATCCATGCACCAATTCAACGTCTCGGTCATTTTTTCAAACCTGTCACAAACAAAACACAAGACATTAGACGAACATAACGTAGACTATAACGTATCTGCAAACTCTCTTCAAGCATACGTACCCCTGCGAGTGCCCCTCTTTTTTCACTATATTACGTTTGTTCGCATAACGTCTGTTACCGTCCATGATAAACGCCACATGCCTGGGTAACTGGCCGGTTTTAATGATCTTCAAAGCCAGGAGTTGAAACCAGTTCAAAGTGCGTTCTCTCACCCACGACATCGTACTCCGAATTTTATGTACGGACGTGTAAAATGCGGAAAGACGTACCGCCTTCGACCGACCCTTCGTCGAACGCTTCTATCAGACTCGACTGTCCAGTAGTCAGTGCTCGTCGACGAACATGACAATGTGCCACTGGGCTTGTTGAGACGATAACGACGATATCAGCTGCCAGTCATGGTTTAACCTTCGTAACGCAACTAAAAAAAACTACTTGCGACGCGGCTACCGCGTCGTATCCATAATCATCCTAATTATCTATCTTATCTACGCATTCGCGCGCGTTACATCGACGGTGTATTGGGGTTATCCTTGAGGTGTCTTCGGCACCTCCTAACTGCTCCTAACGGAATGCTGACGAAATGCCAAACGCAGTTTAACTCGTGCGAGCAGCTCTCTGTCTCTTTCTTTTTCTCCCTTTTTGTCTTCATCTAACGCGAGCCGGAGCGGCCGGGGGCCGTTATCGCGACGATCCCGATCATTTCTCTCGCGCTGTCGAACTCGAATCGAACATCTATGACCGTCAGCAACGATCGGCGTCGTTCTCGTTAATATTCGAGGAGAGTGTCTAGCGTTCGACGCGTGTAACGTGGTACACGTGAACGCGCAGTCCCCGTCCCCTATCTCATCGTCATCGTCCGTCCGTCGCGGCCGCCATATTGGCTTGCGTCGCCGCCGTTGCCCCTCCACCCCTTTACTCCTCCTCGCTCTCGTGACGTGTCGCGTGAAGCGAGCTGCAGGCTGCAGGCAGTGCAGGCACGTGTCGCGAAAATAGAAACCCTCGGCTCCGACCTGTTTATAATTATATATTTTAATTATGTTGCACTGTTTAGATTGAGAGAGATATGATTTTACGGAAAACGACGCAAATTCATCGCTACACGTACGTATGTGCATACACGCGCGTATGTGTGTGATAATATGTATAATATGTGTTATCATATTGCGTCGTAATACACATAAATATGCATGGGTATACACGCGTATACCGTCAAGCACACTCATACTAACGATATATAACGAATGTGTGTATACATATACGTATATAACATACACATATACGTATGTACACTGCATGCATGTGCGCGCGCAACACACACGTCGCACGTGTCGCGTCCTGTCCGTTTTCGCAGTTGCGCCATGTGCGCGTTTTTCTTCGCTCCTCTCCTTTCCCAACCCCTTATTCATTAACGTGCAGCTGCGACAAACAAGGAGACGGATGTCCCGATAAAGCCTCGCTCTATTAAATTCACGAACCTGCATCGGTTATTCGAAAGTGGACACGATCGCGTCTGCTCGACGCGATAAATTACTGTTACGATCTCCCCGCGATCAATACGCGGTCCCCGATACGTTTCCCCGACGCGGGCCGATGCGATCTTTCGCGATTTATTTTATTTTTTTTCAAGAATATCGATCGATTTTTACGTCTGGATAGTCGTGCGAGTCGAAGTTGCACGGTGAAACGAGCAACGTGAGCGATAATGGTTCCCTTTTAGGTGTGCTTTTAATACATGATTTGTCGTTGATTTTCTCGCGCGGTTTTCGTCGATCGTCGCGAACGAGCGTCGCCGAATACCCTTTTTTCAAATATACTTCGATTCGTTCTCACGAAAATGTCACGTATGAAAGACACACATCACCGGCGGATTATGCAATATTCGTTTATTCATTTGCATTGGTTTTCCGTCGCGCCTCGCCTCTATAAATAGACTATTAAGTAATTTGAAGAATTTTGTCTTGATCAAATTCGCGAATCGAGGTTTGACCGCGAGACGCTTTCAAGCGTGCCGCGTTCAATGGCGGAGTCGTCGTCTCGCCGATAGGCTCCCGGATGATGTAATCCGGATTGTTCGCCATGTTTCCTCGCGATGGTTTCGCGCGAGGCACGAGATTCCTTTTTATACGGCTTCGCGGAATTCGTCAAGAATACGACGATCGATCGTTCGATCGCGCCGAGGAGATCGCGGATTTTCGGCGATCGAAACACATTTTTCCGAGCGACGCGCGACGGCACGGGGTCGGGGTCCCGCGCGGCCCCGCTACGCTCCTGTGTCCGTAGAGCGGCGCGGCGCTCCACCATTGGAGGGACTACTTTCGCGTCGGGTAGGCGAGCGTGCGCATGTGCGTGACGCGGTCCCGAGCAGTACAGAGAAAATGAACTCCGTGGTGGTTTGTAGCGGTACTACGAGCCGTGTAAGCCCGATGCTCCCGTCGTCGTCCGTAAGTGAATAGGAAGATCGATCCGGCCGGGATGGAGGGCATCGCGTCCAGGAACGAGTCCGGGATCACGCCAGGTAAACGCGGATGGCCGTTAACGGGTGGAATTAAGCGGGACGGCACGGAAGCGCGAGCGTGTGCCGTGCCGTCGCGCCGTTACGTGCCGCCGTCGCTAAAAGCGCCCCGCGCAACTCCTCTTTTTCCAGAGCTCTACTTCCTGATCGTCAAGTTCCTCGAGGCGGGCATCTGTCCGGAGGCCGCGGCGGTAAGTGAACGACAACCACGGGCTCCGGCCCGAGCAAGCTACGTATACGAACGCGCGTCACGCGAGCACTCAACGCGCTTTGTTTCAGGTGCTGAAGCGGGAACTGGAGCGTGCCGAGGTAAGCCGTAACGGCGGACCCGACACACTGTATACAACGCCGAGTTGCGGACCACATGGCTCGCACGTGGTTTCTGCTTGTCAAAACATTAGAATCTCAAGGTCACTGACCTTGGCCGGTCGCGAGGCATCGCCGGCCGTTCCGGCGGGACCGCAATCGGCGGCGATCGCCGATCGATCGGCATTGATTTCTCTCCCCCCCTCCTCCCCCGATCATCCCCCGTATGGGTTTTTTTTAGATCGCGCCTCTGTTCGCAGGTACTTCCGTCGCGACTCGATTGGGAGGGCAACGTGCACAGTCAGACGTTCGAGCAATTGGTGAGTACGGCACGCACCACGGTCGCGACATGGCGATCGGCAGAGGCGAAACGTGTGTGGGGCCCTTCGACTCGCCGCGCGACGCAAGTCCGAGTCTTCCCCCGTACGGGGGAAGACTCGGGCCGCGTCGCAAGGTGGTTCGATGAAATAATGCGCGCATCGAGTACCCCCCCGTCGATCCGCGGGGGGTTGCTCTCTCCACCCCCTTTGATCGCCGTGACTCCTCTCGCGTCGCCTCGTTCCCTCTCTGTCGCGCCCACGCAGCCGACCGTTCGCTCACGGTTCCCCCACCGCCGCCGTCCGTCGGCCAATGGAGGCGCGTCTCCGGCCATTTCGCGTGAGCTGATCAATGAATATAGACGCCCGCGGCTTGTTTGTCAAGTGCGGCTACGTGCGTGACGACCAAGCCGGCTACGATTGGTCGGCGCGTCGGTGCGCGAGCGTCGATTGGTCCGGTCGCGGGAACTACTTGATCGTTCGAATTTCTCGCGCGAACGTTCCGGAGTCCGGACGATCGGACAACGTTTTCGTTGACAATTTAGGGAACGTTAATTTCTAGTTTTGTGCAGTACTATTTCTTCTGCGTTACATGTAATTTGTAATTATTTTTGATTGATTCTCGTATTTTACACATCCAACACGAAGGATGTAGAACCAAATGACGCTTGAGAAAAATACACAACATGTGTTTAGGTAATGAAACTGAGTCTATACTTGAGTCCGACCGAAAAATCTGTTTTGCTTTCGGCTCGTTTTAGCAAAAACAAATCGGAGTTTTGGTTGAGTTTCGGTTTCGGCTGAAATTGAAAGCGAGTTTTGGCGACGTAGCCGAAATTGTTTATCTTTCGCAGATTTTTAGAAGACCTGTTTAAAAAATATTTTTATCATATGTTTAGACATTTTCTTATTATTGAAATAATATAATTATGATACTACTATCCGTATACTATCTGTATATAGCATACTACGGATTGTAATAGTACGTGAAAATTTCGGTTTTTGGCCGAAATTGACACATAACCGAATATTCTTTTTCGGTTTCGACCGAAATTAAAAAAGATTGTTTTGATGTCGGACTTCAGTCTATACGACCTCTTTCTGCGAATATTCTATAATCTTGAAACCTTTCCACGTGGTACTCGATGTGAATTTGTAAATACTTGTCAAATTTCTAGACGTCGAATATTTATGGATTATTTCGCAGTGATTTGATTGAGAAATTGTGACGATTTTTTTAGGAAAAGAAATATCCTCACATTGGACCACATTATTTGTTGCAAATATGTGCCAGAATAGGACCAGTGTTAGAGAGAGAAGTGCCGCCATGCGTTCGTGGAGTGATATCGCTTCTGGGAGCAGGCAGGCAGTCCCTGCTGCGTACCCACGAAGGTATGAAGATGCCTGATATCAATTATATTTAATATTAATTAATTGATATTTTCTGGATTAAAACGTTCACTTCTGATGCAATAAATTTTAAACATGGAATTTGTGAAATTCTTTGTTTTTTGTAGATTTTACGCGTCGTACATACAGCATTGTCGATTATTCTATAAGACTCGGTGGAAAACCTTTTCTGGAACTCCTCGGTAGCCTGTCAGTGCCTAACATAGGTAAGAGAGCTCGGTAGTCAACAGTTGTTTGTGCAAGATACATTTGTCATGTGTATTCTTGACGTGGGCACGTATTATGGAACTTTTCGGAATGGATTCTGATCGAAGTTAATTATTTTCTAGATTTTTATTGTTTTCAACGCAATACGGAATAATTCCGATCGGAATCCATTCCGAAAAGTTCCATAATACATAATACATAATACATGCCCAGTACTCTTCTAATTTTGCTTTCTGTGCAAATGGTTGATGTATAATTTTGGCGTGTATATCTTTTTGCCTACTAGTACGTGTACTTCAGGGACGAGAGAATTCTGGCCCCTTGAGCCGGAGGCAGGCGATACCTACAAAGTTCTACAGCAAAATGAAGTTGTATCGGCATACGCTGGGCCATTTATCCGCGGTGTACTGCGTGCTGTATGATCGCACCGGCAAATATATTGTAACTGGAGCGGACGATTTGCTCGTCAAAATCTGGAGTTCCATTGACGGACGTTTGCTCGCCACTTTCCGTGGTGCATCCGCGGAGATTATGGACATTGCGGTGAATTTCGAAAATACCCTGTTGGCAGCGGGAAGTTTAGATCGAGTAATACGGGTTTGGTGTTTTCAGTCGATGTCGCCTGTAAGTACACCAAAACGATGATACAGGAGACAGAGTTACTTTTCTAGGAGAATTATATTTTACTCATAAATTATATTTCTCTCAAGGTGGCAGTTTTAACCGGGCATTCAGGCATGATTACGTCCATTAATTTTTGTCCAATAGCGTGTAATGACGTTTACTACTTAGTCTCTACCAGTACTGATGGATCCGTAGCCTTTTGGTCTCATACAAAGAAACCGAACGAGAGAGCAGTATTTCAGTAAGTTTAGCTGATCAATTATATACAAGTAATCTCAATAATTTTTTGTTCTTACATATCCTTTTCCTGTAATATTACTTTCAACTTGTATAAACATTTTTATGTGGGACAATCGCGCCGTTTTTGTTACAGAACAAAGCCCATTCAGTATCATGAGAAAATGAGGCCCGGCCAAGCGCAAATGATTTGTTCCTCCTTCAGCCCCGGAGGTGCATTTATGGCAGCTGGCTCCGCGGATCATAACGTGAGAGTTTACGCGATGTTAGGGGACGAAGGACCACGCAGAGTCCTCGAAATTGAGGCGCATTCCGATACAGTCGATAGTATTCAATGGGCGCACAGCGGCTTAAAATTCATTTCTGGTTCTAAAGATGGTACTGCGAACGTATGGCATTTCGAGCAGCAGCAGTGGGTACATAAACAGCTGCTCATGACGACAAAGCTCCCCGGGTGGGTTGTCTTTTTATTTGGGTTTCTTAAAGAGATAAAGATTTCATTGAAAGATTCCATACCTTTAATGCAATGTGTTAAAAAATATTTTTTTTCTCTTTCTTTTTACAGAGAACCAGAAACGGATGATGACTCGAACAAAAAGGCGAAAGTAACCATGGTTTGTTGGGACGTGAGCGACGAATTTGTTATAACAGCAGTCAACGATTATACGTTGAAAGTGTGGAACGCAAAATCGGGTGGATTGGTGAAGGTCCTGCGGGGACACAAAGATGAAGTTTTTGTGTTGGAATCGCATCCAATAGATCCTCGAATGATTCTCAGTGCTGGTCACGATGGCCAGCTTATTGTTTGGGATGTATTGCAAACAGAACCGATTGAGTGCTTTCAAAATTTTGTTGAAGGTCAAGGAAATTGTGCTATTTTTGACGCGAAATGGTCGCCCGATGGTACGAGGCTCGCCGCGACGGATTCTAATGGACATCTGTTGATGTACGGATTTGGATGTGCAGTCGAGAAACTGAAAATCGTAAGCCTCCATTTGTATATTTCATTTTGTATCGGTAGCACATTCCTAAATTATTTCTAAGTTATTACTTAAATTATATTTTCAGATACCGAAAGAATTATTCTTCCACACGGATTATCGTCCTTTGATAAGAGATGGAAATAACTATGTTCTCGACGAGCAAACACAAACAGCGCCGCATTTGATGCCGCCACCATTTTTGGTTGATGTAGATGGAAATCCCTATCCGCCAGCGTTGCAGAGATTGGTACCAGGAAGAGAAAATTGTAGGGGCGAGCAATTGGTACCAAATATTGCAGTTGGTGCAGGCGGTAAGATAATAATACATACGATAATGCAAAACAATCGCAAACCTTAAAAAGTTCAATAATTGAAACAGATGTTGGTCTTCAATAGTAAGAAAAATCATTTTTTTTTTTTTTTTTTGCAATTATTTCCTAATTTTTTTCAGGGTATTCGGAATTCTTTTTAACGAATGATTGTTTTAATTAGAGTAACACAAACTTTTCTATTAAATAGGCATGCAAGAAGTTATAGAAGGTCTTCCAGAACAAGAGCCTAGATCGAACATTGATCGTTTAATTGAGGCTCTTGCTCAGAGACAAAATATCAATGGAGGAGCGGATGGAGAAGCGGTCGCCGCTGGTGCCGGAGAAGATAGGGAGAATAACGTCGCGGAACAACCGATTCGTCAAATAGCGAGTCCTCGTGGTAGTAGAGCTGGTTTGAGAAGAGAAGGCAACGTTGAAGGTGTTCGGCAAAGCAGCGGCAATTGGCAAAGGGATAACACTACTCCTTGGAATAAGCCTATGCTCGCGCGTCCCATTAATCCGGCTGTAATGGAGACTCAACTCAAAATGATGTAAATATTACATGGATTTTTTTAAATAATATCATGAGATAAATAAACGTGATCAGAATGACGAACAAATTTCATAAGAAACTGTCTTAAATGAATTGATCAGTTCTTCATTCGTGATACAAACACTATGTTGAATATGATGCTAATATTAATGTGAAAAGAACATATCGATTTTTAAATTAATTTACGTTTTGTATGTTTTCTGTGAAGTCAAGCGATGGCCGATAATGAGATAGAGACTTGGCGACAGGAAATGCGACGGCGACCACAGCCTACCTCGAGCACTGCCACTGATCAAGGCAATATAGGAAATAAACTTATAAACCGGAAACGTAATAGAACTACTAGGCACGGTTATAGAACTAGAGCAACGCGTGAAGAGGAGGAGGAGGATGAATATGAGGTATCTCAGATACGATATTTAATATTAATAAATATTAACTTGTCGACAATCATGTTTGCTGTGTTGTAGTGATGATTAAGGAGACTGTACGGATTTACGCGGTTGGTTAAGCGTCGTGATACCTTACGTTTTTACAGAGTCCTGAAAACGCTGGCACGTCAGCGAGTTCAGCCAGTAGCAACGATTCCACTGCTCACGAGGAAGATATGTGCTCCGATTCTAGCACTACAGATTCCAGTACTGAGTATTCCGATTGGATCGCGGATCACGGATTGAGTTTAGAACCGCCCAAACGCAGTAAACGGAAACCCGTGAAAAAACGGTCTGTCACACCCCAGAGTGAGACGGACCGAAGACGCAGTAGGCGTCCTAAGAAAAAAGTATTGCATATAGATATTACGACTCTTACGTTATTTTAATTTGACATTTTCTAAACTCTCTATCATCCTTATCCAGCAGGGAATACAAATAGCTAATGGTATTCGTGAAGTTCCTGAAATTTATCGACCTTCAGAATGGCTTACCGAAGTAATACCGAGGAAAGCCCCTTATTACCCGCAGATGGGCGACGAAATAGTGTATTTCAGACAAGGTCATAAATTCTATTTAGATGCAATTAGGAATAAAAAGATTTATGAGCTTAGTCCGCGGTGCGAGCCATGGACCAAGATAAATATTAGAGTATGTTTATTTTATTCTAGAGGTTAAGAAAGGTTTTTAATTATAGATACTTTCCATTTACATGAAAACTCAGATAAATCTCACTTGTGACGTCATTCTGTCTTTATTATTCATTAATTACCAAAAAGGATAGAACGACGTCACAAGTGAGAATTATCTGAGTTTTGATGTAAATAGAAAGCACCTTATATTGAACCAGCATATTTGATATTAATATCTTAAACGCTGATATATGTAGGTATACTAATCACAGAAACTTATATTCTAGGCGCAAGAGTTTGTAAAAGTAGTGGGTATTAAGTATGAAATACGACCGCCTCGTTTGTGCTGTTTGAAATTAGCATTGATGGATGATGCCGGTCGGCTTACTGGGCAGAATTTTACTATTAAATACCACGACATGGCCGATGTGTTAGATTTCCTAGTGTTGCGCCAAACCTTTGATATGGCGTTGGCGCGAAGTTGGTCTCAGCATGATAAATTTCGTTGTATGATCGATGATGGCTGGTGGATGGGGAAAATTGTCGGAATGCAACCATTAGACGAAGAGTTTCCGGAATCGTATTTTATGTCCATTCGCGTCAGATGGGATAATGGAGAATTTGAACGAATGAGTCCTTGGGATCTCGAGCCTATTGACGAAGATAGTAAGCTCGTTTAATTTGATTATCAAAATAGACGTTTAGTTTCAAATCGAAAGAGCAAACGGCACAATTGTAATATTTTATTTCGATGTAATATTTCAACATAACTTTTTATCAAAATTTGAAATTATTTTAAATTTTTTTAATAAAATTTTTTTATAAAATAAAATAAAATTTTTTGATTTAATTTACTTATACTTTTAATTATGCACTGATTACTTGTTTAGGAGTTCCCACGGAAATTGGCGGTGCAGTTTCCGTTTTACCGGAGGAGAGACAAGCGATACTGTACCAACCACATGCGGAGGAGTGGCCCATGGGTGACAGAGAAGCGACTTGTCGCCGAATCATACGAGGCCTGGATCAAGTAATGAGTCTCGCGATCGCAGAACCGTTTGTGGTGCCGGTGGATCTTAGTCTTTATCCAACTTACGCCTATATCGTGGAATATCCAATTGATTTGTCGACTATAAAAGCCCGTTTCGAGAATCATTTCTACAGAAGAATCACATCGGCGCAATTTGATGTTAGATACTTAGCAACGAACGCTGAACAATTCAACGAACCGCACAGTCATATAGTGAAAAAAGCGAGAATAGTCACTGACTTATGTCTACGTATAATAAAGTAAGATACATGCAGAAGTGGCATTTGCAGAATCTTCATATATATTTTTCTTTGCTTGTACGTTTTTTAAATAACGTTTCTTATGTAGGGAAACTACCGATGTGGATGTTCCGGCAGTATATCACCAATTGAATGATACGTATCACTCTTCTGAATCGGAGGTAGACGTAGAAAACAACAGACCCTCGACGAGTAAACCGAGATCTGCTTCGAGTAGAAATTTGCGCTCGCAAGAGATATCACAAGACTGGAAACTGGCGTGTCGCCAATTGCTGGAGAGTTTATGGCAGTGCGAAGACTCGATACCTTTCAGGTAAGTCAAGAGAAAACTTGAATTTTTAATAGCATTATTTTTTTGTACCTTAAGGAATATGAATGAGGAAATACCGATCGTTTTTTGCAGAGAACCGGTGGACAGATTAGAACATCCGGAGTATTATCAAATAATAGACACACCGATGGATTTGCGTACCGTCAAAGAGGATTTACTAGGTGGCAATTATGAGACGCCTGTGGAATTTGCGAAGGACATGAAATTGATATTTACAAATAGTAGGAATTTTAATACCAACAAACGCTCGAGGGTAAGTTGATGTAATATTTGCGCCTGCTTTATTCATAACTCCGCATTTCCTTGATGTTCGGCTATTCGTACAGATATATTCAATGACAATAAGACTGTCGGCTATGTTCGAAGATCACATGCATAGGATACTTTTAAATTGGAAATCGGCGAGCAGACGTAAATGTAACAATAATAAAAACAATGAGAAGAACAATGAGAAGAAAACAAGAGCGAAAAGAAAGAGGAGACAGAGGAAGAAACCTAATTTAAGTAATGGCACAGGTAAGCGGTTATTATTGAATCGTGTAAACGTAACGCGATAAAATGTAAATTGTTTTATGTACAGGACCTTCCAAATCAAAATCTGCTCCTAGCGATGACGACGAAGACAATGTAGACAGTGAGAACGACGACGACGAGGAGTCTGGTAAAGAGCAGAAAAAGAAAAATTTTGACATATTTGCACCTGGTACGCGCGTGTACCTTTTTTTCCAAATTATCACTTTGTTATATATCGCGTAAGGAGTTTGTCAAATTTTGGAAATATTTTCAGATGTTTTCAGCAGAGAATTATTTTGTCATCTGCGTATTTTGAATTTGAAGAAAAAGACCCTGTACTTTGATAAAACTACGAATTAAACAAAATTTTTACTAAATATATTTATATTGTGTTAGGCCACAAAGTTTGACAAACTTCTCATGATGTATGCTTTATACGGTCGTCATAATTTTCAAAATGGGTAGTCAATAGATTGGGATTGTTACCAGCACTGATTACAATCTATTACACCTTTATAGTTTTCATGATCTGAACCAATTTCTTATAATTAAATTACTAATCTTAATTTTACTTCGCTTTTTAGGACCATCTCGGATGACGAACGGTCACACGAAGCGGTCTAATTCCGGGCCGTCCCGGCCAACGCTGAAACTGCGAATCTGCCGGTCGACCGTAACGAAGAAGCCGAAAGATAGTGATAGTGACGCTAGTGAGTCTGAAGCAACGTCGGACAGTGATAGCAGTGACAGTGCTCCTGTCCGAAGAACTAGAGCAAGGACAGCGATACCTAGTGTTAGTGCCGATTCCGATTCTGGGGACGATTACACGCCCGGCGGTCGCAGCAAGCAGGTTCGCAAGAATCGCGGCAAAAATATTAAAAACGGTAAGCAATCCAAATCTAAAGTGAAATCGAACGTTATCGCGGACGACGACGACGACGACGACGACGACGATGATGAGTACGTTGCGGAGAGCAAGGCGAACGAGGATAACGAAGAGGACGAGGAGGAATTCCTAGCGCCAGACTCTACGGAGGAAAGCGAAGAAGAGAAGATCATCAAAAGAGATACTAGATCACGAAAGTTAGTAACTGAGAGCGTGCAAAACCAAAAATACACTGCTAACAATGGAAAGAATGATGACAGCGATAGCGAGAGCGAAAACGACGATGAAGAAGAAGAGCAGGAGCAGGAAGAGGAAGAAGAGGAGGAGGAAGAAGAGCAGCAGCATATTCAACATAAGGCTAATCATCAAGACTCGGAGGACAGTGATTATTCCTACAGAGGATTCAGATCGTCGCGCTCGAGTCCTCGGAAGCAGCGCAGTTTTGTGGACTCGGAGAACACGACGCAGCACAGCAGCAGGCGATCCTCGGCTCGGAAGCGTCCCTGTTACAACGAGGATAGCGACGACAGTACTACGATGCCGGTGAGAAACCGGCGCAAGATCAAGCGTCACTCGTACGCCGAGGATAGCGACGAGAGCATACCGGAGCCCGGCATCAGCATAAGTAGCCGAGGTCGCATACGTAAAATGACACCGCGCGCCCGCGCTTATCTTCTAGATTCGCCCTCTACCTAAAACGGCATCTCTCTAGGTAAAAGTTACTCGGATCATTATCGAAGGGACTGTCCAAAGATGAATGGAGATGGAGTTTTCAATCGATCGGTCTTCTTGATCTCGACGCTTGCTTCGTCGTTACGCTATTTTCCATCTTGCGATACAGAATGAATCTCCGATATGGTCTTCGGAGATAATACAGTGGAAACTAAAATAAGGTTTTATTTCCGGTCTTTTTCTTCTACGCTGGAATAAAACGTTTACTTGTATAAAATATCGAGATTGTAAAGCGAATCGGATTGCGCAGGCGCTTCTGCTAAGTACTTCTATTTTTATGAAGCGGCTTGGTCTATAATATATATAAAAAAAACGCTATTTCTTTTTTACATTTACCTATACTGACGATCTGAATAATACATTGGCTCAATGGTACAAAAAACACAGTGTGTGAACGGACACGCGACATTTTCCATTTTTTTACAAATCACTCTGTACTATTTTATTTGCGCGTTCAACCGAATTTAATAACGATAAGAAAATCTGTATAAAGTTTTGCGTATTCTAAAGAAAATTATATCGAAAATTCTATATAATCGTGTTGTTGTACAGGTACGATGATTATCTTGTTAACTACCTTGAAAGTGTAGAAACAGGATCGCGTCTTCGCGAAAAGATGTTGGTCCTAACGCTTATATGATTGCTTCCATTGATTTCAAAAGTTCAGCTGACAAATGAAATTTTCATGCTATGATTATATAAAAGAAAGGAAATCGTGTTGTTTTATAAAACAGTTTTCAGTCTCATTAAAGCAACAAAGGTTGAACAATGCACTTATGAAATTTATCGAGTTATCGATTTAATAGGTCTTCGCATTATCATTGTAATGGTTGTTCATTGAAAGTTTATGAACTCATGTTGAGAGACTCTTGTTTCCTCACTGCAGTCATATTGAATTTGAAAACCTTTTCAATTCGTGGATAAATCGATAAATAGCTACAAATCTTTACAATTAAAATTAGCTATAAATAGCTATATAACTATCTATCACGAAGTCCACTTTACTGGAAAGATAGGACATGCAGATTTGAGAAAAGAAAAAAAGAAATTTTATTTATTTATTTTTTTTTTTTTTTTATTCAGCATAAGCAGTTCATAAGATTTTGCTTGAGTTCGCAATTCAGTAGAACTGCAATGAGACAATCAAGAGCCTTTGTACAATTTTTTAAACATGTTTCACTGTAAGAACATGAATCAGTATTCGTTTTTATCTATGAAAACTCTCTCTTTTCAAGAGAAAAACGTAATGTAATTCAATGTGAGTTTTGCATTGCTCCGAGAGAAAGATCTATGCAGTTCGTTACACACAATGGTTACCTCCTTAGACAGCGGACTTGTAATTAGTATTTTTAAGTTATATTAAATGTGACATGTGCGATAGCGACAACGGTTTGTTGTTAGCATACGGAGAGAACTGGATCTATTTTTTTTTTTTAATGTGATGAACAATATTTGGGAGTACAACAAAAGGCATCTTTATAATTTTCTTCTCTTCTTTTTTTCCCTTTTTCTTCCTCCTTTTCTCTCTCTCTCTTTCTCTCTCGACAAATCCTGCCTTTTCGCTTCTCACGAGTTTACTTAAGTTTACCGCACTACCGCACATCACATGTAGAAAAGTGAGTCCGCGTGCGTGTAAATATACATACATTGTATCCAGTCGAGTATAATTCTTATTTCTTCTTCTTAATATTGACGTTGCATAAGATAAATTGTGTATATGGTCTGTAGTTCGCGTGTGAAATAACGATTTTTTACATAGAATTTATACATCTGTTACGGTTTTAAGGAAGTCACGCAATTTTAGAATTTTTCACGAAGGCAGATATAGAGACGTTTTCCAGGTTTATATAACGCGAATTTCAACAGATTATGCATTACGTAGTAGTATGAATGAATTATGTCAGAAGACAGTTGTGCCGCCAGCAGCTAAACATCGTTCATCAGGACACATGCACAAACATCAGAAGTCTTGACTGTCTCGAGCCATTGTGATATTAGTTTAAGAATATCAAATATATGATAATGTAAATTATCTAATTAGGATTGTAATGGATATTTTTTTAATGACTTACATAAGACAGTCATATCACATGTAGATTCGATAATGCATACAGCCTTGGATTAATATTAATTTAATGATGTTAACTTTGGTCTCACTCTATTAATAATACAATAACGAATATACTTCACGTGGTGAACATCCAGGAATAATATAATTTCATGTATATATGCTCCGTGTCAAAGACGTATGCGGGAGTTATAAAACGCGGAGTTTAATACGAAACAGTTATGTTTTATGTACAGTTTGACACTTATTCTGTTGTGAAATCAACGTGCTCTGTTATATACAATATGGTTCTCCGAAACCCACCGCCACCAATAAAAAGATTAAATTATTTTATATATGTCTACTTGTGAATTATTTATGCCATCAATCTTGAAAATTTTATGAAAGAGACATCAGTCTTTTCTAATTTTATTAAAAAATTCCATATGTTCCATTCAAATTTAGTTTTAAAGTTTGACGGGTCGTTTTCAAAATTAATGGCTTATTTATGTTGAATCCTCAAATATATCGTTACTTGTATTATATAAGATATTTTATAAATTTTAAATCAGGCTTTAAAACTTTTCATGTAAAATTGTATGTACATTTATGAAATGAATTTACAGGCTTGCTATAGAAAACTAAGAGGAAGATTGATTGTTGAACAAGGTTCTATACAAGAGTATACAATTAATGGTATATAATTAACGATTTATTTTTATAAGTTAATTATAATAGGGATATTTACAAATATTAAGAGGATTGAATTTGGAAATTAAAAAAGACATTTCCCGGCTCTTGTGTATTCCTAATGTACGAAATATTTTATTTTAATATTTCGCCTATCTGTTACATCTCTAAATTGGCGATACGAATATTGTATGAAGAGATGCTTACACGCGAAATGGTCTCTCTAGTTTCGATAATTTATAATTTTATAAAATGGCAGCCATATTTTTTGTGATTATGTAGTGAAAGTGTAACAGTAGGATAAAATGGGTAACTTTTTCAGTCACATACGTCTTGCAATTCCGAACGTTTCCATTATCCGTACAACTTTGCTATACCTATTTTCTGTCAGTATACATATACATATCTAATTTAATATAAAAACAAAATATTTTAATATTGCAGAACAACACGTTCATCTACGAACGAGACGTGTCTATTTAGAAAAATTGCGCGTTTTCTATTCCGCGAGAGATAACTAGAACTGTTTGAAGTCTCAATATATGCATAACGTCACCAGTGTATTTTCAAGAGCCTAAGAGTTAATGTTATATGGACAGGCTTCGATTTGCTCTTAACAAAAATGAAATGTAGAATTAAAAAAAAAAAGTATATTTTTCAATAACTGAAGATCTGAAATGCACTGCAAGTTATCGGATTCAGGAAGAAAAGTTTTTCGGCTAAAGAGGAGAAGAAGCCTTGCTCATTGGACACTTTCGACGGAGTCAAACTTGTCTAGTCCCACTTGGATCCATTCATAGTCAATACCTTTAATCAATCTTATCCCACGGAATGCCATAATCTGGTGAGGGGTACTCAGGCGGAAGATGAATACTGTTCTTTAAGCCTATGGAATTCAATTTCCTTCTGCAAGTATTCCTTGACGAAAGGGTGCTCTAAGTGGGAATCCTTCAACTGACTTAGGTAACGATTCGCCACTTCCGGCGGTTTGCCCATATGCTGCGAGAGGACAATCATATTGATCAGCGTATCTGGATTATTGCTATCTTTATCGAGAGCTTCTTGCAAGGCCGTCTCCGCCTCCTCGTACTTGGCCTGTCCAATGAAGCAAGTGGCCTGGCCATTCAGCAACATGCTCGTGCTGGAATGCTTGTCGATCATTTCCTGGAATAATTCATAACCTTGTCAGAAAAAATATCAAGTAATTTCAGGTGAGGTGAGACAAACAAAAATTCGAAAACATTCGCGTCACACACGTCAAGGGATCGACGACTTTTCTCACCTGAAAGATGTAATAAGCATCTTGCAGTTTGTCACCACCGCTGCTAATGTTTATCCACGCCTGCGCGAGCTGAGTCAGGGTGTCGTCGTCGTCCTTCTCCTGCATCAACTTGAGCTCCTTGCGAGCCAGATCCAGACGGTCCATCTTGAGATATATCTGTAACGTCAGCGCCATGCACTCCAGATTTTCGGAGGAGCATATCACTCGATGGGCAGCCTCCAGATTTTTCTCGTGGTAGTAAACGGTCGCGGCCACGATCAGGAGGTTGTGGTTCTCGTAATTAACATTCTTGGTTTCCTTGTCCAGCTCGGCCACTATAGCTTCCCGGCGATGCGGATTGGCGAAATAGTCGGCCAGGGTCTTCAGCGGCTGCAATTCCGGCGGGGACGAATTGTTGATCTCGTCCAGCACCACGCGGAACTTCCTCTGCGCTATGTACGCGCGATAAAGGAAGACGTCACGCTCCATAGCCACTTCAGGAATGGACGTCTGCGGAAAGAGATGAGACTTGTATTGGTACAATTGCAAAACGGACAAGTTTACTCCGCAAATCAGATGATATATTATTAAAACTCGGTAGGAGAAATATGTTATGGAATCACTATATACTTTTCTCTAGTGTGCAAATTGAAATTTAGAGCTAAAGATTCGATGAAACAGAGTTGCTTATCTTTCATTGACTTGTCTGGTATCTGGAAACTCAATATTAACTATTTTGTGATAGCAACACTACCATTTCAAAGTTCTATTTTTTTAAATACAATACAACAAGAAAAATTGTGTAACGTATGTCTTTTTAAATATAAAAAAAACAACAATGCTGTATCAGGGAAACGTTGGTGAGACGAGCGAGCGTAATGCTTAGGAAGAATGGGCAATGACAGCCGTCCACGTTGGGAATTCAAACGGAGCAGCGCGTGGCACAGCGTCCGCGAGACGCGTCACCGTCGGGATGGGATGTGACTTTCACCTTGATCTTCTGCGCCTCGTTGATGCATTGCTGGTAGTTGCCGATGTAGAAATTATTTCTCACGTTGAAGAGATCGTTGAAGTCCTGCTGACGTGCCATCTTGTCGCTCATCGTCGGCGCTGAGCTCCGAATTTCGGATATAGGCTATGTGCCGACACTGGCACTACGCCACTACTGGCACTACTGAAAAATTATTCCGTGATTATCAGGCGCGGCGCAATGCGACAGCATCTAGTAACATCACAAACGATGTCAAGACGATAATATTGTAATATAAATAAATAATACAAATTATATGATATGTATTATAAAATATGTTGTATTTAATATATTATTATTTATGTTACGGCCATATAATCGATCTGTACTAGGGTATACTTTGATTAAAATCTGATTAATCGGCGATTAATTCAACCGGCAAAGTGTCTGCATCAAGATACTGCAAAATATCATAAACAATTTTTACCAGTGTAATATAATTTTAAGATACTGTTTTAAAATTAAATAACTCGAAAATTATCTATGAGCTCTACAAAATTTATATCGGTTTTTTTTTCACTCAGTATCAAGAATATCTTATAAAATTAAAATATTAATTACCGCAAGCTCCGATTTTAACTTGATCGATGATTAATTTATCAAATAATATTGTTTTAACATAAATAGTATTTTAATAATTATTTAAATATTGTATCTTTTCAACATATAAAAAAAAATTAGGTTAATCAATCATGTAGAGATTTTTGCATCAAGCAATTTTGTAGATTGAATTGATCACCGATTAAGTTAATCGGAGTTTAATCAAGGTAATCGCAAACGTGATTTGGGCTGCAGTCAGTGCAGTCCACTTGACGCTACCAAAGACGCTACAAATGCTTCGAAGCATTCCTCTTCTCCTTTTCTTTCAATGAAGAAAGAAGGAGAAGAAGAACGCTGCAAAGCATTTGTAGCGTCAAGTGGACCGCAGCCTTGATTATACATATAATTAAATGATCATTTATATTCTTTACAGATACAGTGTGCTCCAAATTCAAATAGCTGCGCGGCAGGCATGCCTGCGTAAAAATAATTCGAACGTAAAGAACCCTAGGTGCACGTTGGATCGCGGTTGGCCGCACTGCGTTCGTAACGTGCAAAAAAAAAATCGGGAAAAATGGACGACGCGAGTGAGCGTATCGCTTTTATCTGAACCCCTCGTCTTGATAGCAAAAATGGGCAATCAATTAGTGGGCATCGCGCCCAGCCAAATATTTCCGGTAGAGCACTATTTGACAGATCACAGTGATTTATTATTCGACGTGAAGTAAGTAACTCAAATCGAGTCACTCCACCTTTACGCGTGTTTATACGTACTCTGCCAAGTTGAACACTGTCAAGAGTACCTGTCAAGCCGCGTGCTCGAGTGGTATTTGACGGATAAAAACATGTTAATTCTTCATGATATTTCCTACACTTGCAAGTAATATTAGCAGAGTAATACGTCATATTTAGGTGACTGTGCGAGGTTTCCTTTCGACTGATTCTCGCACGATTATATAGTATTGAGAAGAATATTATGAATAACAGATCAATAATTGACATATGTACACGTAAAAAAGTCTATAACATTTATAAAAAACTTGGGAATATCATTTAGAATAAGTTATAATTATGAATATGATATTATCGCGGGTTTCAAGCTGTTGATTTACAAAATTCTTCGTCGTCCGCAGTTTAGGAAGTACTAGATTCTTCAAAGTGGCTCGGGCCCGCAGTCTGGAGGGGCTGATAGTTGTAAAAGTGTTCGCAATTCATGACCCAACATTGCCATTATCTACCTATAAGGACAAGCTGGAGGAGATCAGGTCGAAGTTAGCCTCGGCTGTCAACTGCCTACCGTTTCAACGAATGATTGTAGGTATCTCAACATAGGAACATTGTTCAATTGTGTATAGCTTATTTAGAGCACGACTAGAATTAATTGTATGCTTGGATCAGCTCACAGAAAAAGCTGGCTCAATAATGCGGGAATATGTCAAATATTCTCTTTATGACAGGATCAGCACTAGGCCATTTTTAACCAGCATTGAGAAAAAGTGGATCACTTTCCAAGTATTGTACGCTCTTAATCAAGCCCATAAGGTACAGTGACATATGTGAATCATTTAACCCTCCCTGAGGCTACACCTTTTTTTTATCTTAAAAATATCGGGCCCTGAATTTTTGTTAGGGTGGTCGCCACCCTATGTGGCCTCGAAGGGTTAAAAAAAAAGAAGATATCTGTTCAAAATAGCACGCTGCAAAGAGAATTATTCAAGTTACCTATTTTGACTGAAGTAGCTTATCTTAATTGTTGTCTATAACTTTTTGTTTATTTAAGTAAAAAAATCTATCATTTCTGATTATAATTTTTAAAAATAATTGTTTTCCTTTTTCTACAGTTTGGTGTTTGCCATGGTGACATAAAATTGGAAAATATTATGATAACCAGTTGGAACTGGGTGTTACTCACAGATTTTGCCAGTTTTAAACCGACATATTTACCAGAAGACAATCCCGCGGATTTTTCATACTTTTTTGATACTTCTAGGAGAAGGTAAAATTTTCGCTAAAGCCACTCTCTTTCTCCTTTTTATTTTGATAAAGCAATCTCAATTTAATATATTTTCAGGACGTGCTACATAGCGCCCGAACGATTTGTGAAAACACTGTCTTCAGAATTGAGTAATACGTTGCTGTTACCAGAACAAGAAGTTAAGACAGGTGATCTGCATCCCATGATGGATATCTTTTCCGCAGGCTGTGCTTTGACAGAATTGTATAACGAAGGTCATCCACCGTTCGATTTTTCACAACTCTTGGGTAGGTGTATAATATTTTTAGTTGTTTTTTTTGTCGAATAAAAAATGAATATGAAATAAAATAGAAGTAAAATTCGGCCTTAACACACGTGAGTTCTATTAATGTGGTGATAATATATTCAGCGTACAGGAACAACGAATATTCTGTCAGTAAGCACTTGGACAGTATAGACGACCCAGGAATACGCGAGCTGCTTAGGTCAATGCTAGAGAGAAATCCAACGAATAGGAAGAGCGCAGAGATCTATCTGTCTCAAACTCGCGGCACCATCTTCCCGGAATACTTTTATTCCTTCCTGCAGTCTTACATGCTCATTTTCTCCGCCGCTCCGATTTTATCACCGGACGAGAAGATAACGCGGTTGAAGAAGGACATTGGCAATATTATAAGTATACTAAAGACGGACGAAAGTGAACGAATGAAAACGAGCGATACGAAACCCGCGGAAACCGCGAAATCTGGTCAATACGAGATTAATGTGGAATCGATTAAGGACGATTCTGGTCACAGCGAAGAAAATACGATGGTGGAAGTCGACAGCGATCAAAGTTCTGATAAGACCGATTTAAATCAAACTGACATGAAAAGTACTGTCCAAGATGTTGGCAGTGATATTCAAGTGGATACGGAACCGGAGATTAAATCGTCCGAAGATTGTAAACAAACGTGCGATGCAGAGTCCAAGAAATCAATCTCTACCTCGAGTGAAACTCTAGAAGGACTCGTTATCATAACTCAACTCGTTACATCTTGCATAAGAGGATTGCATCATTCGCAATCCAAGTTGCACAGTTTAGAGATATTATTAGAGCTGGCTGAAAATGTTTCTGATGAAACAATTCTTGACAGAATACTACCTTATATTGTAAGTACTAAAATGCCAATTTTTAGAATTTTTTTACAAAAATATTATTTTATATGAATTTATATTTATTGAGCTAACCTTGAAAAATTGTTTGAACGAATTAACTGCATGTTTTATATTGTTAATTATCGCTAACATATATTTTTAAATCTTATCTAGTTCCATTTGGTTCACGATCCAGCGCCGCGAGTAAGAGTATCAGCGATACACACTCTAACGAAATGTTTACATCTTGTGAAATCGATACCATCTTCAGATGTGAACATATTTCCCGAGTACATTTTACCAGGTTTAGCGCATATAACTCAAGACGAAGCAGTTATAGTTAGGGCAGCTTACGCAGAAAATATTGCGTATTTGGCGCACATTGCTTTGCGTTATCTGGAAAACGCTCATCTGTCTAACTTGGGCAACAAGGAGGGACCAAAGCCCAGTTACGACAGCGAACTACAAACCTTGCACGAAATGGTATAGATATCTTCTACATTTTATTTAAAAAAGAAAAAGAGTAAAACGACAAAATTTTCGCTGAAATTTTTATTTGAACTAGAGCTGAAACATTATCAATCATCCTAATATAATCCTCGTATCTTTATCTTTCATGTAGGTTCAACAATCTGTGTCCATGCTGTTAACGGATCCCCAAAATTTAGTGAAACAAACTTTAATGGAAAACGGAATAAACAAATTGTGCGTGTTTTTCGGAAAACAGAAAGCCAATGATATTTTGCTCAGTCACGTTATCACATTCTTAAACGACAAAGAGGATAAGGAACTGAGAGGCTCTTTTTTTGAATGCATAGTCGGTGTGGCTGCATATGTCGGTTGGCACAGTAGTCCGATACTAATGCCGCTTCTGCAGCAAGGTTTATCCGATCCTGAAGAGTTTGTAATCACAAAGGCCATAAATGCCATGGCAACACTTACAGAACTGGGTCTACTACATAAATCTGCTCTCTATCAGTTATTATCAGAAACTATGGTCTTCCTGGTATGTCATCGTTATGATATATTTGATAAATCTTTGATATATACATATAGTAATTCAAAAATTAGAACCTTTCTAATAGATTTTATGTAAAGTCCAGAACTAATATTCTCTTATTGACAGATCGGCAAGATTAAAAATATAGGATATATTTTTATTAAAATTTTGATAAATTTTAGAATTATTATTAAAAACAAATTCTCTTCTTTGCAAAATTTACAATTTTTTAAAATTAGATATTTAATGATGAAAATTAACAAATTAGAAAAGAGACTTTTTTAAATTTTTATTAAAGAATACTTTGGTTGAATTTGGAAGTACTATTGATGTACACAGCCATTTTTTATAGGTTCATCCAAATCTTTGGATACGTCATGCAACCGTCGGCTTTATATCCGCGGCGGCGAGAACTCTGAATGTGGTGGATGTTCAATGTAAAGTTCAGACAATGCTTCAACCATATCTGAAGCACTCATTGATCCAAATAGAAAAGGAGATTTTATTACTCGAGGCACTTGTTCCTCCGATATCCAGAATAGTATACGATTCCGTGGTGAAGTATAACGATGTGGAGGAATTATTCCAAGTACTTGAACACAAGCAGGCAGCCAGAGCAAAAGTCATAACGGGTGTGGTACCGCCACAATACAACAACATGAGTACCTCCTTAAGAAATGTATGTAACATTTATTATATTAGCGTATATCTGATTTTCAAAATAACATTTAAAAAAAATTTTGTTATATTGCAAGAAAATTAAATTTTAGAATAAAAATATAAAATAATGTTGCATATTGCATTTATCGCGCCTTCAGCGAGAGAAATTTGAGCGAAACTACATCGTTCATTATTGCGTGTGACAAAGATTTAATTCAAAAAGATTCACAAACAAATCCTTTTTAGCTTTTTAGGCGACTGACTTCGGAATCGATGACCGAGGCAGTTGAGGATCAGTTGCTGATCATGAAGCCTCACTTGATGAAGATCAACAAATATCGCAATTCCGCAGAGTCGAAGCAAAATGCTATCAAGTCCGTAGATGGCAAGTTGGAGTTGAGTCCAGTGAAGGATAGGATAAGACACCACGTCGTCGTATTATATCCTGATACTAAGGGAGACTTAACTCTCCCGCCATTCAAAAGATTAGACCGAAGAACATCGGAGACCGTTGGCACATACGCAACGATGAATCAAGAATGGCGCACGATGTTTGCAGCTCAAGATAACACTCAGGTATTACAGCTGACAGTTGATTGAGAGATCTTTCTATATTGTCCTGCTGATTACATTGTTTGCAATAATTATTCTTATATTATTGTTACAGCACGCTATAGTTAAAATGTCAGACATGACTGGAAGCAGTGGTAGCCCTAGTCAGAGCATACACAGCGGGGACATCCATTTATCTCCGCATCATTGCCTATCAGATATGACCAGCATTAATTCTCTCATGAACGATCATTCGCTTCACGAGCGATCTTACATACAATGTAAGTGAAATTAAGGCGAATATCAAAATAATAATATGTAATTTTTGTGTTTTATAAAATTATAGAAAAATATTAAATGATCGTGACAATTTTGCAGATAGGTGTGCACCTTGCCGATTAGAAGTGCGGCAATTAACGTACCGAAAGCAAGAACAACACGCAGCAATATTAAGAGCAAAACGTTGGGCTAACAACGTCGCCTGCGAAGCTGGTAAATAAAAATTGGATCTCTGTACAGATTACATCATGCTGTATGATTATTATATGCCTTTTTATTTATTATCGATATTGGCTAAAAGGCTCCACATCACTGCCAAAGGATTGGAGGCCCCGAGGAATTCCCGTCGCGCATCTTCACGAGCATCGAGCAGCAGTGAATAGATTGGTTTCAATACCGGATACTAACCTGTTCGCGAGTAGTTCCTCTGATGGATGCATCAAGATTTGGGACGCCAGTAAGATGGAGGGACGAAATATTGCTAATCGTTCTAGGTATTGTTTTTCTCTTCCAGAACATATACACGTTGAAGATTTTAATTAATTTGTTATATCATTTTCAATTTGAAGCTTCGAGTTATGTTATAGTATTTATTTTTTTATATTACACTTTACAGGCAAACGTACATGCACAGAGGAGGTCCGCTGGTTGGTTTAACTGTATGTGACCAAGGGCAATCTTTAGCGAGCTCGGCGAGCACATCCGGGACGGTATTCGTACTTCGGATTGAGCCAAACTCCAGTAAAATGAGTTTGATCGGGACTCGTCAATTGGATCTCCAGGTGATTAGAGATTTTCGCAGTAATATAAAAATTTGATACACAGGAATATTAAAGACATCTTGTTCGCGATTGATGTAACAGGAAGAAGGATGCGCTGTCGATCTTCAGTATCTAGATTCTGGCTCGCAATCGGTTCTTGTGTACGCCTCTTTGTACGGATCACTGGTAGGTTGGGATCTACGATGTCCCGGTACAACGTGGCGCTTGGAAAACGATTTGAAGCACGGAGTCATCACGTCGTTTTGCGTAAACAGTCATCAGCAATGGTTGACCCTCGGCACGAGCTCGGGTATCCACACCTGTTGGGACTTGAGGTTCCAACTGCCGATAACAAGTATCAAGCATCCAACAGGTAGCTTATCTCGCTGATGTTATCTTCCATTATTTTGTGTGACAAATGATATAGCTTAAAATACTTTCTATCATTTTAACGATGCCATTCTACCGTTTCTCATCGTTTCAGGTGCCAGAGTGCGAAAGGTGATTACGCATCCAACGGAGCATTCGTGGATAATCTCAGCGGTGCAAGGTAACAACGAGATCTCCATGTGGAATCTGGAGACCGATATTCGACAGATGGTTCTGTGGGCATCAAATGCTCCACCGTTGAGCCGTACTCAAACCGGCCACACTGTATGTGCCATGTACACCGGATCCATCGATTGCTCGGGCTTCCTTCTGGCCGGCGGAACCGATATGCGATTACGCTTTTGGGACTTCAATAGACCTACCGCATCCTATGTCGCTCTGCCCGCCGCTAACGATGTCCTCACTCCAAATTCATTGGCATACGAGTCAGTGATCGAATATAAAATTAATTATGTCGCTCAATATATATATTCATCGTGTTCTCGCATAATAATGTACGATATTGCTTCTCTGTTTACAGTTTACGTTTGATAGACGGAACGAACGTTGTGCAAGAAGTATTGGTGGACGATGATTCTAATCCGTTGTCCGGAAGTGATGCGAGAGGAAGAAACATGGAGGATAGCGGTCCCGAGACTCCACCCTCCGGCCAGCATGACACAATCTCCGCTGTGGCCATGTCGAACACCTGCATTCTCACCGGTAGCACGGACGGCCTGATACAAGTCTGGAAATGATTGTTCTTCTCGCTCCTAAATATGATTCCAAAGTTCCTTGCACAGGCGACAAAAGATTTTACCAGTGCAATGCGGAATGTCTCCCCAGTAATAACGAAACTATTGTGATCCAAGTAAGGAATAAGTTATTCTAGAATTCTTCAGGTAAATTCTCCAGCAATGCCGGACAGTGATCGTAGTATAATTTATTTAAGGACAGTCGCGCGGAGGAATTGTGATGGCGTTATAATTATGATACCATGATATTCCGTTTCGGCAAAAATGACTAATCATATTTTTTTAACAATTCCGTGATTGGCGACAGGACTCTGTGGAAGTTATGATAAACACTGCTTCCGTATTAGTAAGATGATAATTTGCTACTTGCACAGTTTTTCTTGAAATTTTGCAAAAGGTAAAAACCTTGTCTTATTCAAAGTTTATACGAGCTCTTTCCCGCTATATGAGTAATCTGCTAATCGGCTTTTCATATTCTTCCACAACAACTCCAAATTAATTATTTCCATATTTAATTGAATCTAAACAGATCTGTTTTGAGTAAATTTCTCACTTGCGTCATCTGGGTTTGGTTTTTATTTCTCGTGACACCTGTAGTTTATTAATTTTTTCCAGAAAGGTTGTTTCCTGTCTTTTCAATTCTTAAAAAACATACAAGAGAAGACAAGACATGTCGCCGAGACGACAGGTCTCAGTGGAAGTTACGATGGTATCATACTTATATCACTGTGCAAAAGAGAAAAGCTAACTCTACAAATCAAATATATTTATTCCTAGATTCGTTCACGTTTATATAATTTTGAAAAAATTGGAAATCCTATTTCTATATATAATTTTATACATTAACTATAGGTAAATACAATTTTCTTAATTGTATTTAAATTTAAGCTGTATTTATATTGTTCAATTTGCTTGGATAATGCGTTAAGACGTCTGTTATCGCTTTCTTGAGCCACAAGCATCAACGTACGCACAGCACCGCCGTGCTGTACGAACTCTGTGATCCTGGACTGTACATAGAGCATGTAATATACATGATATTTAAGACTACCAATGATTACAATTGCGCTGTGGGGGCGTGCATTTTTTTAAAAAGAGTTGAACGTAAACTGACATTATAATGTAACATATATGATGTACATAGCTTATTTTTATATGTAAGAAAGAAAAAAACAGAAAGAGAGCTATTACCGAGTATTAGACGAGTTTAGAATGTCGATGTTACACAGATCGATAGACAAGCCTTCGAGGTAATTGTATCTAAGTTAGCAGATATTTAGCGGGTCCGTATACGCGTACTATAAATTTAAACACTGAAAGGTAAGAAAAGTTGCATCAATGCGAAATGACTTTGCAACACAGTGGAACACTCTTACGAGCATAGAATATCCAAAAAAATAATCTATAAACTATATTTTTTATAGCTCTTAGCTTTATTTTTTGGATTATCTATATACCGTTAAATTTTTTTCACTCTGATACAAAGTTACTTTCTGCAATGCGATAAATTTCATAGTTTCCTTTTTTTTTTATCACACGTGTAAATACGGACCGTGAAGCGAGGAATAATAAAATTCGCGTGCGAAAGATGCAATGCGCGAAACAATTATCTCTCGCTTCGTACTTTACGTGATGAACGCGTAAGTAGCTGTATGTAATCACGAATATTTATGTATACTAGTTTGCTAGTATTGTCACACACGGACACATACGTACACGCAACCACATTGACTGAAATACTCGTAACCGGTGGACGTATATTGTCTAAAAACTACGTTGTTACAATAAATTCATATTTTTAACGCACGATGCGTTTCTCGCTTACGTTTGGCACGACACAGATCCGAGAGTTGAACCGAAATATTCCTTTACCACGGACAGACAGGCGCGGCGGGATAAGGTACGCGTCCCGGGAACGCGTACGTATCCGGATTTATGGTCCTGCAGATCTGTTTCCAGCGCTCCTTACCATCTCTACCTTGACGATGCGGGTTGTTTGCATAGTATCTGCGATTTTGAGTGTCGTACGAGGACTGCTGAGGGAACCATAGATCGAGCCAAGGTATACAAAAAGCAGAATTGACCAGCAGCAACAGCAGGATGATTAACTTCATTTTAATTGTATCTTCTAAAAACTGCGGACTGCGGTCATAATATCGTAATAATATCCTTGTGATGATCTGGAAGGAAAAAGAAAGTTATTTTCTATTTTTGTGAGTATTTTTTTCAGACTCTTGTGTTAAAATTTGATCGTTCAATTTTGCATTATATTCACGTCTAGTATATTATGTTTTAATATTTCTAAACTGAAGTATAAAAAATGTCTAAAGCTAGAAAGTAGAGAATTAGTACATTTTTTAGTCATCTTTCGAGCTTGATATTTTTATAAAAATACAATATACATATCTTTATATTAAAGAAAAAAAAATTATTCATTGAAAATAAATTTCTAAAGTAGAGTGGAAAAATTGTTCAAGAAGAGCAAAATTTCTCGTTCACTTACACTTTTTTGGAATTTACTTGATTTTTTTAAGTTGCCCGTTTCTCTCATTATAATTGAAATTAATATTGTGAAATTAATATTCTTACATTATTCAGTTTCCTTCGATCTCTTTGGTATCCGTGATGATGTAGGATCTATGGTAGAGCACCAAGTGAATGTCCTGCAAATAAAGAATGAAAGTTCTATTGGAAGTAACGCTCGCCGATTGTACCACTACTGACAAGTGTCGCAGCTCACGGTAGTAAGCACCAAAGTGGCTTAAAGACAGGGACAACGCGCGTTCACGCACCAAAAAACCGTATAATGAAAACGTCGTTGCGTCACGAGCTCAAAGTTTTCTTATCGCGCCTTTCACACTTTCTGAATTGTGGAATTAACAACGATGCGCGACGTCTTTCCTAAAATATTCGTCTTACTAATCGCGCTGTCATCTGCATCTGTTTTTCAATCGTACAAAATAATGGAAAATGATTAAGATCACCTCTGTAAAAATGACGATTGTTAGAACGTGGATATAATAATTGACTTCTGTCTAATCGCAAGCAACTGTAACAAGTGCACTACCGCAGTGGAGAGATGCTGGATGCTTACCGCTGTTTTATATGCCACACCGGCCTACCGCCCTACCGCTCAGAAAAATATATGCGCGGCTAATGGTGAATCTGCGTTGCCTTTTGATGAAGGAACTCGGGATAGTGAATGGGAGAGTACGTGTTCGATTGACTTCAGTAAGAATATGCAGTAGTCTTTTATGATCATATATTAAAGGGAAGAAAATGGCACAAAAATCTGACTGAATCTTGATTTTACAATTCATAATTGATATGTAATTCTATTAGAATCACACAATTGAATCGATAATTAAATACATTAACAGAATTATTTAATTATATTATAATTTTAATATTTTATTTAATCACAGACAGATATTCGATCTTCAGTTTCTTCAATCATAGATTTTTGTATCATTTTAAGATTCCTTTCTTCGATGTCTCAGGATCATCTATCTGAAAGATATTAAGCATTTCGAATTTATATATCCAAACATACGATCTGTATTACGATATTTTGCATTACAGATTTCCAAGTTTTCGATTTGTACTCATGATCGAAGCTTGAATCACACTGGATTCTGGATCCTTCGTTGTTTTTCTATAAGGGGATTGCGATCGAGTCGCCGAAGAGATTTTATATTCCAGCGAGTCTTCCGTCTCTTCACGATTATTTCCTCGATTTAGGATTCTGCACGTGCTGACAAAGTGACGCACTCGCTCGCGCGCCTCTGAACTTGGGGAAGGCCCTTTCTCACTCGCGTTTTGATCGTTGTTTACCGCGATTTATATGCAACATTCGTAACTCTTTTGCTCCCTCACTCGCGCATTCCGCGCACGCAATATCGTTTGCGGGGAAATACAAGGGAGATGGATGAGATACTGATACCATCATAATTACTCATTTGCCCGGTATGCCGCATCCTATGATAATGATATTTTCACGTGACTTCTTGAGGCATAGGAAGAAAGAAAAACCCTGTGTATGCCGACGCTCGGAAGACGCAGAAATGGCTGACCGCATCGCGATTGCGTATCAGAGATCGGATACGGTTCCTCCGCGGATTAGCATTCGATGTTTAATTCATGGATCGCGCTTTCGGAGCCGCGCTCAACGTAGGCGTATATCCGCGAAATCCGGCACTCTGCATAAAATAATAATTTTGCATAACGTAACGCGCCACACCGGCGCACGTGCTTGCATGTCGTTGCGTGCACTCGATCATAAAGTGCACCGCACCGGATGAATTTCGCGGTGTGCGTTTTTCCTCCAGAAGATTGTGAAAAGGATCGCGTGACCCACATTATAATATGCAGCCTGCACAGACCGATCCGCGCGCGCGCGATATATTCCATCCTCGCGTATCCGACTCTTCCGCGCTCGCGCCCAACTTTATTGGGAGTTGCTCTACATCCGAATATCGTGTCAAGGACGCGGCTTGCGCCGATACCGAGGACCGGATTATCTTATCGGCGAACTTGACACACTTTACGCACCGCGAAACCGATCGCGCGAACCGAAGCGCAAGTTGCCCTTTGATCTCTTGGGTGTTTTCCCCCCGATATGTTTCTTTAAATATTTTCCTAGGTAAAACGCTTATCATCCCTGTATTATTTTATTATTTAACAGTAAGCTACATTTAATTGGTCGAGATAAGGATTCAAGAGGAAATTTTAAATTCACAGGAATTTGAGAGAAATGACAATTAGTAGTTATAAACATTATTTAAATGTTTCAATGATGCAGGGTAACATAGTAATCCGACGTTTTTCCTTCCAGCTTATTATCCCACTTGGAAGGAAAGAGATCATTTCCCTGGTGCAATTATAGCATCAATCCACGTCGGTGCAAATTAGCCCTTGCAGTGGTAAGCAATTGCAGTGGATACAGCACTTTTCCGTTCGTTATTCCGCATCTTACATGAAATCTTTCTCAATCTCATTCACATTGCACGCAACTTCTTACAGGAAAGTGACTACAAGATACTGGTAATCAATCTTTAATTACGTAATACCGGCTGTACGTCGCATAAAAAGAACTGGGTTATACGTAAACAAATAACTCGGATTGCCTTGAAGGAAATCATTGGGAGCTGATAGGCCCATTTATCGAGTACGATACTCGTAAATTGCAAACGACGAGGTCAATCGCTTCACGCCAACTGCATATGACTGTCCTTACACTTGACGGATTACGGATCCTTCCACGAAAGGACGAGCTCTCGAATTATGGACCATTGAGCAACGGGGCTCGATTTGCTCTACCGATTTCCTATTACCGTAATAGTCGGTTTCCAGTCCACCCGACTATTAATAGCGTTTGGCAGAGAAAGTATGTCTATTTTCCACACAGATGCTCGCAATAGACGAGCGATTTTTTATTAGCTCATTCCACACGAAATTGAATTTAGAGTTACAAAAGTAGTAGAATTATAAAATTGTACGTACTTATGTGTATATATATGATTACATTTAAGAATACTTTTATCCAATTTCGACGCCGTACGTGATAAACGCGGAAAGCACGTGCAATGTAAAGCTATTTAAGAGACTCGCTTTCATCTAGTGACTCAAACTAGTTTGTGGGTGGAGGAAGTTTTCAATGCATTTGAAAATATGCGATCAAATCGCTTTCCGCGGAAGCTTCCACACCTCTCCCGCTTCACTCTCGCGAATTTTTGGCAAGAAATGCTTTCTCGAAGAAGCGCGTTTGCGGCTTCTATCTCCTTCTTTACTTCTTTTCCAAGAATCCATCTCGAATCCGCCATATCTGACGTTGAAATTCGGGTCGGGTCAAGTTGATCTTGTTCTCATTAATTGTTGCAGTGATAACACGTAACTGATATCGTGATCTGGCAAATTCAAAGATTCGAATATAAAATAAATGTAGAAGGAGAGTCGCTCAGAAATTTGAACCGCTAATAAACATACGCAATTACAATTATATTAAAAGAGATATCAACAACTGATCATTGCTGTGATCCAGAAAAAAAATTCCTGGAGATGAGCCGGATAAGACGTCCGACACGCCTAAAAACATCCGCGAATATGCGCTCGCACGTCACTTCTTGTTGGGAGATTTGCAGACATGCCGTGGTAAATCGTCTAAATATTTGGCTACTGCAGACTTCATCAAAACTGCTCCGTGCAGTCGACTGCACCACATGCGTCAGTTTCGTTTCGCTCGACATTCGCTGAAAAGCGTTGATCACTGTCAAACTTAATCTGATCTCACGTGTCCGTCGGAGTCCCTTCGAATGTCAAATCACGGTGGTATCAATGACAAAGATAATTACGAGTCTCTTCGTCGACCCAGTCTCTCCGTAAAGATGCAACGTAGCCTGAGAAAAATGAGCAAAGGCATCAAAAAAATTACCGGTAATGATATCCGATTTGAGCGGTACACCTAGTTTAGTTTTTGTAACGCTAGAAATCGCCAATTAATTAGCCAAATTGCTCGATTAGATTAGATAATAAAAATGTAAATTTTGTAAGTAGAATCTTAATAGTGCTTTTTTAGTGACAAAACTAATGATAAACATCTATTTTTTAAAATAATTTTTTAAAAATAATTTCATGATAGCTGTTAAATGTATAAATAATCAGTTTAATTAAATAATTGTATGACAATTATTAATTTCTTTATTGAAAATTTTGAAGTATAAGAAGGAAAAGAGAACAAAAAGTTAAAGTGAATAATTTGCAATTTTCCAATAATAACGTACATTTGGCATTAATTATAAAAAAAAAAAGAATCCTCTGAAGTGTACCATTAATTTAATTTTTGTTACAATTATAGTTTTTATTCTTAGAATATAATTGTGCAGAATTTCCAGTTCTAGAATTAAAAGCTTGAAATTTCCAAGATTATTTCGAGTGAATAAAAAATCAACATGTTTCAATAAATTTACGAATACAAAATATCACTGTCTAACTTGAACACGTTTTCGTAGAAATCATCCAGGAGGATGATAAACATTCATCATACATCTTTCCCGAGCAACTGTCCGCCTTGACCAGTCGCACCGGGTTTTCGAAGGATGAAATTCGTAAACTGTATCGCGCCTTCAAGCAGCTGTGCCCCAGAGGATGCGCGACGTCCGGCGACTTGAAACCCGCATACGCCAAACTGTTTCCGCTTGGCGATCCGGCTAGATACGCGCAGATAGTGTTCAACAGCTTCGACCGAGACGGCGACGGCATCGTCAGCTTCAACGATCTTCTCGGAGCCATGACATTGATCATCAATGGCAATGTGGACCAAAAGCTTTCCTGGATATTCGGGTGAGAGTTCATCTCATCCTCGATGTTTCTATTAATATAGTGATTTCGTGATAATGAATTTAGAGAAAATTGTAGACGGTATTTTATGAGGAGGTTTAATTAGATAGGAATTAGAAAACAATGTTTCATATATTTTTTCGAATTAGAATTAATAGAATTTTAAGACTAGTCTCTTTGATCGATTTTTTTTTTAAGTCGATTCATTCGCTCTTCGCTGAAATATAATGATCACGAACATGGCCAAGATGACGAATGTAATACACAAAATACACAAATCCCTTATTGCTTGTCAGGTTCTACGATCTGAATGGGGATGGTTGTATCACAAGACATGAAATGTTGGTCATAGTATCCGCGATTTACGAGATGGTGCAGAATACGCGGACTATCCAGTCCGTGGTTAACAAACAGGTGGACAGGTTCTTTGAAAAGATGGATACGAACAGAGACGGCTTGATCTCAAGGGACGAGTTCATGAGCGGTTGTAAAAATGTACGGAAATATCCCACTACGTAAGAATAACATTATTCGCATTTAACACTAGAAGGACGTTTGTTCAATGAAATCTCTTATCGGGCTTATCTTCAACAGAAAACCTACAAATATTATTAATATCGATATCGATAAAAAATTGTTAAAAATTAATTTATAGCTGTCTTGTTATTAAACCTCCTAGTGTTAAAATTCAGCACAGTAAGATCTACTTTAATGGCAGTAAATATAAAGATGTATGTATACCCAGAGACTTCATTAATTCTATTTTTTTACAGGATGCTTTTATATACAGCCAGTTATTTTTATTTAACAATATCTGGTGATGGGATGAAAGTGACCTTAAGAGATTAATGAAAATAATTTATACATGAAACTATTAAAATATTTATAAAAGTTCACCCTTTTTCCTCTTTCAATCTTATGAAGAGTACATATAATATATATCACATTATTTTCCCCAGTTTCCTTATAATACAAGATTTTGCATTTACGTTACGCAAATAGTTTGATATCATCTTAAATACTTTATGCATGCTCAGAACAATCTTTTTTGTAGAATGTAAAATACGCAGGCGAGGAAAAAGGCAAATGCCAATGCGAGCAGCGCTTTATCGGTGACCTCCCGTCTACCGTATTTGCCTAACAGCTTCTCTGAGTGCGCTATAGCTTGTTGTTGATGCTCCAACTCGTCCTTGGTGCCGCCGACCTTGTCCGAAGATGTCACTGAAACAATAACCGATCCATAGAATTGCGGCACTTGCTATTCAACGAAATAGAATACTTACACAGACTGTCCAGCGTGTCGGCGCTTCTTTGAGTCGTTTCGGCCAGATGCCTGGAGATACTGAGAAGCTTGTCCGTCACTTGGCTGGACGCGTTCGTCAAGCTCTGCTTGTCGTGCCGTCTACGAAGAGCGTTTTGCCGCTCCTCCGGCATGGAGAACAGATTCTCCCTCGCCAGTTTGTCGATGACACACGCGCTGACGACGTTGGCCTTGCGGAAGGCCGCCAACGAAGTGTTCAACTGCTCCTTGTAACTGTCCACGGCGGACAGCAGCTCGGCCCTTTTCTTTCCATTCGTCTCGGTTTCGGCGATGGATTTCAGGTGTTCTATGGAAGATTTCAAAACCGCTATCTTGGCTCTGCCCTCCGCGTTGAGCTCGTCCAGCATCTCCAGCGGCCCACTGCATTGCTGTATGTCCTTCGCGGTAAACAGATAATTTATTAAATACCGATCATCGATTAGGCTTATTATAATATAATTCGTGATATATTTTTTGCCACTGCCAACAGTGCCAAACATAGTCTCGCTATGGATCAACATTGAAAATAGGTTATATTCTACTTACCACGACGATTATATATTTACCTGTATTAAAGCGTTCACTTGAAACTGATATTTAACGATGTCTTGACGCGTTAATTCCACCGCATAACTGTTAGGATCCATTGACAATGCGAGTTACTTCGCTTTTATGTTATTTCCTGACTGTACGGCGACATACATACGTGCGATACGTAGGTGAAGACTCCGATTGACTCCGATCAGCTAATCGCATGCCAAGCTGTCAATGGACACGTGTAACTGAACGATATGCTCCTTTATTGTTCGTAATTTTATGGATTTCTGATAACTAGAAATTTTACTTTGTAGGCGAATAATACATTTTTGTTGTGTATTGATATATTACTTATTTATATAATATTGCACATTTATATATTCATATAATTATTATATTTATATCGTGTAAGGTCATTTATTTCACAGGTATCAGAAAAAAAGATAGAAATAAAACAAATCAGAAAATATATCTTAATTACTGTCAATGCTAATTTATCACAGCTTTTAACACTTTGCTATGAAACGTAAAGACGCTCGTCTATGTTGTTATTTCCAATTATGCGAAATAAGGAGAACTTGTGACATTTCAATAGGATGTACATACAAGGTAGCGTAATTTATTATACACAGATATGATACAATTTTGCCTATTTTGATCTATTATACAGCTAATTATGCAGTCCGCACGTCGCAATTGAATTTTTGCGACTTAGCGATTGCAAAATACTTTGGATTTCCCCTTGTTCGCAGAACATACGGGAAGTTACTGTTGCAAATACAAATTTGCATATTTATAGTTTTCTAAAATGATACAGCTTTACAAATTTTATGACGCGTAGGTGAGTTAAATATATATACTCTATGACGAGTGCGGCACTACGTTTCGCACAGTCCAGATAAAAATGAGCTCGCGACGCAAGATCTACGTCCTTCTATGTTACACACAAGTTTTTTTTCGTTAACGCAGGCTGTTTATCACAGCGGCGACGAAGTCCGACGTCGAGCTTTGCCCGCCTAGATCCTTCGTGAGCACCTTCCCGTCGTTCAACACGCGGTTCAACGCTTCCCGAATCTGCTCGGCGTAACGTTTGAGATTCACGTGGTTCAGGAGCTTCACCGCGCACAGCAACATCGCCGTCGGATTCGCGACGTTCTTGCCGACCGCCTCGGAATACGTGTGCCTCGCACCCTTTCGAAAAATACAAATCTTAGCAACTTGCGCTTTAAAATGGGCGTAAGTCAAGAGTTCTGGAGATTCTTTTTAATATCAACTATTTCTTATTTTGCATAAACAAAATCAGAATGCATTTGCATGTTACCGGTTCAAAGACGACACACTCGGCGCTGTAACTGGCACCTGCGACGACTCCGGCACCGCCGACCAGACCGGACGCGAGATTATCCACAATATTTCCGTACAAATTCGGCATTACCATGACATCGAACTGATGAGGATTGGAGACCATCTGCATAGTGCAATTGTCGACGATCATCGTCTCGAACGTAATCCTGTTTCGTTAGAGAATAGGAATATAAAGTATACCGTGCAATAGATTCGTAATAAATATTTATAAGGGATAATCAGACGACGAGGAAGTTATTCCAAGTACCTTGGGTACATTTTGGCAATTTCTTGACACGATCTGAGAAAAAGTCCATCGCCGAGCTTCATTATGTTAGCTTTGTGAACACACGTGACTTTCTTGCGGTTATTCTTTACGGCGTAGTCAAAAGCGAATTTCGCAATTCTTTGGCTCTTAGTGGCAGTCACGATCTTCAAGCACTCGACCACCCCTTTGACAGATTCGTGCTCGAGCGCGGAGTACTCCCCCTCCGTTTGTTCCCTGATGATGACGCAGTCCACATTCTGGTGACGCGATCTGACGCCCGGCAAGGATTTCACGTGCACCACATTCGAATACAGGTCCAGGCTCTTACGTAATTTCATATTCAAGGTCTGCAACTCTCCTGTCATCGAGTGATCCGGAGTTGCTAGAATCCCCTGTCGCACAAAGAAACACACAGTTATATCAAATTACCAAATTATCGTTATCTTTCAGCCACACACTCTTCAAAAAATTCGTAGTTCACTTTCTCTGATAGAAAAATTTTTATATTTTTAATTATATACGTTTTAGATATTAACATCAAATATCTCACTGAACTACCTATCTGTATATATACCAAATGAAAAAATTGAGTATATTTTATTGTTAGTTTTAGAAGGTATATAATTAGACCTTTAGACAAACTCGGTTTCTAGCGATACTGTTGGAGACTTGCTCCAGAGGTGCGCTCAGGGTTGGATTCACTTCAGACAAGAAGTAAGGTTCGAATTCAACCGGGACATCCGCAGCTTTGAAAACACTTTGAACAGCAACCACGAGCTCTGGTCCAACGCCGTCTCCCGGTATCAAGGTACATTTCAATTTTCCTTCTTGTTCGACTGTCTAAAAGAAGTAGCAGGGTCACCCATGAGCCTGATTACCAATTGGAGAATAAGCAACGCTTACCGATTCTTGCTGCCTAATTGTTCCTACATGCAGCGCCCTAACTGTGCTCTTATGAGCAGCCTGCAAACACAAAAAGCGAGAAATGTAATATTATAATTTATTAATTGTATTAAGGTTCACAATTCCCTATAAACAAGATACAATCTAAATGTGATATATTTTAGATATAATACTCAAAATACAAACGCATCACATTCTGTGCATATGTTATGAATAATTTATAGTTATTTAAAGAATTCAAAGTAGCATTTATTACGCTTCTGTTTCACGTGTAATCTTTTTTCCAGAAAATCTAGAATATCCGGACAGGATTAATCCTCTTAATTGACTGGAGTCAATCTGGTACTGTTCACCACGCTTTCTCATCAACAATCGGCTCCTTCTTGCGTAATCAGGGCCAATTTATCGCTTTTCATTTTTTGACAAATAACAAGACTACTCTGATTAAATAACGTGAGCAGGCGGGCGTGGGTGCTTGCCCCAACCGACGTTCACCAATTTGCGCGCCGACGGGAGGTGTGGAGGATCTGCGTTATGCATCGAGGAGCGAGCTTGTGTTTTTGACAAGCGGATGCGTCTCAGATAAAAATAATCACGGTATAAAGACTTGATTGCGCGACCGTCTTCCTCGCCGTGCGCGCCGACGAAGCGGCTACGTTATTCGTCGTACGGTCAATAATATAGTCAACAGAACTTGTACGCTTTTCTTGCATTTCGCAGGTGCGACGGGATTCCGGACACACCGAGCGACGGAGGAACGTCGGTGATTTACCTGGGAGAGCGCCTTGCAGATGTTTCTCGCCAGCAAAGCCATTTTTCACGACGGAGCCGAGCGTCGACTGCTCGTCTGCTCGTCTCCCGCTCCCTCCGCGCTTGCTCGCGAATCGCGAACGCAGGGATGTAATCGCGTTCGAAGTCGCCGTATTAATTTGATCTAATCTGTTGATAAACCTGAGGAGCGAACGCTTCATCCATGGTGGAAAAAGAAAAAACGCTGATTAAAGTAACTTCTTTACAAATCGTTTTTTTTTTTTAATATAATAAGAATAAAACAAATTCCAATATAATGTATTAGAATTTTAGAGGAAAAAAAGTGATTGATTGAGCCACTCATATACCAAACTGAGGAAAAAGTAAAGGAGAATGATGGGAAATAATAAATCAATCGTTGCACTAAAAATTAGAAGATTTAAATAGGCGTCGGTCAATTATCATTTATAAAGGAATCGATCGTTTAGTTTTAAAGAGGGCTTAATTGGTATCTTATTTATAGTATAGATATATTATTCGTCCGGTACTTAAAAAACACTCGTACGTGAATATGTAAGAGAAAAATTCGACATTCCCGAACAGCGTCCGTCACTGTTCAGCCGTCACGTGGACAATGTATACGCTAGTAACTTATATATTTCTGATTATTCGCTCTTTTTCAACGTCCATTCCGTATACATTCATCTCGTTTAATAAGTAAAACGCATAAATCAGGTTTATGGCAATTTTTTTGTATCTTTTGTTTTTCCTCCTTTTCTCCACAACATCCGTCTTCTTTTAAATGCGGAATACAACGTGCTGCTATGAGAAGTTAGAGGTATCGTAAGGACGACAGGAAAGCAAGGAATGCGAGGATGTGTAAGGATGACATGAGGATATTTTCGTGAGGATTTAGCTGCAATAAGGGCTGCGATCGGATTTACACTCACAGCGTGTAATCATCATTCTGTCTTCGTTGCACACATCGAATATCAAACGAAGACAGAATGATGCGCTGCTGTGAGCGTGAATATCGGACCGCAGCAAAGTGAGCGAAAGAAAATCAGCTGATCCTCGAGCAGCAAACTAGAGAATTAGCGGCCGTAACTCCCTAGTTCTTCGCTCAAGGATCAGCTGATCCCGTCTTATCGCCTCCTGGCCGCGATCGTCGATCGACATCGTGCGGCGCGGAAGAAACGCATCGAGATCCCGACGGTCGTCAGTCGTCACATTTCTCCGGCGTTCTCGCTTCGCGAACGGTATTCGCGCCTCGACGAGGGACAGCCGGATCCCTAGAGGATTACGATGTCGCGGAGTTTGCGGGCGTGGTGCCGTGCCGCGTAGAAATAGATACGAAGTGGAAGAGGTGGGGAAGGGGCCGCGCGTGAAACGGGATAAATCGTGCGGTCTATTTTTGCGGGAGGGACCTCGCGCGGTGACGCTACTTGGGATCTCTCTCCTCCGGGTCCCTGAACCTTCGCCCCTGTTGAGATTCCCACTGACGAGAGCCGGTCAAGATGACGGAGAACTTACGTGAGTAATAAGCTTCCACGGGATCGGCGCAACAGGCGTTTCTTTAATCCCCTCTGACGCGTTAGCCCTAAATGTCAAAGAGAAATAATTCAGGAATTTGCGTGTTTGTACACAAGAGACGTAGATGTATCTTGCGTGTGTATGTATGTGCTTCACCATCTTGAAATTATTTTATAGATAGAAAGTACAAGAGAGAGAGAGAGTTATATGTTGCATTGTTGCCGTTTGCGTCAGCTGATATTCTCTCACGTTGACGATTTCTTGCAGCCGAGGAGGTAACGAAGTCGAGTTTCCGCCGTAAGGTATGGGACTACATGACGAAGAACGAGCTGGTGAACTTCCCCGTCAACATATACAAGCGTATACCGAACTTCAAAGGCGCCGCGGAGGCGGCGCAGCGACTGATCGACCTGGATGAATTTAAGAAGGCGAGAGTCATAAAGATAAATCCGGACAAGCCACAGGAACCAGTGAGGTTTTTAGCTCTGGAGGCAAATAAGGAAATCATCGTTCCCATCCCCAGGTTGAGAACTGGCTTGTTCCTACATGTTACGCCGGTTGCCGGCGCGACAAAGGAACAGCTGAAAACATTGGCTTCCATGCGCGGTCTGGAGCAAACGGGTAAACCACTTGGGCTAGATTCCCATATCAAGGTGAATATTTCACACATAATTTAAGAATAATTTACTTATTAATGGATAACGGATAAATAATGGATCAAAATAAATTGACGCCATTATCTAGATATTTTTTTTACGTTGCATAGATTTACTTTGACAACGATAAGGACATTAACTTGCGATTCTAAACATTTATTTTGCATTTGTTATTTATTCAGGTAGATCTGGTTGTGCTGGGATCTGTATGCGTCAGTCGGGACGGATACAGGCTCGGCAAGGGGGAAGGTTTCGCGGATCTTGAATTTGCGATGATGATGAAAATGGGCACGATAACAGAAAACACGATTGTTGTCACGACAGTGCACGATTGCCAAATCGTAGATCACTTACCACCGCAATTGTTCAAAGAATATGACGTGCCGGTAGATATAATTGTCACTCCGACACAAACTATCTACGTAGAGTCGAGACTGAAGAAACCGTCTGGCATTCTGTGGCATATGCTTAGCGAAAGAAGACTCAAAACCATGCAGGTATTACAGCAGCTCAAAGAGATGGATGAAAAGTATGCATTGAGTTGCCTGACTCGACGTTAAGTAGGCTATTTCGTGTAAATACACGGTTATTTTTTCGCAGCAATGGCAAAATCGTAGTCCTGAAGGAAGTCGATTCCGACGTGGAGACGCGCCATTATATCAAGAATCGTGTTAAATATCCGAGAAATAGGAAGCGCTTCAATGCGAAGAGAGATGTGTCCAATACAGAAAACATCGTGGAAGGCGAAAAGGATAAAGTTGACAAGCCGCGCCTGCCACGAAGGCGAACGTATAAGAAGCCAAAAGTCGAAGAAGAAAGTAATCCTCCTAATGCTGAAGTAGAAGTAAGCGCTTTTCACATATATTGAGTTTAATATCGAGTTTCAAATGTATTGTCACATTTTTATGAATGAATTAAATCTCTCTCTCTCTCTCTCTGTCTCTCTTTCTCTTTCTCTATTAATCTAAAGTTTACATGGGTTTAATTTTAAAAAATATTTTATTTATTTATTTATAACATTATTTCTATATAGCATCTTTTTCTTTATAAATAAATCTTGCTTGTGCGTTATAGACAAAGGTAGAGAACAGCGCGAAGAATGCGTCCCGGCGGCGTAAGAATCTTCGTGCTAGAACGAAAACGCATATCGACTTTTCGTTGAAGCTCTCTAACATCTCGTCCGGCGTGAGAGTCCGCGATCTGAAGAACGCTCTGCTGATGCGTGGCGTTAAACCGAGTGAGATAACTTGGCAGGGCTACCGTGGCATTTGTTATCTTCACTTCAGCAAACTCAGGAGCGAGGCCGCTCCGCCAGATCAGCCAGTTCAGGTAGATTCGATTGTGGCGAATTTGCAACAGCTCCGAATCGGTGAGTCCGTGAACGACGAAGAGGGATTCATATACGTAGAACCTGCGAAACCGATTTCCAGAATTGAAGTGACCGATGTGACAACCGTCTAAACGTTTATCGAAAAACTACATCGAACAGGCAATTACGTAACAGGTAATTATTTCTCGGTCGTTTACATTTCGACGTCGAATGTAGGGATGGACGTCTTCCAAAGTCAATCCTTTTTCTATGAGAATTTTGTCACGTATACTGACAATGAGGTGTCTCAGACAATGCGCATTTCTTCTCAGTTATAAACTCTAATGAATTTTGTCTGTAAAAAGTGTAGCAATATTTAATTAAAAGCTAAAATTGGCATTCTTTAGCTTTTTTATCTAACTTTCATTGTTTTGTCCATTAATTTAAGAATCACTTTAATTAATAGCCATTAATTAAAGTGCATTTTAATTAATTATTTAAGTGTTCTTTAAAATTAAATGAATTAAGTGGACCACGCAACCAAGTATTTATGACAGTAATAATAGACCATAATTTAAATTGCTAATTAAATTTAATAGCTGAAAGAAATTGCGCAACTTTTGGGGCATACTGTACCTTAATTTTTTTTTTATAGACATTAACTTGAATACTTAAAGCACACGCATTATATATTAACGTTATTAACATGCGTTTCGTATAATTTCACATTAATGTTATTTTACTTAAATCTATATATTGGAGTTGTACTTGCGAATTACTCCGAATACATCGACGAGGATTTGCGTTCGGTTTAAACTAAGATGTGATATATACCTAGTGTAGTGCGAATATTAATATTTAATATTAATAATGATTACAATTAACATAGACATACCGCATATTTTTGGTTGACGATTTTATTTATACATTTACATTAATAAGCCGTTACATTTTGACGAGAATATATCGGGTAACTTTCCAGTAAATTCGTCGCAACGCCCACGAAATAATCTGTGATCAAAAGATACTTAGGAGTAAGATAGTTGGTCTATGGGGAGAAACAATAACAAGCACAAAGTCGCTGAATGGATTGAGATATAAAAAGATCATCAAAATTATATTAGATCGGTATCTTCGCGCTGTTCCAAACCAAAATATTTTCTTTTATTTGTTAACGGTTAGGTTTGTAATTTTATAATGTGCAATAATGTAAATTGATTATTGCATATTAGATTCCCTCTGATTGTATGAAATTGAGGATAAATGAATCTTTGTTCATTAGTGAGAAGTGATTCGGATAATTTGGGCAAAGAGTTAATCTCTTCTAGTCTGAAACCATTAATGAAAAGTCAAAAATATTTCTTTTTGGCACAGATTAATGTACATAAGATACAATATGTGTGACCTAGAATTAAAAAAAAAAAAAAGAAAATTACATACCCCGTAGATACGTTGACTGTTGTTGTGTCTCTTCATGGAGTAGCAAAACTCGTTGTGAATTACTATTTTCATTCTCTGCAAAAATATGAGTTGAGATTAATAGATAGAGTAGAATGCATATCTGCGATAATATCTGATGGTAATCATCTAATGTTATGGACTGATGACAATAGTTTAAGTGTGTCGTTTGTAAAGGACATCCGAAACAGATGGAAATGATTAACATTTCTTCATTGTTTAAACAAAGAGAAAGAATACTCTATTTTTCTGAACAAAAAAACACACGGACATACACACATATGTATACACGCGCATATATATTCTAAAAAAAAGGAGATATATATACAAATAATATATTTTCATGCTCTAGCCGCTTTATAGACATGTTGCGGTCTTCCATATATTGCCATTTGAGCGTGCAGGGAAAACAATAGGTGCTTGCGTGTCGGCTGACAAAACAGAGAAACGGCAATACTTTGTGATATTAACAAATATGATTTATTTACTTTTATTGTTTCTAATCGTGCCGGTGACGTAGAACTTATGGTGATTGTTTCTACGCGCAATAGACTTTATCTCGCTATTACTTATATATATATATATATCATGTATATAAATCTTGCGTATATAAAGGAAACGTTTCTTTTTATCAAATCTCCGTCCTCGTGACTTTGCGTAACTCCCGCTGCTCCGATTATCCGCATCCAAAAACGCAATCCTCCCGATAATTCCTGGGAATAGGTGTGCAAATTTATAAGTGTTAAACAAGTTGCAAGTTTTCATTCGCTTGCCCCTTCCTTGCCCCTAAATATAAAACTTCCGCGGCTGAGAGACGTCTAATGGTTTTATCTCGGCGAAAGTAGGCCAAAACAGCTCGTACACAAGTTTTCTATTGCAGGTCTCAAATCTCTTTGCTTTTGTTTGCGTGCGATTGTTTTCCACACTGCGAGATAAGATTAACGAGCAACGATTACTTACCCTTCGCAGAGGCGCGCTTCGTTTTCCTTTTTTTTTTATCGAGAAGCGTGGGAAATGAAGGAATTAAGGCGGTCGTCGCAGAAACGCCTCTCATTTTCCGTCGAACTCCGTGGTTTGAAATTGCATTAGTCTCGATTGAACTTCCCGATAAGCGTCTCGCGGGAGTTTACCGTCACGGACGACGGCTTTTCTCCTTTAAGCGGATGAAATGAAATTTATGTATCTGCCACGCGCATGTGAATAAAGCGATCGCGACACAAGTCTGGAGATCGAAATATCTTTCCGAACAAGATTAAAAACAAGAGTAAAAAAAATGTCGTTTTTTTTTTTGCATCAAAGGAGCTTATAAGCTAAGCGTAATTACAGTTTTTATACGGTCCTAGGAGAGGTAGCTCATTCTACCGTAAAGAGGACTAATTTGCGAAGCGCGTAAAGGCAATTAAAAGGGAAACGACGGGTCTTAGGGTTCCATTAGGTTGAATTTTCTTATTTAACGGCGCCTTTATCGCGCAAAAGGCTTTGCCACGGCTTTCATCGGCCTGCAGAAACTAAACTGCATTATCTCCTATTGGATTTCCCCATCGAAGACCGGCGCGATTGCCGTTCTCTACCCCCCCCCGCTTCGTTACACTTCCCCGTTAAGAACCACAACTGTTCGCGTCGGTATTATTCCGTGGAGAGCTATTAATCCTTTCGCGACCGATTGGCAGGTTCTAAAGAGAAAAAATATAATCATTTTTCTCTCGAGCGAATAAATCTATTTTAGTCGGAAATATATATTCGTAATTTTTAATATATGTATTTCTGTAGATTTATTTAAAAAAATAACTCAAAAATGAAGACTGAAGTGAATTTTCTTCGTAACTCCGTAAACTCCGTAAAATATTTTAACAATCATCGTTACTTCGAGATCCGTCAAATGTAAAAATTTCGAATTTTGTATGCGATTCAGAAAAAAAGAGAGAACATGTTCGGGAGGAATTGTCGCGCGCTAATGTGTTTCGTTGGACAAATTATAAAAGCGCGAAAATTGAGAGGAAAAAAAGACGTTAAATGATTTTCATTCATTATAGCCGCCGTTGACGATCGATGGTTGCGCAAGGATATTAAAAATACATCGAGTCAATAGTTTAATCGTCGCGCAACTCGCCACTTGCAGCGCCGATCGGACGCGATATAATTGGCCCATTATATCGGCTCGCAGCCGGCTTTCACAGAGATGCAATTACCTCGGAATATCCGTCCCCCTTTTTAGACACGACCCGCGAGACGCATCTCGTTCGCGCAATCGTTGCATAAATTGCGCCACTTGTCTAAGAACAATCGTTAATTTATTTGAAAATTATGCATTTTCTCGAGAGAGAAACGGCGCGATACAAAGGCGCGTTTACTGCGACCCTTTTACGTTCGCGGAATCTTTTTGATCTAATTTTTCGAGGACCTCGCGATTATACGTCGCACACGTGTAAAACGTGCAATGTTCGCATCACTTCGGCGATGTTTCGCAGTGTCTCTGGCGGGGATCTATATTGCACGAGTGACCCCTTTCACCCTTTTCTCACCCTCGCGAAACGGCGCCAGTGCTATCGATTATCCGGCGCTCCTTCGGCAGACACGCTCGGTTAATGCCAAATTCTGTTGCACCTGCAATTCTTGAATGTGAATCGCTAATGACGAGAGTTCAACGGCTCTCCCCTCTCCCCCCCCGGTAATTCGATATCGTGAAACGCGATATAATCCCGCGAGTGTTATTCGTTTATGAAATTGCACGGGATAAAATCGCGCGCGAATAATTAATGAAAATAAAATGGTTTATATGTTTTTCCGATTTCCATATGGCTTACGCGTGAAAAACATGTTTTGTCGAACGCAATTTTATTTGTCGCACGTCTCTCCATAATTTGCGCGGAGATTTAAGGGTGTTATACGCCAAAATGCGTTATAAACATGTCAAAGATATTTTTTTATTCTCAATTCGTACATAGCTCGCTTCTAAACAACATATATTTTTATAGAACAAAACATTTATATATATATATGTATTTATTATATGTAGGTCATATTTTGTTCCCAGAGTCTCCCGTCAACAAAGTAGTCGTTAATGTACGCCGTAATCCCTTCAGTACCATGTCAGTTAAAATTGATCTCTCTCACACATTCATCTCGACTCACTTTTAGCATTCTTGGACCACCAAGATTTTTGAAATCTTTTTTTTTATCATCTGTAATCCTTCTTTTTATCTCGCGCCATTTTAAACGTAATTCGTCGTTATGATTCTATAGTTAACGCTGCAGAGTTTTTCACGGTATTAAGATACCAATGCGCATAAATTCATGTCACATAGTGATTTTCGGAAAAAGTGAGATGGAAGATAATTTTTCCCTTTTAAAAGCGATGCACGGTATATGACCGCAATTTGTACTGAAAGGATTAATTTTTATATTATATTTATCAAAGGCGTGCGTCCTAATTCTAAGGATCGTCTAACGCAATCGGGTCTTTGAGGCAAAATAAAAAAAAAAAAAAATTTGCTATTCGAATAAAGAAGATCATCCCCCTCCGTTCTCTCTCTCGTTGCTCCGAGAACAAGCTTGCGCCGCTGTTAGTCGGAATTCGCGGGATAATCCGGGATGGTAATCTTATAAATGCACGTTTCCTGGTACAGTGATTAATTAAGCGCGCACTGCTGGAGTCTGATAGAGCTTACGGCGACGTGCGGTTACCTCCAGCTGCTATCCACATTTTCAGGGTATCGCGGATGAAGATAGTTATAGTTAGCGAACCGATATCCGGTAACCGGTGTGCGCTATCAGCGTCTACCTGTAAAATTTCCCCCAAAAAACAACGAATCCGCCGTGGATAAGCATAATTTTGTCGTAGCACCAGATAGTATACGGAGGCCTTAAAACTCGCGTTTATCCCGATTCTTTTCGAAGCGTATAATCGAAAGCAAGCGTTGCGAAGGGAAGACTCAATGTAGGAGCTCGTAGAGGAGGGGCGTTAAAGATAAATCATCCCACATTGAATCGCGATAGATAAAAAAATAAGAGCGGAGTACTATGTCACTATGTCATATGTCGTCGTTATATATCTTGTCAAGAAGAGTATAAAAACTTCATCTACAATGGTATCTCGCTTCCTCGTCTTACATTTTAGCGTGAGAAATAATTGAATATTAGAGAGACACACTTCTTTTTTTTTTTTAATGATAAGTGCGAAGGACTTCCGTCGGGGAATTCGGTGCGCATTCGTATAAGATTGAAGGAGTCTACTGGTCGCAGGCAGGTAGGCTACGTCGAATATAGCGTCCGGCGTTATCTAAGACGTGCTAGGCTCCGGACTCGCGTCGATGAAGTCGATGTCCGAGGACGCGGTGGTGCTCGCTCGGCGACCTTGCCTCGGCGACGCGTTTATGCGCGCTTTGACGTTCGTCGTCGAGACGCTCAGTCGGTTTCCGGTTCGCTGGGCCGGCAGATGTTGCTGCTTTGTTCTGTAATCAAAGGGTTGCGGCACGGATATATATCGCGAGCGCTGGGAAGGCGAGACGCGTCGCTCTGGGGGAGATTAACATAGACATGTACACGCGGAGGTGGTGCCTCCGGGATCTCAGCTTCGGGACTCGGGATTAGTTGCGGGAGTCGAGGGCACAGTCGCGAGCGATATTGCGAAACGGGGAAATAAAACGGGGGATTATTCAATTTGCAACACGTTAATCGTCAGCGATAAAAAATATCGATGAATGAATCACGAAGAAAAAATAAAAAAAAGGAGAGAAAAATATATTACAATCTCGAGGAAGTTTTTTTTTTTTATATTTAAGCGTACTTGAGTCTCTCTTCGGCACCCTTCATGGCAGTGTTCAGTTCCTCCTCCCACTGTTTCTCCTTCTTCTCTCTCTCCTGTCTCTCGATCTCGCGCTCGCGATTGTACACCCGGTATTCCGGGATGTAGGCTAATCTCCGTGTGTCTACGCTCGAGCCAGCCCCATCGGCGAACCCAGCATCCTCCGCCGAGTCGACCCTCAGCGACCTGCAACGGGATGTCGAGATATTGCTTCGACAATTAGCATATTAATTATCTCGGTAATATGCAGTTTCGCGAGAGGAATATACGTGAAGCTCAACATGTTCGAGAGCGTAACAGTCGCTAGGGATCGGGTCGCATTGTGCCTCGGGTCGTATTCGCGACGCAATGATAATTTTTTTCAACGTAATACTAATCGTGATAGAAGAGAAGAAGAAAAATGTGTTAACGCGAAAGAAAACAATGTGAAAAGGTCAAGGGCCAATAAACGAGCAAACGAAAGATGTTCAATTAAAAATAAATCCTAAATATACAATGGAATTTAGAACTACTCCGAGTCTTTCGTGAAAGAAAATAATGTCCCTTTTTATTTTAGGATTATAGGGATTTTAGGGATTTTAGGGAAAATAATCCTCTTAAACTGACAAAACGTATCACAACTGTCTAGAAGCGAATTGCTTTTCCATGAAATGTATTGTTGAACACAAGGGAGACATGTATTTTTTTTACGTGCCCATTTTGAGGCTCGAGGGAAACGCAATCTCTCAAAACAATTGTTTATATTTATATCCAAACGCAATTATTGAAACGTTGAATTTTTATTCCATAAATACGAGGACCTGTTCCAAAAAATATCAACTCAAAATATAGAAAGGTTTAAAAGGCTTTTACAAATACATGCGATTATGGTAAAATCTTACGTCCTTCGACCGCAATTAATGAGACGTAAGACGAAAGTTTCAAAAGTTTGCACTAAAAATGAGAGATGATACTCACTGATACTCACAATCAGTGAGAACCCTGTTTAACTGGTTTGGTCGATATTTTTACTAATTTGAGTTTAAGAGAGCAATGCACGAAAGCTAAACTGACCTCTGTTTAGCCAGGCGTTTCTTCTTCTTGTGCAGGGGTTTCGTCTCGATTATCATTTCCTCGAGCTCGAAGGTGGGGTCGCAATTCAGGTGATCTTTCGGCGGGGTGAAGGCCGGCTTTATCTGCTTGTTTAGCACCTTGTCGAAGTCCAGGTTCTTCATCGCTCTCGCCCGCTTCAATTCTTTCAAGCACGACACTCGGGCGCTCGGTGCGAGGGTTAACAGGCGGTCCAGGAGATCGCGTATCGACGAGCCCCAGTGCGAGGGTGACTGCCTTTCCTCCTGAAAGACGAGGTGTTCGTGTCGCGCGACTTTCTTCTCGCATCCGTCATAAAAATATGATGAGCGTAAACAAGAAGTTCCGAACGAAGATTGAAGATAGTAAAACCCAATGCTTCTCTCTCTCTCTCTCTTTCTCACAAAAAGCATATGTTTTTTATAAAACTTATGAGAGATAATCCTTCAAGACCGACAATCTTGATTATCTCCGAATAAAAGGGACTTAGATCATTCTCGTAAACACGAACATAGGTAATTCCAAGATCTTTTGTAATTACCGAATGCGATGCCGGAATGCGTAATGTTTTACATCGTACATCCTGCGCATTTACTTTAGGAATCATTTCAAACCGGAGTGTCGCAAGACAGTTAAAATGTTGGTGTTGTGCAAGCGGACGGACATGCAAGGTAGAACCGGCGAGAACTATATAATACGCTCGTGGCTCGTGTCGCCAACGGCACGCTCATGACAAGTCCTTAATTAACGTGACAACTGGGACATGACGCAACCTTAATTAACAGAATAACGCGCACATGTTACTCAAGAGTGCTCCGGAAGAATTCGAGTGTACCGTGTAGTTTCAGACGAGGCGGAAGAAATTGAAGAGTCGCGCGACACATTTTTTTCTGTTTCGCGTGGACATTCAACGTTGTTTATTATTATTATTATTATTTCGTTACACTTGCGTCTTACCTTCAAGATCCTTAGAGCTTCTCTGTTGGACGTCGTGGAGTGAAGCGGATACGGTCTCTCCATGGCCAGGGTCTCCCAAGCGAGAATTCCCAGGCTCCACCAGTCCACGGCGAATCCGTAGCCGAGAACACCGTATTCCTCGCACGAGCACATGTAAATCTCCGGGGCTGATCCGCGTTAAAAAGAAGAAATGCAAGAAAACGTACCGGTCACGTCATTTGCGAGAGCGGCTCCGAATTTAAAGCGGACATAAAAGGACGGATTTGAATTGATGCGTGAAAACGAGGGGGGTATTCTTCTTTTCAAAACGTCCTTTTTTTTCTAAGCCGTGAGACTCACTTGGTATCACCGATATTTTATTGATGCGAAGGTAGCTTTCGCTCGAAGATCGCGAATCTTCAATTCGTGAAGCAAAAGCTTCCGTGTGAGAATAAATAATTAACTTCACGGAAACAAATTATAAGAATAATAAAGTTGACCGCAATTATAAATTATGAACCTGACGTGCGTTTATATTAAATACAGAAAAAAATACGCGTGCACGCGATAATTTGAATAATTAAATAAATGTCAAATATATTTTGAAGTTAAATACACATTAAATATATTTTGGAAATAAAGATTAAGGCATTGGAGGAAATTAAATGAATTAATTTGAAAGTGAAGAATGTGAGAATTCAAGCAATTAAAATATATCTATACGGAAGAAGGAAAAAGAAATTAAGAGATGTGAGACTATTCGTTCACACATACCTATGTACGGTTTTGTCCCGGACATGGAAGTCGCCAACTGTCCGTCTTCGAGTACAGTCGCGATGTTGAAGTCTGTCACATGGGCGTGGCCTAGACAAGTAAATAACTATCTTTTGTAATCTGCCGTCATTACGTTAATGACTAAGCAAGTGAATTATTTACGCGCCTTGGAACATCCCTCTTAAGCACGAGACGGCAATTACACGTAATGACTGCTGATTAATATCTATTATAAAGTAGCACCACAATCTAATACGTAATAAAAATTTCAGAATGTCACCGTACAAATTAATATAAATATAACAAAAAGACTCCCTTGTAGGCGTATACTCAATAAACAGCACTTAATTTGTTCTTTTATATTCATTAAATCTTAATTAAGATTTAACTTCCCGACCCTGCGACGTGCTAATATAAATATAACAAAAAAGTCCCTTGTAGGAGTTGTAGGCGTACCCAATAAACAACACTAATTTGTTCTTTTATATGCATTAAATCTTGGATTAAGATTTAACTTCCCGACTCCCTGCGACGTGCTTACCACACAACCCAAGATTCATCGTTCTAAATATCTAAATTACAGAGGCGATAAAGTATATTTTCCTCGGGGTTCCCAGCCCTCGCTCGGGGTATTATAAAAAGATGCACGGCGCTATAATAATGGCAATTAATGTGTGTGAATAATACATGTGCGCGCTCGCGATCTTTAGATGTTTCTTGCGGGATGAACGCCTAACGAACCCTAACTACATCGCACAGCTGTACCCATGTACCCACCAGAGAACTATTAAGGGATGGATACACACGCAAACATACACACACACACACACACGCGCGCGAGCGCGATATTGGTTTTCCGACGCTGTAATGGTCGAAGCTCTCTCTCGCGTGCGCCACGCTACTCCCGCAATATTTATTCGTTGCCATTTTCTAAACATCGCGTCGACCACAATGTGGATTGAGCCACGATGTAAACTAGAGAGAGAGAGAGAGAGAGAGAGAGAGAGAGAGAGAAAGAGAGAGAGAATGAACTCCGATGCCGCTATATACATATTGCAATAACACACAATCCCCCCCATTGTGACCGGGTTTAGTACCAGGCACGTGGGTATAAGTTTGCATATAACATCAGGAAGAATGGCTTCCTACCTTGTAGACGTAGGCGAGGGATATAAAAATTGACGACCTCCGTACGGAAAGCGAAATCTTTTCATTGAAACGCGATCGTTCATCATTGTTCAGCGACAAGAATGAGAAACGTCGGGATTTGAACCTAACTTTTTGCAACCAGTTACTCAATTGATTTATAAATAAAAACCACGATCGTCTTTAATATAAAGCGCACAACGCTGATTTACGCTCTAAATTTTATAAGAGCTCAAGTTGATTAGTTATATGATTTAAATGGAGCTTATGTACTAAAATTAAACGTTTATTTCAGAATCACTTTTAAAAGCGAGTTTTGATAACAATTTCCGATGGAAAATAATCGAGAACCATTGCGTTCGCCGTTGAGTATTGGTATCGACAGACGTCTATACGGAAATGAAAAACGAGTGACGCATTATTTAAATTTAAACAACTACTCGCTCGCGAATAATGTAGGAGGTCCGCACCCTTCGTCGGGTCTCGCAGAAACTCACTGACTCGTAAATTTTCAAAATAGATTAGGGACGCTTCTTTGGAGCGCTCCCTCGGCTTCGTCCCACTCGCCAAATATTTGACGGCTTCAATCTGCTAAATTGCCTCCGCCTACTATAAGGTCTCGTGATCTCCGCGTGTGCGGAGCCGCGTTTAGGTGAAATTAACGGGATAAATTGCGACGACCGCGTAGCGGATCCCCTCCAGAATGCGGAAGGAAGCGAGAAATGGACTATCATATTATATTCTCGCGATTTTACGCCGTTCGCCATTATAATCACGCCTTGAGGCTTCAATGAAAGTAGTTCTGTGCGGGGTTCTCCCTCGGAAAGACGTCGAAGTTGATAGACTGTAAATCGGACTGCAGACCAGCACTTGGAAGTTTTTTTAGTGAGTCTCGTTCTGCCATATTACGCTGAATTATCTTAACTTCTTCAACTACGCAATTATTCAGGATTATAATGATTTTTAATGATATTACGGCAATGGAATTAGCGAGCGAGCGAGCGACGTGACCTTTAAAGAGAGAGAGACTTTGAGGGACTTCCGCCCTTTCGCGTGCTAAGAAAAGAGATTTACTCGTAATGGTTTTTCTTTCGGGCAATTATTCAACGAACGTTTCTCTGACGTCGCACAAAGGGCTTTCGGGAATCCTCTCGCGGATCCAGTTTCTAAGGAGACGCTTTTCGCTTTTTCATCGATTTCCGAAGTCGACCTCATACAAGTCGATCGAATTGAACGATTTCGAGGTCCCCGGTACATTCAACGATCGTGATAATGTCTGGCCTGAATCCACAGTGTGAAACAGCTGGTTTTGCCGTCGCCGGTGTCCTCAAGGTAATATTTTCCCCGGTATAGAATGGGCCCTGCGTCGCACGACGTGATATTTTCCCCTAGATGGGACACGAAAACCAAGCGATAAGAGCCGAGAAACCGGGTGCGTAATTTTAAATGATGCAGAGGCAATCTCGGGATTCAAACAGCCGTCGGCCAGGTGCAGGAGGAAATTAGGATTACCCCCTTTCCCCGCGGACCACCATCCACCCCCCCCGGTTTCCCTTCTTCGCGGAATTGTAGATGTATGTGCGGTGCCTCTCTCCACGTCCCCGAGGCACTTCCCGATGAGACAAGCCCCTTCCCTCCTTCCCCGTCGCACCCCGTCGATCCTTTCTGTTAAAGCGGATCCGACCTTCAGCATGAGCACGCACAAACCCTTTTCGTCTCGCCAACCCTATCTGCTCATCTCGTGTCTCCCTTTTCGATTTCGTAACTTCGTCGTAGGCGGTATATTGTACCCAACGCATTGTTCGCCGTCGTTACCGCCTCGAGCTTAATTTTCGTTTGGCGGAAAATCGATGAGGCAATCGCGCGGACGTAACCGAATATAATGAATATATCATTCCCCCAACGTTTATGCTGACAGAGTTTTCGTGGTGTTCGAGTGGCGAGGGGCCTTGGATCGCGGCAATCTAATCCTTGGCTTACGGCTTGGTCTCGCTTCTGCTATTTGTTCTGTTTGTACTTGTTCGGTTCGCTCAATTAACAAATGCGCAATAAATTACGAGCAGCCGAGGAGCCGAGGCTCTCGAGAACTCGAGACGCGTCTGCATTATTTAGCGTCGCTCTCAAGATTTGCTCGGCTTTTATTTCCCCGGCAGCCTCCGGCGCATTTTGACAATAAATCGATATCGCCGGGGAAGCAAGGCGGAAAAAGCGTCACCGATAATTTCTGAATCCCGGCTCGGAGTCGTGAGAGAGTGAGAGGCAACATTTCCCGCATTGATAAGCGAAGGGAAGAACCTCTTATACATTGCTACGTCGTTCTCGGAGGAACTCTGAAAGAGACGAGCGAAGTACCGAAGATACGCGAAGGAGTATCGATAACCGATAAAAAATACATAATAAAATTTTCCCCTGTTTATTTTGTTACACGACTCCCCGAGCCGCATTGAGATCTCGTAGGCACCTCGAAATCTTCACATTTTGTTCCTAACAAACGATATTATCGGAAATGAAGCTTCTTTGTATACTCTCTGTCAGTTAGTTTTCAAAATCAAGAAAGGCAATATACTTTGAGATTATTATTCCACTGCAGAACTCTGCATAATAGAAAATCCTTCGCCGGGATGAGAGAGAGCGGCAATATATTAATTCTGCTTGCGAAGCGAATGACGTCCGTTGCAATTAGCGATCGCGTCTTCACGACGCGCGGCCGCGATGTGTTTCTCGCAGGCAATTTCCGCGCTGCACGCGTGACGTCGCGAAGGCGTCTCGTAAGTAGGTATCGCCCACAGTCTGCTAAATCCACATTCACAGGAATACGTATATTAATCTCACCGGGATCGAGGGCGAACGAGGGACAGGACGCGGGTGGATGAATGGCGCGCGAACGCAGCCGATGGCTTAATCCCGTTAAAACCCGGCGATTGCTCCTCGCATTGCGGGCCCGCGCGAATTTGCAAATAATCTCATTCGCCGGGCGAAATTCAGTTGCCCGAACGATAAACCGGGCGGGTCTTGCTTGCGCTCCGAGATGTAACCGAATCACGGGCGCGCGATTAGAAACGTTTGTCCGCGGTGGCACCGCGACATCGAGACCGGACCTCGGAATCGGCGCTTGATATGCAAACGAGAGCACGTGTCGGTGGAAAGCTTGACCCCCCTGGTTTAATGACGGCTATTTCGAGATTTGCGGCATCAGATTCGTACGGTGGGCTTCCACAATATAAATTAAACACCAATTGTTTCGGAGGAAATTGCTGTACAACCAGGAAAGAAGTTGCGCACGATTTCGACTAGTTCCGGTTATTTGAATACAAAAATATGATAAACGAGATAAACGAGAAGTAAACAAAAATAAATATTGCAAACGAGAAAATAAATTTACCCTCCTTTCCGAAAAATATCTTGCTTTGTCTGTCGCGTGATTTTATTACTTGTTATTCATTCACGAATATTAAATATAAATTAAATATGGATTTGTCTCGGAGAAAATTGCTGTGCAACAAGAAGAGCGCTCCCGCGAACGATTCCGACTACTTTCGATGATTTGAATACAAAAATATGATAAATATTGCAAACGAGAAAATAAAAATTTACCCTTCTTTCTGAAAAATCTCTCTCTTCCTCTCTCGTATGTCAATGATTTTATTATTTGCTTTTTCGCACAAATGTTAGATACAATATAAATTAAATATGGATTGTCTCGGAGAAAATTGCTGTGCAACAGAAGAGCCCATCCACGAAAACGTTGCGCACGATTGCGACTAGTTTCGGTTATTTGAATACAAAAATATGATAAATATTGCAAAAATTTATCCTTTTTCCTGGAAAATTCTCTCGCTTCCTCCCCCGTACGTCGATAATTTTATTATTTGCTCTTACGCCCGATTTGTAAAACGGGCGCGTGCAAGCACGTTACCGCGATCAGATTCAAAGTTTATTTACGCGAGCCACATTCACCGCAGACACGGTTACGCGAGTCTCATCCCATGTTTACATTGAGTACGACTTTCGCATTGTGTTAAATGAAACTCAGGGATCAGCTGGCCATTGTTAAAGCCGTGGCTTGAAATAGAAGTGGGGATGTCAAACGGATTTGTTTGTCGCGAAGATTGTGTCGTCGTGCTTTTAAACTCTTTGGCGACGCGATCTTTCCTCATCCGTTAAAATTCACAATGAGCTACAGGGTACAGCTTTATTTAATAGACGCATATTAACGTATCGATTTTACGCGATATCATAATTAAATATCAGTTTATTAATCTAAAATTAATAATTAATTTTAATAATTAAAAGCTCTCATAACGCCTCATATAAATGCAAAATGCACACACACACACACACGCTGAGCTTATGTAAATAAAACAATCAAATAATTTAACGAGTTAAACCCCGAAATAAAGTTACCAAATAAGAGATATTTGTGCTTTATCTGCACTTATTACGAAAAACGACAAGATATATCGCTGTCAGATTTTCGGATGTTTTTCCGAGATAAGCGGGAAAAGGAACTTTTTGGGAAATCCCACTCTGCGGAATTAAGCTCTCTCGAGCTCGAGATTAATTATCCTTATCCCGTATTATTATTCTCGCGCGACCGCGGTCGAGTGCAGCTAGCTTGCGCGGATAAAGGTGAGAGTTCGAGAGATCATCGACTCACCCTCCTCGTCCAGCAGTATGTTGTCCGGCTTGATATCCCGATGGATGATCCTGTGGGTCTGCAGGTAATCGAGCGCCAGCGCGATCTCGGCCACGAACAGCACGACGCTCTCCTCGCCGAACACAACCTCCTGCTGGATGTGGTACCTCAGGTCGCCGCCCAAAAGCAGATCCGACACCATGAAGAGGTCCTCCTCGTCTGCGACAAAAACGGCAGGCGTAACAGGCGCGTAAATCCTCTCTTCTACGCACCCCCTCTTCCCCCAAGCCCCAAGGTTGCCCCTTTTTCGTCACTTTCGCGAGATGAAAGCGGCGGGTGGCTTCACGTCGAACGCTTGACCGATCAATATTGACCCAGTACAGTCAAGCACAGAGTATGCGTTATTTTCACGTGCGAGCGATAAAACCGATTCCGAACAATACTTACGCGGTATGAGTCTGCCTCTCGGCAAGCAGACGCGACGCGAAACCGCACGCGCGAATTATACATAATATGTATATGACGCAGCGCCTGTTAAAAACGTTCGAACGATGAAAATCGATGAATACGATGATGGTAATTTCCCTGGTTCGCGTATAAAACGTTAATCGGGGGCAGCTGCCGAATAAATTCTCAGCGAGTAATTTTTAATTACGTCATTTTTACACAAAATCGCCGTGACTTTATTATTCTGCTATGCATAATTTGCCGTCTTTTTATTCGGTAGCGTTGCTAAATATTCATTAATGATACTCTTCCGTCGAGATACAATCTAAAATGTTAAAGAATTACCTTTTTGCATAAATTACCTTTAACGATCAGGGAATTAGAACACAAAGCTTCTGTTATAATTAAACGTTACATTCAATTTCTATCCACGTGCCTCTGTTAGCTCGCCTCGTATATTCCACGTATAAATCACGTATATTGGAAAATGTGGTGCAGAACGATATCCTTCGAATGACACGAATGAAAATAGAAAGTACGATAGCCACGCGGTATGAAAAAACTTTTAACATGATTATTCTATAGACACAAGGTATTTGTACACGGCGATTGTAATTAGCTAATTGTCGCACGGTTACCATATTAATGTCAATGTCTATATATATATATCATATGTACATAGATATAAACTTATGCAAAATAGATGTCCCAGAGAAATTTCTCAAAAATTTATTATTTATAAAATTAAATTATAATTATTATTTATAAATTGTAATTATTATTTACCAAATGTATTTTAACAAACCGTGTAATTATTGTTTCAACATTGAAATAATTAATGTCCTGAAAGTTGCAAAGATATCAAATGCACGACAGATGTTTTTTTTTTTTTTAATTTCGCGAGATCGCAATTATTTCTTCCATTTGCTTCTATTTAATTATCATCAGTTTTTTATGCGGAAAATCCCAGTGATTTCTTTAGATCGCATTCTTCTGTTATCCAAATCCGCGGCCTATCCATTAAACTCTTTGACGACAAAAAATTCGATAACACAGTCTCGTTATTTACAAGCCGCGTCTGTGCGTGTATCTCGTTTAGAATATTTAGTTTAATATATGACCCATCTCTGAAGAGTCGGTTGACTGACGAACCCTCATTAAAGTCTTTACGGCAACTGCGAGCTTCATATTGCTCGTTTTTGCATAAATATTTGCACCCGTCCGTATTCCCGACGTCGAGAGAACAGCTTCTTTCAATAAAGTGCTGTGTGTTTTTGCGAGATAAGCGTAATATCGTTTAATCCGCGTTTGTCTACCGCGAATAAAAAACCCGAAAAAGAGACATCGTGCCTATGGTTTCGCGTGATAAAGAAAATATCGTGCGTTTCGCACTTTAATATTTGCTGTTCCCTTTTTTACGTAAAAAAAAAATCTACAGTGTCTATTGTCACTGTAAAGATTAACGTGCGAGCGTGATGGAAATATCATTCGAGTTGGATTCTAGTGAAAAAAGAGAAAATTATAGTGATAAATGATTCTTGTAATATTAATAAAATAATTTACAAATTAAGACTTTCTTAAAGACGTGAATGGATAAACTTGATCTCAACAAAAAAAATCGAAATTTAATTATAAAGATATTAAATTAAAGAGCAGTAAGAGATATTACGTTTGATAAAAATCAGTTTAAAATATTCAGAGAGCCTCGGGTCCTTTTTATAAATACTCAAATTTAATTCCACAAACGTTTCGCTATTTCCGCGATCGTTTCCTCGCGGGTCGTCTGAATTCGCGAAATAATTATCCATGCACCACTCTGCATTGCGTTAATTATCGCGATCTTTATTAATTTATGATAAAAAGCGATTGTTATACATTTAATTCACAATGGAATATTACAATTTTTAGCATTCATTAAAATTCGTAGCTGTACAAACATATATTACAAATTGTCTTTTACAACGCTTGCTTTGACATGAATCTCTCTTGGAATTTGGTGTTTTTTAGAGAAAAAGTGTGAACCTTAATCTGTTTGATTCTTCGATCAAAGGTTGAAGGTTGAATTTTTCTCGGCGAAAATATCGTACTGTCAACGTTTCACAAATCGCGAGGCGCGACAAAAGAGAGAGATGAAACACGGTAAAGCTAATAAAGGATTCGTGAAGAAGTTTTTCTAGGACCTCTTGGAGCACACCTGTGTATATTTTACGCGTTTCCCACGAGATCTGGAAGAATGACTCGGGGGTGTGATCGATGTCTCGAAAGACGATTTACCTTGGAAGCTGAACCATAAATTCACCAAGCAGGGATGCTCCAACTTCGACAGGATCTCCACCTCCCTCGCCACATTCTTCAGGGCGCCCCGTTCCGCGCACTCGTTTTTATGTACGTACTTCATGGCGTACATATTGCCGGTACTGTCACGTTTTTGCACGATGCAGACCTGTGTGTGGCAGAAATTGCATCGAAATTTAATTCCGCCCGGCAAATTCGTGCCGTTCCGCTCCAACCGCTGGAAACCGCGTTTGACTGTCTGCGAGTTTTCTCGAGTCGGCAAATTCAATATTCACGGAATATGTAATTTCCCTTGCAGAATAATAATAAAGGGAAGGAGCTGAAACTTGTTCGTTTATTTACCTGGGCAATTTGCGATAGACCGTAGCGTTGATGTTTACTTTACGCTAATTTTTGTATCGCTCTAATTACCACGTGTTACTTGAGAGAAAACATTTCGCGGTGTCTCCGTAAAAACAAAATCTGGAATAAACCGAAAACAATTTCAAGCCGCGAACGACAGTGGTCCTCGTCCGTTATACATAAATTTAATTCCCACTCTAATATTTATTCAAGAATTATGGAGAAGCGTATAGCGTACTCGCTCCCCCATAAAAATTGAGGGAACGAGTTTCGGAATTTTCGCAGCGACCTTATCCGATAGATATAAAAGCGTCGTGGAACGCACTTTTTTACGATCGGGAGCGTAACGCATTTTATAGGGGCATAAATGCAATTCGCGCTCGCCGTGTTTTACGTTACGTACCGAATAAATGCGCGCCCGTTGGTCCGTGCGTCGTTCTTCAAATAATATATTTACGTTATAAACGCGTTCGGCGCGCGGTTAATGGACTACGTGCGACTACGTGCAACTACGCGCGAACTCAAAAGAGCCACGGTGTGTTAACAAGAAGACAAAAATTCTATAGTTCCTTCCTGACGTACAAAAGCGTTTTCCGCGAGGGTGTGAAGCGACGTGTAAATTACTTCGCGACTCGACGTATTAGCGAGACCGCGGAGAACAACGGGGCGCCTGTTATCGCGCATGTAAAAGAGTAGTGCCGGGTTAAACCGACCGTTAGGATTCCTGTCGAGATAAACGGCGCGGGAAGCCGCAATCTGAAAATCGTCGAATTCGCGATTCGCGAATAAAGGCCGCGAGAACGCTCGGGGCTCGATTTGTAACGATATAGCGGGCACCCCGTTGTGTGGATCCGGCTGGAAAACAACTCGTGACCTACCTTGCCGAAGCTGCCTTTCCCAATGGCGCGTAGGATTTGAAAATGATCGAAATTCACTGCAACACAGAAATGAAAGTCAATGAGGGAGGATGCGAATTTAACGGTGAGTGAGTAGCGCATTGACTCCCGCTAATGAAGCGCGATCCTAACAGTCGATGGATAATCGCGTAATGGTGCACGGGGTATTTTCGTGTTTCTGCAATTAGGTATACGTTAAACTCGATGCTAATCGAAATCGGCTCTCGTCGGCATTGGCAATTTGAAAATCACCCTTTATCGCGAAACATAAAGGTGTCTTGTTAAGCACAGCGGCTCGTAGATACGCCAATTAAACCACCCCTTTGGCAAGCGTGGAAAGCGCGGTTTTAGCAGCGGTTTCGTTTGGCCGGCTCTATCGCTTCCGCGAAAAATGTGAAATTATTTGGAAACTGCAGCGTCGATATAAACTAGATCCCCCGCGCGGCAGGGATTCTGGCGGGGATCGATTTCGCCGGATGTATAGATTGCGTAGTTTATATTGCACCGAACACGCAGTTCCGGTCTTCCCGAAATAGCCAAACCGCATAACCGGAGAAGCGCATAGGAGCAACTTGAGAATCTCGAGCTTGATCCTCCCCAGATTCGACTTACGTGAGAACTGATGTTCTCGCCCGTAGCAAACTTAAACAACTTTGAAGTAATAAGGGTACGATAATTGAGATAATGTGCATTGTTAAATATTAAAGGATGAAAATTAAACCGATACCTTGAGTTTATATAACTTTTTTTTCTATTTTTAACTACCAAACTACACTGTGTGTCGAAATTTATTATTTTCACATAAAACAGTATTTTAACTCCATTGGTTTAGTTAATTAACGACGATATTAAATAGGAGCAGTGGCGACTACAGGAATAATGGTTAAAAATTGTTCATTCAAATTGAGTATAATTCGACACTATAAATTTAAACAGTGTGACATACGATAAAGTTAATCAATTTTGAGGTAATTTTGCAGTCTCCTTTTGCGTAGACATAATTTCTTCGGACATAAATAATTTTTTCGTAATTCTATATTATTAAAAATTTAATTATAAATATAGATTAAAAATAGATGTGAGACTTCGTTAAAGTTGCTGGTTGGCCAGTTACGAATCCGAAAAACAAGATCGGCATTTTCAACATTCGTCACATCGGGAGCTAAAAAGCGAATCGCGCGGAGACAGAGTCGCGAAGAAGACGCCTCTCTTTTTCCAGGAATTTAATTACAATGGGATTGAATATTGGATTTTTCCTGGTGAAATTAAACGTCCGTGGGACTGTCGCGCGATATACTACAGAAAAGATTTATTAATAGCCCCCGGCAACAGCTCGATATTCTGTAATCGAGTCGTAAAAGCGAAGATTTCCACGCAACGTCGCGCCGTATCGCGCATCTCTCGCGAGATATCGCGAAAGTTATAGCCCCAGCGAGGCATAAACGTGATAGAAGAAGCTGATCCTCCGTGAAACGGTGCATGTTATCGATGCGTATCCGTTCGAGCAAGAATTCGAGTTATGCGAATTACACGTAGATACCAAGCGAGGCGATATAACGTGGCGCGGCATCTCCACTAATATATTCTACATACCTATTTCATAACGTCTCGGTAGTAAATATATCTCAAGGATATAATCTTATAATTCTCGCTATAAGAGAAAATTTCCTTCAATCGAGATCAAGATCTGGATACAAGGTAATTTACTTCATTACTGTCTTTTTTTTTGTCTTTGTTGTGTAATGATTGATTCAGCTTCTGGTCAATAGCTTTTCCAGCTTTGATCAGCTGCTATCTTTAGCGTCGATGCTGACTCCTCCGCCAGTTAAATTTAGGTAAACGCTATAACGAGCTCAATTAGATCGTAATAAAGGAATAACTTTTTTTCTTCGTTGCTTGAAAGCGACTGTTAACGTTACTTTATACACTCGCCTTTGCAACAAAATATATAGAAAAATATAATTAAAAAATAGGCATTTTTCATGCTGTGTAAGATAATTATATAGCGACTAGACTAGAAGGCCAAACACCCCTTTTCGTGCTTGAAGCGGAGAGTCGCGCCCATTGTTTCCGTTCATAAAATATCAGAATCGACCGCATTAGGTATACGCGTGTGCGCGTGTGTGCAACCGAGAGCCTATATGCTCATTGTCAGCATTTCCGCGTAACGTGCCCGCGAGGCTCATAAAAGATTCGCGCCGTCTTCGCTTCGCGAGCCATATATAGACGGAGTATTACCTTCTTCTCCGGGGGTGGGCGCGCTCCGGGTCGACTGATTGGCACCCATTTTTCCTCAATGGACGTCGGACGTATAACGCGTCGGCGACCGTTGTAAGTCGCATCGGTGCGAGCGCACTGCCGACGAAGACGACGGTGAGATCCGGTCGGCGTGGGAAGTCTCATATTTCCGCATTGTCACGGCGCCGCGACGCCTCGTCGCGCGGCCCCACCTTCATCGGACGACGCGCACCATCTTCCACGACCGTGAGAGACGAACAGGGTGAAAAAAAACCGGCCGTCACACGTGCGCCAAATGGCTCTCTCGTTAAATCCGTCGGTCGGTTGATCGAGGCGATGTCCCTCGGTCGGCGAAGAGGGGAGGGGAGCAGGGGGGCAACGCCGGCGTTAATTAGCAGCGGCTCGCCGCTGCTGATTCGAGCGGCTTAATTAACGGATCGCGCTAATGCGCGGGATAATTGCCCCAGGTAACCGTCGATGATCCCTCCGACGACAATGCGGGGCACTTGCTCGCGGCGCATCGGATCTTACTTGCGACGTGAACGACGACGGCGGCGCGGCGGCTGGTCCCGCTGTAACGGATATGTATCCCTCATAATTACTCCTCGTCACTTTAATTGCTTTCGAGCGAGGTAACAGAGCGCGACGAGCGACAACTGTGTCGTGACACGATGAATGATACGGAGATGTCGTCAAATTAGCGAGCTCACCCCGGATTGATTGGGGAGACGAATTGGACGGCCTAATTAAAAATCCGATTGTAGTTTCCACAAACATTTATATATATGATCAATATTAAGTATACCGAGAGAAGCCGCGCGCCAGATTAGAACTTTATTATCAAAATATGCGTGTTGAACCCTTTGCGGTTTTGTTATTTTTTTCGAATAAGACATACTCGCGATAATCAGCATAATAAATTATATTTTTGGGATTTGCATAAATTCCCCCAAGTAATAACAATTTTTTGATTCATGTTGGATCAGCCGACTAATGTTTAATCTTCGCTCATTTGCGAGAAATAATTTGGACCGTAAAGAGTTAAACGTAATAATACGAGAAGAATAATATAATAATGATTTTCTCGTCCACGTTAAAGATCGGGATGTTAACGATAGAAAACTTTTCATGCGTTCAACATTGAAAATAAACGCAGGAGAGTACGCGTATTTACATGCAAACAAAGAAAAATGTGAGAGCGAAAAAAAAAAGGATATACGGCCTGGTTTTCAAAATGCTAAAACTATCCCCGTCGAATGACAATGGAGGGCTCTTTCGCATGAATGAATTCTGGAGCATCCTCGTGGTAGTCTCGATCGAACACGAACAATCGCTCGTTTCTCTCCATCAACGAGACAACGGGCCCCTCCCTCTCGTCACATTGTATTAATCGGCGGATATCTGTGCGCGATTCACCCGCGCACCATCACCACCCTGCGGACGGGACCGCGCGGCATCGGTGCCAATTAACAACGTTGATTAGTTGGTACGGGCACGGCAAACACGCTGACGTATAGCTGCCACCCGAAATTGCAGCTCGAATGGAGATCCGTGCATTAGACATATTACGCACACGTATACTCGACGTTGTACACATGCCCCCATTGTGAATCTTCATCTTTGACCTAATTACATCCACGGTCTGGTCGAAACGCGCTTCATTACCCTTCGACACGCGATTATTTCAACTGGTCGCAGCGCGATTGACCGTGCGAACGGGACGCAGAACGAGCCTATAAAATCAATTGGGTCGATGAAAGAATGAGGGATCTTCGGAAGGAGCTTTTATGTCGTTCGACAAGAATGATACGATTATTCGGAAAAAATGAAACGATTACGGCGGCAAGTAGCTTAAAATAACTATAATTGCATGTAATAATAATAATTATTATATAATTTATATATATATTTTTTTATAATAACTATGATAGAAAAGAGTAAAAAGGAATAGTTGAGCTATGAGAGTCAAACACGGTTATCTGTGAATGATCACTACGAAGAAAAATGTTATTTCCACCGAAGTTGTGAATCGAGCTTATTAGGGCTGTCGTAGGGGGGAGGTACGCGAAGATATTGAATTTAGCGACGATATTAAATTTATATCGGAGAGACACATCGGATACGGGGAACGTGATGCATCTCGCGTCACTACACACATGTCGTTCCTCGAGGTGTCGTGTACGACGTTGAACCTACGGTGTCAGCGCATTTCGCATTACTCGGAGCATGCAGGGTCACTCACGTGCGCTACGTCTTGCGAAGTAACATCCTTACCGCACAATCCGTCGTTAGATGAACAAGCCACGACGCGACGCGGAACAGTAATAGCTTTTCGAGATCATAACACCGTCGCGCGCTCGTACTTGCCCTTATTTAATTTTCCTTCTACTCGCCGACGATCATACGCCAGATAAACAAACGGGTATAATCCCGACGTGATCGATATGGGAAACGATGCGGCATATTAGCGGCGTAACGGATCTAAATTGCTTCTTGGTGTCTCGGTTTCGAAGCACTGTAGCGCTGAAACACGATTTACGCCAGCATTTGTATTCATAATGTCGCCATCCGTAATTGGGCTGTATATTTCAACCGCGGGAAGGTACTCCGGACTGTGGAAAAGTGGAGTAAAAATAAAGTATGTGACGGCTATAAAATTATTATCGTTTAGCGCTCGCGATGGTGTAGAGCGGTGTTTCAAACTTGCGACCAGGGGATTTCTCCTTTCTCTTTTTATTTCGAGGGAACGAAACGCATTAACATTTAGAGCGCCCGCGAAAGGTCGCGTATAGAAAGTTTTTTTCCCCCCGAACAAAAACAAACCGAAGAAAACTTTCCATTACAGATAGGCAAACTTCGTCCATGACGGAGTTTTCTTATCGTCGAGCAACATCGAGGTTGTCGAATAAACGTTAGAGCGAATGAATCTTCCTCGTGTACATATCTCGACATTTTCATTCGATCTCGACGCTCGCGATGTTAGTTCGGAATACACATTTGTCGAGGCATACATCAACCTATTCATCCATCATGCTTGCTTTACCATCACGTTTTATCAATAGAGGGGAACGTGTGGTTGCGTGTGTTCTAACAAAACATCGCGATGCTCGACATAACGTCAAATGCAGGGAAAGAAAGCTTCTTGAAACACGGCAATATTAGGATGAGTAAAAAAAAAATAACCCATAACCGTATTAATGTTAATTATCTCCCAGTGGAATGTCGAGTAATATAGAGAGATGGAAGTGACTTTAAATTTCGAGAACGTCATTTAGCATCATTATTCAAAGCTCTCGCGATTATCATTGAATTATTATTAATTAATTAAATAAGCTCCGAAATGTCAAGAGTTTACCATAGTTTCTCCATCTAGTTTAATTTGCCAATTTACCAATTTGCAAGTAAGCTCTGCGCGAGTAAGCTTCGCTATACCGTCGCGACCTTTTAATATACCAATAACCACGCAGTGGAAAACTCAATAAAGGTTGAATAACAATTTTTGTGTAAACGTCAAAAAAAGTTTTTTTTAATTTGAGAGTGTACATTTTGACGAACAATGTATATCACGGCCGGCTCTCACGACGGATTGCCCCGTCAAAAATAGAATATTTATTAAAGTAAAACGCGCGTAGCGTGGTCTTTGATCTCCATTCGAACGACTTCCGATCTGGTTGCTCACGGCATCCCCAAAGCTGGGGGTCCGAACTTTGTGTGAATAAAAGCGCCGATATAAAAGCGCGCACCGTTTATACCGCGTACACCCATTGCATATGGTAGCGGAAGGATCCGCGAGGCGGAAAATTCGCTTATTCGATACCGCTGGAACGAACGCGAACGCCTTAATAAAGTTTCGCGAATTACTTTGCGCCAACCGACGTCAAATCCGATTTGCACGTTCGCGTGGATTCGACAAACTTGTCGTCTGACGACGGGAACGAGAGCAGCCGCTCTGCCGAATTCAATTACACGACGCATTGTGCGTTAAACAGCGCGTTTCGATGAACAGGCATGAGCTCGGGGAGAGCTCGCGCGGGAAAGAGAGATGCGCTATTTTCCGAAATTATACGCAGAAGAATTTCCTTGCATCTCCTTGCATTATCGTTTCAGGCAACTTCGTCATTAAAACTGTAAATTGAGATCTACAAATGATACGTGATACCTATAATGGATCTTTATTGCATATTCTGCAAGGCTCGATCAATCTCGTATTTTGCGTGCTGTGCAACATGTTTATGAATTTTATATATATATTCAGGATATGTCTATATACATTAAAATACAAAAGTAATATACGTATTAAGTAACATAATTATATGATCGCAAAACTTTATGCGATTATATAATTCGTGTCAGATTTCAGAACAGAATGCTATTTATATTTTTACACACCGTACATTTTCATATGTATGTGTGCGCACTTAAAATATTTTATATATGCACATGTGCGTATAACTGATTTTTTAAAACGTTTTTGCATTCCACGGCACACAGTTATAAATAAAACTTTATCCCAAATTCTAACAGAAATTGTTTTCAACTTTAGAAGAGATATTAAATTTTAGATCAAAGAATGTGGATACCTAGAATTCTGTTTTAATGTCTAAAATAAAAAAATTCTTTTTTCTAATACATATACATATGTTGTGGTAGGAAAAAAAAGGGTCATTTGAAGAGTGCAGTTTAGATAAAAATTTATAACAATTATATCAAGAACATTGAGAGAGAAACAATAAACATCAGGTTCATTTTGGATCCCCTTCAATATCATAGCTCAGATAATATATAGGTACATTACGAATTACAATGAATATATAATATTACAATGAGAGAATTACGCATTATGCAAATAAAATGAATATGCTATACATGCGTCATCCTGGCTTTTGATAATTGTTCCGTGATAACGCGATGTCGAGATTCTACGAGCGAGAGGGCTTTCTTTGATATCCTGGTCCTTATAATCAGACATGGAAAACGTCCAAGGAACGTTCTAATTTTCAGGTATCGTTTGTACGCTTTCAGGCACCTTTTGAGGTCGTTTCGTATTGTTGGAAGCGATATTTTACGAATATAGCGCACAAACGGGAGACGCGGATCGGGAGAATATGCTCTCTCGTCCTTTATGGAACTTACGCGACCGTAAAC